AACTACCCTTTCTGGATGTCTTAATTAAAAGGAGACATGATGGTTCAATGAGCCACTCTGTCTACAGGAAAGCTACCCATACAGATGCTTACTTGAAACCGGATTCCCACCACCATCCATCCCAGAAGAACTGCCTCATCAAGACTCTATACCATAGAGCCCAATGCATTTCCGACCAGGAACACATTACCAGTGAACTCAAACACGTACACCAGGCTCTCAGGGCTAATGGCTACTCCGACTACACAATCCGCAAAGCCATCACTCCAGTCATGAAGAAGGATCCTCTTGTGGAGCCACTCAAAACCATCACCTTACCCTACATTGCAGGGGTCACTAAAAAGATCTCCAAAATCCTGAATAAACACAAGATCCAGGTCCGATTCAACACAGTACACAAAATCCGTGATTTAGTTCCATCTGTAAAAGATGCTCTTCCAGACATACAGTACCCGGGCGTTTACAAACTAAAGTGCCTCTGTGGTAGTAGCTACATTGGAGAAACCAAAAGACATATCTCGGATCGCATCCGCGAACATAAAGCAGACTTGAAACACGGTAAGACGAACTCCTCTGCCGTGGCAGATCACTGTTACAATTCAGTGGGCTCACATGACATTGACTTCTCCAAGACGGAGGTTCTTTGCAAACCAACTGGCTACCATGAGAGATTCGTTCATGAGGCCATTCACATATACAAGCACAGAGACAATTTCAACCGAGAAGATGGATTCAGGCTCAGTAACCACTGGAAAGATGTGTTAAATCATTTCTGTTCTTAATTAATTGTAATTTTACGATGACCTTCAGACCGCAGCTCTTTCGCCAGCATTGCCTCTTAATACCTCTCACACCACGGTTAATGGTATGGTTTACAACATGGAGTATACTAGGGCTTCGCAGCTGTCTCTCTCCCCCTCCTCTGTTCCGACCATGGACGAACTCGTCCGTCTGAACGGGGCCCGTAGCTATCCGTGGTACGGAAATTTGAGGGTAAGAATCCACCCATTTTTTCGCCATATAGCATTGTGATATATAACGACTTATGGTTGGTAGCTTAGCTGATTGGAGAATATAGAGTTTATTGATAACATGAAGGTAATTTATATTTTAGTTTTTATTGGTTCACTATATAGTACTGTGAATAGCTCAGATTTGTAGTCATTTCTGTGACCAGTCACTAGCAAATCACCCAGTTATTTCCATGCTAAATTCGCCTAGTTATTTCAATGCTAAATTCTCCTGTTTTGATTTGTACTAAGTGCCTCGGTGAATGTGTATGCTCTGACTTCAACGTAACTATTTCTGTAGCAGTTACAAGCGAATGCCTTAATTTAGCTATTTCAATGCTAAATTCTATGCCTAATTCCTTTTAACAATGGGTGCCTCTGCGGATGTGTATGCTTTAACTTTTAACATAGCTATTTCTGTGACCAGTCACAAGCTAATCATTCAGCCTTTTCAATGCTAAATTTTATGCTAATTCCTTCGTCAAGGCTCTATGTTCCTCTCACACAGCTTAAAAGCCGTGATCTGAACGTGGCTCTCTCACTCCAGCGCTGTCCTACCAGACAGTCTCGCTCCCTTCACCTGATGAAGGCCGCTTGTGTTGTGGCCGAAACGTCGTGAGAATATTATTGTTATTTTATTTTATCAATTTATTATTTTATTCTCATTCTACGTGACTTTACCGAAAGAACCAAAGAAGATGAATCATTGCAGTCACGAAAGCTTTAAATCGAAATTTAACCGCCTCTACGGGGAGGGATTCCACACATCCTTAAGATCATTCAACAGACTTCGGGATAAGAAGGCTCAACTAATCGAGTCTCTCACCTTTCTGAAGAGATGCCGCGACTCTAAGGTAATACCAACCGCATTTACACTAACCTCTGCTGTTGCAACTTCTCTCAATGCAAAACGAATTCTAGCTAGAACTAGCTTCGCTCTTATCTCGGAAAAAATCAGACTTACACGCACCGAACTCGATCAGTTAGACAAGACACTCTACAAATCACACTTAAAATTGACAGCAACAATGTCTACATCGGATTGGGAACATGTAGACAATATGACTACCTCTTTGGCTGCCACTATGTCGAACAAATGTAGGGACAATTTGATTTCCAAATTCAATCACCTCTCCAGCAAAAAATCGGATCCACACACCGAAAAGATAGACGTCAACAAAGTCGTAATTAATCGCAGTAACAGTTCCATTTCTGATGGTCTGAAATCCGTTTTAGTTAAAGGTCTAAACTTTGCTGTCACACCGAGACACTTACCGGTTAATGATATCATTGCCCATGTCGACGTTGCACTCAAGGGCTTGAGTCACATCTCTGCAGATGTAGCAAGATCTGAAATCGCTGCAACCCTCAAAAACGCTAAGTTGCCACCTAGCAACATCAGCAAAGATGAACGTTTTGAATTATCTCAATTAAAAAAGAGGGATGATATTGTCGTTCTCTCAGCCGACAAAGGCAATGCCACTGTCATCATGGACAAAACAGAATATAACAACAAAATTCAAGAACTACTCAACGATGGCAGCTATACAAAAATAAAAAGAGATCCCACCAACAGCCTGGTCACCAAAACGAACAAAATTATCTCTGATTCAACAGCATTAATTGATGAGAACAAACAGTTCTTGTTGAAACCCTCTGCTGCCAGACCACCAAGATTATATGGCCTTCCAAAGATACACAAAGAAGATACACCCCTTCGTCCCATCGTCTCTACTATCAGCTCCCCCACCTACAAACTGGCACGTTTTCTGGCTGATATACTGCGACCTTTCACTGGAAAAACCACCTCTGCGGTACTAAATTCTACTCACCTGGTATCGACAATCAAAGACATTTCCCTGTCCCCAAACGACCTGCTTGTCAGTTTTGATGTGGTGTCCTTGTTCACCAAAGTCCCGGTACCTGACACCATCGCTATCATTGAAGACCTGGTTCATCAAGGACTGCATACTGATGTACCCCCCCTGGTGAGACATTGCTTAACCAACACATACTTCACCTGGAATGGAACTTTCTACAAACAAACTGAGGGCACCCCAATGGGCTCCCCCCTATCTCCGGTTGTAGCCAACGTATTCATGGAAAAATTTGAAACTGACGCCATCCAGACTGCCACTCTACGCCCGACCTTATGGAAGAGGTACGTTGATGACACCTTTGTCATCTGGCCACATGGCCAGCCTGCTCTAGACCAATTCCACGACCACATCAATTCCATACACCCAGCCATCAGATTTACCATGGAGGTCGAAAAAGATGGCAAACTACCCTTTCTGGATGTCTTAATTAAAAGGAGACATGATGGTTCAATGAGCCACTCTGTCTACAGGAAAGCTACCCATACAGATGCTTACTTGAAACCGGATTCCCACCACCATCCATCCCAGAAGAACTGCCTCATCAAGACTCTATACCATAGAGCCCAATGCATTTCCGACCAGGAACACATTACCAGTGAACTCAAACACGTACACCAGGCTCTCAGGGCTAATGGCTACTCCGACTACACAATCCGCAAAGCCATCACTCCAGTCATGAAGAAGGATCCTCTTGTGGAGCCACTCAAAACCATCACCTTACCCTACATTGCAGGGGTCACTAAAAAGATCTCCAAAATCCTGAATAAACACAAGATCCAGGTCCGATTCAACACAGTACACAAAATCCGTGATTTAGTTCCATCTGTAAAAGATGCTCTTCCAGACATACAGTACCCGGGCGTTTACAAACTAAAGTGCCTCTGTGGTAGTAGCTACATTGGAGAAACCAAAAGACATATCTCGGATCGCATCCGCGAACATAAAGCAGACTTGAAACACGGTAAGACGAACTCTTCTGCCGTGGCAGATCACTGTTACAATTCAGTGGGCTCACATGACATTGACTTCTCCAAGACGGAGGTTCTTTGCAAACCAACTGGCTACCATGAGAGATTCGTTCATGAGGCCATTCACATATACAAGCACAGAGACAATTTCAACCGAGAAGATGGATTCAGGCTCAGTAACCACTGGAAAGATGTGTTAAATCATTTCTGTTCTTAATTAATTGTAATTTTACGATGACCTTCAGACCGCAGCTCTTTCGCCAGCATTGCCTCTTAATACCTCTCACACCACGGTTAATGGTATGGTTTACAACATGGAGTATACTAGGGCTTCGCAGCTGTCTCTCTCCCCCTCCTCTGTTCCGACCATGGACGAACTCGTCCGTCTGAACGGGGCCCGTAGCTATCCGTGGTACGGAAATTTGAGGGTAAGAATCCACCCATTTTTTCGCCATATAGCATTGTGTTATATAACGACTTATGGTTGGTAGCTTAGCTGATTGGAGAATATAGAGTTTATTGATAACATGAAGGTAATTTATATTTTAGTTTTTATTGGTTCACTATATAGTACTGTGAATAGCTCAGATTTGTAGTCATTTCTGTGACCAGTCACTAGCAAATCACCCAGTTATTTCCATGCTAAATTCGCCTAGTTATTTCAATGCTAAATTCTCCTGTTTTGATTTGTACTAAGTGCCTCGGTGAATGTGTATGCTCTGACTTCAACGTAACTATTTCTGTAGCAGTTACAAGCGAATGCCTTAATTTAGCTATTTCAATGCTAAATTCTATGCCAATTCCTTTTAACAATGGGTGCCTCTGCGGATGTGTATGCTTTAACTTTTAACATAGCTATTTCTGTGACCAGTCACAAGCTAATCATTCAGCCTTTTCAATGCTAAATTTTATGCTAATTCCTTCGTCAAGGCTCTTTGTTCCTCTCACACAGCTTAAAAGCCGTGATCTGAACGTGGCTCTCTCACTCCAGCGCTGTCCTACCAGACAGTCTCGCTCCCTTCACCTGATGAAGGCTGCTTGTGTTGTGGCCGAAACGTCGTGAGAATATTATTGTTATTTTATTTTATCAATTTATTATTTTATTCTCATTCTACGTGACTTTACCGAAAGAACCAAAGAAGATAATGTATATATGTTTCAGTGTTCAGAATAACGTGGCTACAGAGCTTGGACTATTCTAAAGACGTGTTTGTAATTATGGTTATGATTAAAAGCACCTCTGATAGTTAAAAATGCTGGAATGTTCATTATTCTTTATTAAATAAATAATGTGCCGTTAATGCTGTAAACCTTTACAGTAACTTTTCGCGGTTTCACAATTATACAGGTACAGTATAACATACTTGGGTTTTGACGAGATCAGACCAGATCCATGAATGAGTTTTAAAACGATTGTCTATACGGTACTGTTTTTAATTCCATAGTGTACGTGGTTATTTATTTATGATTTATTTTTATATGATTATATTCATGAATAAATAATGCCCCATTCAGGCAGTGAACTTTTATTGAGCATTACAATGGTTTCACAATTATACGGTGCCATCATAATTAAGTAATGAGACCGCACATATGAAAGTATGTGGGAAATTTTTATTCTGTTAAAAGTGACCTGTATTCATTTGTACATATTGCTTTAGCATATTTTCTGTATGATTCATGCGACTGTATTTGTTTCGATTAAAGCTTTCGTGACTGCAGGGATTCATATTCTTGGTTCTTTCGGTAAAGTCACGTAGAAGGGAAATAATCAAAATAAAACAATATAATAAAATTCTCACGACGTTTCGGCCACAACGCAAGCAGCCGTCCTGAGGTGAAGAAACAGAGCTGTCAGAAAGACGCTGTATTTTGTGACAGAAACGTCGTGAAAATTTTATTATATTATGTTTTATTTGTATTATTTTATTATTTCCCTTCTACGTGACTTTACCGAAAGAACCAAGAATATGTATATGTTTCATTTAACTGATGGATAAATGAATAGTTAAGGTTAAAGAGTTATCTATTTGCTAGGGCGGTCATGATTGAGCTTTGACCGAGAGTTAATATGTTAAATGTGTTAATAGAGTACTGTTGAATGTTGCTAAGAATATTGGGTTATATTTAAATTATATAGTGGTAAAAAAGAGGAACTAGCCAGTACTACTTGTGAGCCGAAAAGGACAAACACGTTTATGAACAATGTGGACTGAGAGACGTAGTGCGACGCTTCTCGTGTACAGATTTTGAGTTTGGAGTTTGAGAAGAAAGTGGTACCTACTTGGAAGGCATGACCACGTCCATCGTGTGCATGCAGACACCCTGGTCCACTGGCACACTATCTTTAACACAATTAACTAACTTTATTATTTTACCAGGTAAGGCCCACAGAGCTATGTAGCTCTTTTTCAGAAGCGACCTGGCCACAAATGATAGCTCAACGAAGTGGCTTATCACTTGGAAATATATAGCAGGCAAATACTCTAAACGCACGTTTTTAAACATTGGAGGGAAACACTGGAGGACCCCTGGTGAAAAAATCCACATGACTACAGGGAAAGGGACATGCAAACTCCAAATATACAGGCGTCAGGGTTGTGATCGAACCTGCAACCTTCTCTATACCACGCGAGGTAGTTAACATCTCACCACCACGGTGCCCAATTAAATCTGCAGCCACCAAATTTAGCATGGGCTGTACATTTCAGATGTGCTTCACATTGCGCACGGTATAGAATTTGTACCTTACCTCTGTGGTTTCCTCGTCAAGCTGCTGCTGACGCTGCCGGGCGTGAATGTGTTGCAGGGCGGCTATAACCTGGAAGTGACTGCGGCGGGGGTGTGTGCCACTCTGCACGCCCTCCTGGGAGATCCTGTCACCTCCACGGGGGGTTCACGCCAGGCCAAGTGCAGGCAAGTGCAGCGCAACACAGAATGATAACACGGGACAGCAAAATACGTACAAGCAATAACAAGGTAACACGGTGCAGCTCTTCATAGGACAACGATGCAGGACCGCATGACTTATATTGAAAACTGATTTATTGAGAACTGGTTTTTGTGTTTAGTTTGTTGCCCTTTCACCCCACCCGCATCTCCGATTAGCACGGTTGGCTACGTACGGTACGAAAGAAGTTCAAGATACATCACAGTCGAGCGGAGTGCAAAGAAACGCAGAACAGCAGTCGCAACATAGCACAGTACAGTGCAGCTGCAGTAAAGTGTGGATGCATTATCTCAACTCATCTGTCTGTTTAATTGGGTCATGATAACTATATTAAAGATGATCTAATGTAAATTAATATATATAAAAGGGACATTTGTGAATATGTGTGTCTGTTCGAAATGTTTAGCATACTTCCCAACATGCAACAAACTTGAAATTTGGCATGCGTGTAGCTTCCAGACTGTACCCTATATAACGTTGGCCAAATTTATCAAAGCGTTGCCAACATGTTAGTGGAAAAAAAATCAGCATGAAGCGGTCAAGGTGATGACCTCACACGCCCATCCGTGCGCTTTATCTCATGAGATGTGATGTCATCTTGTGATGTCACGTCATGCGCCGTGTGACATCGCGTGTGTGACGTAATTTTGTAGTGTGCTTCTGAAGGTAACATGATGTTATCTCCAATTAAATACTTGCGCAAGTTGGAAAGCATTAAGTAGTCCATCCATATGCATGATTTTTCTTCCCGGTATTTGTGTATCGGGGTGTCCTGCTGCAGTGCTCTGGAGGACATTGGGCGAACGCTCGCCATTCAGCAGAAGTACTGGTCGTGCCTGCGCTGCCATGGTAAGAGGGAAACACTCGGGTAACTGACACCAACACGTTATTCCGATTTTAAACATTTTCTTCAGACATTTTTGTCAATAATCGCGAACGATTCAGTGATTATCAGTCGTGTCGTATTGTGCCTGTAAGGATTTATGTCTCGGCCTCGCTGTGCGCTGCGTTGCACCACTATCCGAATGCGAGATAACCTCGCATTCAATAAACCTTCAGAGCCAGGCTGAACATCCGACTCCAAACGTATTTAATTAGTTAAACGAGGTAAAACTGATGGAAAAACAGCACAAATACAGCATCTGTTAATACTTGGAAATATCAATACAATGAATGAAAACTACAGCATCATAACATTGTCTTAGATAACATGAAACTCAGCAATATATTCTGGATGGACCAGGCACCTACATTAGTACTGAATAGCTATACAAGAGAATAAGCTACTGTGTTAAATAAGGGCACATCGTGTAATCATCATACTACAGCCTAAATGTACAGCACTACAAATAACACTGAACTGTGGATGAGATATTTTGTCATCCTTGCTCTCAAGATCGCAATAAGGTTACATGGGTACAAGTCTGACTCGACTTATTCAATTACAAATAACATTCACAATAAGGCAAGTGGCAGGCTTCGTTGTTAACTAGGCCTCATTTATCATTTAACAGCATTATAAAGGCATTTACAGCATTATAACGGCCATTCTAACATTGTAACAGCATTCCCAGTATTATAACAACATAAACGAACTTACAGACAATGCTTCTTAAAGTCCCACAATGAACAGTCGCATATGTCTTCACGGGGACACTCTTTGTGCCACCATTTTGTACTCTGTGTAATGGCTGACACCAACGTGGTTGAGAGGGAATCTTAAATCGTAACTTCCTGGTTACGTGACCAAACTCGGCATCAAAGCAGGAAATTCCTGTGTACACATACCCCCACACCTGACGTGAGACAGAACAATTGACACTGTTTGCATATTAAATGTTAACAATCCTTTCAGTTCGTAGAGCGAGACAGACCGTACAAGATAATACATAATTGTCTTTTTCTTAAAGTTTCACTCCAGTTGTGCAGTTGTTGTTATGAGACACGTAATCAATTAATAGCTCTCACAGAGCAGTGCGTTATGCCTCATTGGAAACAGCCTGTGGAAAGTGATATCACCCAACTTTTTCTAATCCCTTCAATTGACTTTTCCCACATTCTCTGCTCCTCAGAAATGTTCACCGCATGGCATTGGAACCAATTTGTAAATGTCAGAGCTGGAATTTATTCAAATTTACATCATTGGTGACTGAGCTGAAAATATCTGCTCACTGCAATTGAGAAACTGGTTTAATCTCGGGTAAATGAAGCCTGGATTAAAACCCAGGTTCTTAGTGGTGCCTGCTCAGTTTTCAGAATGATGAACCACCCGTCAACCTCAAGAATTGATTCGTCATTCAAATTGTATGTATGTTGAACTTCTTTTGCGCCGTACGTAGCCAACCGTGCTCTTCAGAGGTGTGGGTATCGGACAACAAACTAAAGGCAAAAAGCAGTTCTAAAGAAATGAGTTTTCAATTTCAAGGATGCGGTCCTGCATTGCTGCCTTATAAAGAGCTGCACCATGTTACTTTGTTATTGCTGTTTTGCATTTTGCCGTCCCCTGACCCTGTGACCTTGAACCCTGACAATTTCATCACAGCACGGGGGGGGGGGGTGTTACATGCCTAGTTTTTGAGATGCATATCGTCAGTAATGCCACAACTCGTGGCTTAATCATTCTGTCTCTGGTGGGCTGATAAGACTCGTACACTAGATTGTTTAAGTTCCAGATGTAGGGTTTGAACCTGCTCTTTAAAAGCATCTATAATTGTTTCTCGATATGACAACTTTGGATGTTGCTAAATGTAACAATACAATCCTAACAATGGATGCAAATAGTGGACGTCTGTGAATAGCTTCATAGCTCATCGGATTATGCCAGTCGAAATAAAGATTCTGATCTGACAAATATATGATTGTCCTGTGTTTAAGGTTTGGCAAAGTCAACATCAGTCTCTGAAAATGATGACAAAGAAGGCAAAGAGATTGAGACGGACAGGGAAAAGGACCCCGCAAGCACCACAGAAATCGGCGTTATGACGACAGATGAAAAGACCGAAGTCATGAAATCCGGCGTTACGGAGACCCCCGTCGCGGCGGAGGCTGTTGTCACGGAAATAGGAGATGGGGTTGTCATGGGGATGGTCACCATGGAGACGCGCATCACCGGGTTGGTGTATGACAAGCGCATGAGGGATCATCACAACATGTGGGACCGGTGAGTTGCTTGTCCGCATGTGTGTGACCTGTGAGTTGAATAGCCAGAACCGCTAAAATTTACCGACGCGTGGTGACGTGTTTCACTACCCATGACAATCAGTGCATGTCACCTGCTATGACATTCATCAGTTCACATGGAACAGAAGCGGAAAAGTGCGGAAAATAAATATGGAAGGGGTGCACATTTGGAATTCCACTGATAGGAGAGGACATTGATTCGTGCACTTGGCCAGCACAATGCAGCTAGAAGAGATGATGGACACAGGTCGATAACAGGGGTCGGTAACGAAAATAACAAGAAGAGCCTTTATTCGGTAAAAAGTTAAATATTTCAAGAGCTGCAATGCCTGTGAATACGAGATGGTGTTCCTTAAATTACGTCATTAAAGAGCCGCATGCAACTCCGGAGCCAGAGGTCGCTGACCCCTGGTCTAGACTAATGACTGAGTGGTAGTCAAAGGAGAGAGAGAGAACACGTATGACAAGGCATCTCATATGGAGATGGAGCAATGAAATCAGCTAATACGCAGGAGCTGGATTGTTAAACCACTATAATCTTGAGGAATGGTGATAGCTTGGGGTGGCCTTCAACCATGACAGCACGGTCCCTTCACCTGATGAAGGCCACTTGTGTTGTGGCCGAAACGTCGTGATTTTTGTTATTTTTTTTTACCTACGTGACATTACTGAATAGAACCAAAGAGTATGGATCCTTGCAGTCACAAAAGCTTCAATTCTAGAATTGATGGTGACAAATTGGTTAATGGCACTTCCCGCTAGGATCCTGTTGTCTATATGTGTGTGTGCATATGTGGATATGCGTGTACGTGTGCGCATAATTTGTGTGTGTTGCGCGTGCGTTATGTGCACTTATGTGCATGTGTGTGTACCCCCTGCTCTTACCAGATTCCACCCTGAGCAGCCCGACCGAATCTCCGTAATGTTCTCCCGGCACGAGGATCTGGGATTGGTGGGGAGGTGTCACATGGTAACAGCCCGGCTGGCCACAGAGGAAGAGCTCCTTACTTGCCACAGGTACTCTTCTTACCTAGGCCACACCATCCTGTCGTGTGCTATGCCGGCCTTCGTAGGTGCTAGCAAACAGCTCTTGTCCCAACAACCCGAGGCTATGTGGGGGATCGTAATTCTGTGTGTTTTGCGTGCAGCGTTCGGCACGTGAACGCGATGCGGGAGACGACGAGCATGAAGGCGCGGGATCTGCACCGGTGCAGCGCGGATTACAACTCTGTCTACCTGAGCCCCAGCTCGTTCGACAGTGCCTGCTTGGCGGCCGGGGCAGCGCTCAGCCTAGTGGAGGCCGCCATGTGTGGCCAGGTGGGCACACCGAGTGGAACATTGATATGGGAAGTGGGGAGTGATGTTGTAGTGGTTAGTGTGCTGAGCTACGAATCCGGTGGTGGAAGTTCGATTTACAGCTACGACTCGGTGGTGATTATCTGGTGGTGAATATATTGAACCGGTTATGGGTTTACGGTTGGTTTAGTCGGCCTTAAATGAGTACGGAGCACAGAGCGTGAATATCAGCAGTGGGGAGAAAAAGGTAGCCGGGCATGGTGCTGGCCACACCACCCTCTTATGCACTGTGCCAGTCTTTGGTGACATCTGCCTGACCTCGTCCCAAGTCTCATTGACAGAAGCAGGCACTGAGTCATTGGCGATTTGCCAGGATAGGTTAAGGCGACTGAGGTCACGACCAGGTAGGAGAGGGGCGTCTGATGTCACTGGCAAGCTTTAGAAGTTTACGATGTCGATAGAGAACTTGAGGGCTTTGTGGGCAGGGGTGGATTTGTCAAAGCGTGTGACGTGTACCGAGTGCTGGCAGTGCCTTATTGGTGTGGAATGCGGTTGTGGTTATGTGTATGCAAGTATGTATGTGTATGTATGTGGGGATTGGTAGTGTCGCGGTTAGCGTGCTGTGCAGCGAATCCGGCGCCGCAAATTTGATTCACGCTTACGACCAATGTGTGACGATTATCTGAACTTGCTCGGGGCCTCCCCTAGGTCGACTCAGCCTCAAATCAATACTTGGTTCGGTGTTTAAACATCGCCACTGGGGACATAACGGCGGCCGGGCGTGGTGCTGGCCACCCACGCTCTCGTGTGTTGTTGTCGGCCTTCATACGTGTTCGGTAACGGCACTTGCCCCCAAAAGTCTGTAAAGTCTATACGGAGGATCTTTGTATGTATATAGTTGGGAGGTGAGTGCGTGAGTATATTGTGTCTGGGTGGTTGGCTGCAGGTGAGTAACGGGGTGGCGATCATTCGTCCCCCCGGTCACCATGCCGAGAGCGACGTCGCCTGTGGCTTCTGTCTCTTCAACACGGTCGCCCTGGCAGCCAAACACGCGCAGAGCCTGGCGCGCCGCCAAATACGGTGCGGGTTCACATCGCACGTCAAACCGATACCGCATCGTACACCGCAGTACTGCTGTGTAGCGCAGTCCCACCAATAACTACTTCGCATCCCACACCGATACCGCATCCCACACCACAGCAATATTGCATCATTTACCGTGTTGTGCACCACACCAATACTGCACCACACGCTCAATAATTATTCATCACACCAATAATCGCACCATGCTCCACACCAGCAGTCATCACTGTGGTGAAATATGGTCAAAATCCCCATAATGGTAATAAAGTTTTGTTTTTGAAATAGCACCCTTTACACGGGGCATCTCAGATTGCTTTTCAGGCGATAAGCATCTTAGATCACATCTCGTCTCAAACACAATTTGCATGACATGGGTAGTCCCTGATCCAAAAAAGTAGAATGACAAAAATGGCTCTACACGTACCACATCAACACTGCACATACCTCACCAATACTGCGCCGCATACCACACCATGCACCTCGCCAATGTTGCAAAAAAACCTTGCCAACTGTGAGCGACACGCCACGAAACGCACACCACACCAATGCCAAGTCAAAGCACCACACTTCAATCCGACAGGCGCTCTCCGTCTCTCCCTCTCTGACTCGCCCGCCCCTGGGTGCTCTGTGCTCAGGGTGCTCATCGTGGACTGGGATGTGCACCACGGCAATGGGACCCAGCACATATTCGAGGATGACCCCAGGTAAGTGGTCGGCCCCACCGCACACCTCCCGCTGATCTGCCACGTGCTTGGAACTTTGGAAGGGTTTCCGGCAGTGCTGATGGCACGTGCATGCGTGTTGGTCTGTCCACGTGGCTGTAAGTGCAATTTGATACTTCCGCGTAGGTTTTTCGCGGTTGTGTTTTCTAGCTCTCATGTTTTCAAGTCGGCATAGTGCTGGCCAAACTACCCCATCTTGCATCCTTTGTAGGCCTTCCTACGTGGTTTCTTAACAGCACTTGCCCGAACGTTACGTTTCGGCTATACGGGATCAATAACTTCGCTTGGGGAGCAGTTACAAGGGGTATCGCGCACTGCACTGCAAACCTGGCGGCCCGAGTTAGATTACAATACGTGTTGGGTGTTTGTGTACGTACGTGCGCGCCCGTCTTTGCTTTGGGTGTGTGCGCCTGTCCCGTTGTGGTCGCAGCGTGCTCTACGTGTCACTGCACCGATACGACGGAGGGCGTTTCTTTCCGTGCTCGGAGGATGCAAATGTCGACCGTGTGGGCACGGGGCCCGGCAAAGGCTTCAACGTGAATGTGCCGTGGCCGGGGCCCTACATGAGAAACGCCGAGTACCTGGCCGCGTTCACGAGCACCGTGTTGCCCATCGCTTACGAGGTAAGCGGAGCACGCGGATCGTGGCGCGATGTGAACGTTAAAAGTGAAAAGCCAATGAAGAGTGAAAAAGGGTGATGTCAAAGCACTGGAGAGGGTTTTTAGAGGTAGGGTTAGGACCATTTGGAGGGCTGGTATAGCGGCTGGTTGCTCGCTTGGATAAGGTTAGCGGTAGGGCTAGTGCTTGGTTGGCTGGTGTGGTTAGGTAAAGTAACGTAGGTATAAAATAAAATAAATAAATTTTATACCTGCGTGACTTTACCGAAAGAACCAAAGAGTATGGATCCCTGCAGTCACGAAAACCTCAAATCTAGATTGGTGTGGTTAGGGTTTAAATACCACTAATGCAATTCATGACGCTCATAATATTTCATGGACATAATGCCAGTCACTCAGGCATAGGGCCAAGGTCAGACTCACTCGAAAGCCAGGTTTCTCTGAAAGTAGATGTGGATTGATTGCTGTGAATGTGCAGCGGGATGGCGTTACAGACGACGGAGGAAAACAGCGCCTGGCAGCAGCGGTCCTGGTTCTTGGTAAAGAGAGGAGGTTGTGAGTTGAGCTGTGGAGAATACCATGAGCTGTAGTGACATTTGACAGGAGCGAAAAACAATATTGTCAGTTTAGTACCATTGGCTGGTTTGATAGGGGTAGGGCTAGCACTTGGCTGGCTAGTGCACTGCTACACCTTCTAAATTGTGTGCCTTTTTGTACCACCGTGCATGGCCTTTTGAGTTGTCTGCATTTTTTATATCCAGTTTTCGCATAGCCCTTCTCATATGTGCCCACATGCCAATCCATCTGCGATCTCTTGCGTTTGGGTGTATGCGCGTGCGTGTGCAGTTCGACCCCGAGCTGGTGCTTGTGTCGGCGGGATTTGACGCGGCACAGGGCGACCCCCTGGGCCTCTGCATGGTGACCCCGGATTGCTACGCGCACATGACGCACATGCTGCTAGGGTTGGCTAACGGACGGGTCCTTCTCTTCCTGGAGGTAACGTAGCGTGGCGCAGGTACCCTGTCATCAACTCACCTTCACCGACAACGTGATCGGAACACCCACACCATCACATTTTGTCAGCACACTTACCATCATCACACCTTCACCAACAATGGAAACACCCTGGGATTAATTTCATCCTGATTTGTCTGGTGTTAGTAACCTAGAAAAACATATTTTGGCAACTGACATACCCGATCCACCGTACCGCTCACCATTAGCCATGTGCCATCTACTCCAGTCTTACCAGAAACCTGGAAAATATTCTGTGAAAAAAAATAAAGCCAGGGAAACACCCAATCGACACACCAAACACACAGTGAGCAGCTATCAACACACCTTTAATATTAGACCATCATCAACACATTTAATCAGCACACCACAGCATCAACAAACATCCTTTCAATAACAACCCAATGTTGCCATCAGGAACACCCAAAGTATCAACTCACCCATGCCATCAACATACCTACGCAATCCACACAGCCACATCATCACCACGTCACACCATTAACACACACCGTAAACACACCTACACCATCCACACATACATGCCATCACCGCATCACACCATTAATACACTCACACCATTAACATGCACACACGCCATCCCTGCGTCATACCATTAACTTGGCGTCGTGTGCGTGACGCGCTGCAGGGAGGGTACAACCTCACCACGATTGCCGAGTGCATGGCCATGTGCACCCGCACGCTGCTGGGAGACCCCACGTTGGCCCTCGGGCCCCTGGAGCCGCCCCAAGCGGGCGCCGAGAGGGTGCTCACCAGCGTCCTGCACACGCACAGCCCGCTCTGGCACAATCTGCGCATACCAGGTACGTGCTTCGTGCAGACATGTTCGTGCTAATGGGTACAGTCCGCTGTTTTTTTGTGTTTAGTTTGGTGTCCTTCGCCCGCACCTCCAATTAGCAAGGTTCGCTACGTACGGTGCGAAAGAAGTCCAACATACGTACATCCATATGTCCAAAGTTTGGCGTTGCAGTTTTTGGGGTTGCCCTTATTGTCAAAAGTGCTCCTGGTTTCTCATTCAAGTGCGTTTCGCCCTCCCGACCTGGCAGTGCCACTCACTGAGGAGTCCCCCGAGGATGGCCAGCGTGGGGACGACCTCTCGACCCTGACACCCGCGGCCGTGCACGCGCACCAGGAGCACCTCGACAAGCAGCACCCCGCCGCCGACGACAGCGCACGGAGCTCCGCGTCCCACAGCTTCACGGCCAGCTTGCTCGGCGACACGGGGAGCCTCGGGAGTTCAAACTCGGCGAGCGATTTCACGGACAGCTCGTATTTCACGGCGGACAGCCCCGTGGGTTCTACGTCGATGCCGCGTTCCGCGAGCAGCCCGCAGGACACCACGGCCAGCCCCGGGGGTTGCGCGTTGATCCGGAGCTTCAGCGGTAGCCCGCCTCGTGCCATGGACAGCCCTGACGTTTCTACGCCACTTTCCCCACCGACATCCGCGGGCGCTGCGAGCGCGTCTACGTCGACCCCCGCGGGCAGCAGGGTGAGCGGAGCGAACACCCCGCAAGATCCTCTGACACCGATTGCTGCGGATAGCCCAGTGCTGCCCCCTCTGCGACCGCGGGTACCGCCCGACCAGTCTTCGGCAGCACCGGCTGGGACAGCGGCATCCGTGGATGAACTGGCGGAGGCAATGGCCTCTTGGGCGCCCGGTCTGGGCTCGAAGGCTGAGCAGACAGGAAGTAGTGACGGGCGGCCTCCGCACGTGTGCACCGCCAAGAATGGCCTTGTTCCGTCGGACGGCGTGGGGCTGTCTGCTGGGATGGGGTCTCGCTTGGATGGCGCAGCGGTGGGTGGGGCCAGACCCAAGATGCGACTCTCTGATTGCGTGCGGCAGGGTCAGGAAGGAGACTCGCCCATGGTATGCGCCTTCCGTGTGCGTCTTTATCGTTCTTCTTAAAATGTGTACGACGAGCAGGGTTTCCCCAAACTGCTCTAATCACAACACACCGTGTTCTACCCTTTCTACGATTACCAATCTTCGCTGCTGAAATACACATTTAGAGGCGTTACATGCTGCAAGCGTCTGATGATTCATATCACCCGTACGTGACGGCTCAGAGGTCAGAGCGCTGACCTTGGCACCGGTCATAGTTCAACATGCACAAATGCAGACTGCTCATGCCACGGAGCGGAGCCTTGACGCACCGCAAACCGGGCGACTCGTTTGATGAACACTGAATCCCTGCCGTGTCGTTGGTGTGCGCGGAATCAGGACGCGTCGTCACCGCACGGAGGCATCCACGAGGATGGCAGCAAGAGTGATCGTACAGGAGTGTGCGAGAGCGAGGCTGTGCGTGGTGGCGAGGCTGTGTGCGGTGAGAGTGAGGCCGTGTGTGGTGAGAGTGAGGCTGCGTGTGGCGGTGAGACTGGAGGACCGTGTGCTATACCCGGGAAGGATGAAGTGGCCTCCGGAATACATGAAGATGACGTGGGTTTGGCGGAGGCCAGCGGCTGGACGGTGAGTAATGCCCCCACGCCCTATTTAAGCGCCACCTTCACTTCTCACAAACATTTCTCGTACACGGAATAACATTGTGTCCCTCTTAAGTCAATAAAAAAATATATATTTCTTGTAGTCAACTTAAAAATTAAATATATTTTTCTACAGTTTTGTCTGGATTGTGCTGGAGGTATAATGCCATGATATCAAATTATATATTCTGATCTCTCACGTGGGCAGTGCAACTCTTCATGTTATACGAAGGCCCATGGGCGCCTCAGAAAGGGCTGAGGTGGACTCAGTGGGGACCTCGCTGGTATTTTTCACCGAGCTTCCAAAAAGATTTCGGCAGCTCTGCGTAAACTAAAGCCTAGCGGCGAGTTACACAGCCGGTGTGAGATAATGTGATGTCATATAATTTAATCTCCACAGTCAAAGTTATAATTTTGTCTTGAACCCTTGTACAAATTCTGTTATCGTACTTTGACTCCCCCCTATGGAAAATGAACCCCTCTGGTCAGAATCCTATATATTATTTGACCTCAGGGGCTGTGGATGGGGGGCTTAAACCACCACAGAGGAAAGGGGTTCAAATAATATATGGTATTCCGTCCGCAGGTATTAGCATTCCATGTGTATTAAATACCACCCCACACTGGCTGCGACCGCTGACCGGACACGGCTTTTTGTTGAATGTGCCCTCAGCCCCCGTCGCTGTGCTACGCGGTGAAGCCGCTGTCCTGGTGTCCTCACCTGGACGCCGTGACGGCCATCCCCGGCGGGGCCGTGGATCCCTCCTCCCCGTGCGTCGATTGCGGGGACTCGTCGGAGAACTGGCTGTGCCTCGTCTGCTATGAGGTGCAGTGTCGCGCGCCCCCCGCCGGAGCGTTACGACGCGCTCGCAAAAAAAAACCCGTCGCCGTACGCACCTAGGGGCGTAACGGATGTATCGCGTAGTTGATATCAATATTAATACTTCCCTCGTGCCCTGCTGCAGAGGGCTCTCATTACTCTGATAGTGAGTTGTCTTTGTGCTTGTACGCCTTTTGGCGTCCTCTGGTCTAACACCGTTTTGAGACGAGGCTCAAAAGAAAGCTGTCTCTGGTGGGGACCAAACAGTTTCAAAGACAATGCATATATTATGAGAATGTTTTTTTGTTTGCATTCTGACCACAAGTATTGTGGTTAATGCAGACATGATTCCTTGTAGAAGGTTTCAGTTTGGTGTTTTTACATCTCAACACCTGTTTTGTTGCCAGAAAAAATGGAAAAACCTATTCTCATATTCTGGTACTGGCAAAGGAGGTCCCATGAAACAAGACTGATAACTCGAACACATTTGTCGATAACACAAATGATGCCCTATTTTGCCTAACAGAGCAAACAATACAAGTGAGATGAACAAGACGAGACGAATAAAGATTGATTCTTGAATCAAATCGTGGCCCTGGATTGTGACGATTAATTGAATTGCTGCGGGGAATTTACCATTTGTAACGATCCACATGACTCAAGGGTCGAAGATCGCAGTGAATGCAGCAGCCATCGGTAACAATCGTGCGTGCGCTGTGCGGGTTGGCACATTGTAGGCATATTGCGGGAGGTACGTCCGCGGGCACATGCTGCAGCACAGCGAGAAGAGCGGACACGCGCTCGTGCTAAGCTTCGCGGACTTGTCTGCCTGGTGCTACTCCTGCGACTCGTACGTGCACCACGAGGTGAGAGCTGCATCCCATCTCACGCGTGCGTCCCTGGGTTAGGTTGAAGCACTACCTACGTTCCAGCTATTTGTATTTTCCCAGGTAAGGCCCACTGAGCTATATAGCTCTTTTTCAGAATCGACCTGGCCACAAATTAAGTGGCTTATTTGCGTGGAAATTTATAGCAGCCGAATACTCCAAACTCATGTTTCAAAATCTTGGGAGGGAAAAAAACGGAGGACCCTGAGAAAAAAACCACGCGATCACGGGGAGAACACGCAAACTGCAAATATACAGCAGGTGTCGGGGTTGGGAGTGAACTCGCGACCTCCTCTATACCAGGCAAGGTAGTTAACATCTCGCCACCATGGCGCCTCCTTGCGTTGCATGAGTCATGGGTGCTGTTCGACCAGCCTTGATCAGGCAGGTTCAGTGCGGGTTGGTGAAGAGGGAGTGAGCGCCCAGGGGTGGTTCAGATACCACTCGCCACTGATGTTAGCCTTGGACGGGAATTGAACTCGGGTGGCCGCGCCACACTGCATGGACCACTGTGCCACTGCTCCACCCCGCATCATTCTTATAAGTCATGAATGGGATTGCCCCATCATCTAAATACAGCAGACCCCCTGAAAAATACGGCTTGAGACTCTGCGAGGCTCTCCTGTGCAAACAATTGACTTTATTTTCATTGGTTGTGTATTCTGTCGCCACTTCTTGTGTGTTTTATGCACGAGTTTTCACCTTTGTGAGTAGTCATGTCTGTAGCCTGGATGTGCGTGTGTAAGCGTGTGTCGACATTCAGTAACTTCACGGGAGTGTCGCAATGCTCAGTTTTTAGCTCACCGGAGCACCACACCTATGCGGATTAATTATTTGGCTGAGAATACTGTACAATGTCGACTGGGCAGGAGGAGTCGTGGGCATCAAGGGCTGAGATGACGGTAGTTAAGTGTGCCTGTTCGGTGTCTCTGTGTTTATGTACGTACTTTCATTTGTGCCTGTGTTCTTGTGTGTATGTCAATGCGTGCATGTCCATGTGTGCATGTTCATGTCCATATGTGTCTGTCTGCATGTTCATTGTGCGTGTCGAATGTGTACGTGTCCGTGCTTTCGGAGTCCCTGACTCTGCTTACAATCGTTAAGGACCTTCATGATGGTGGGCAGGCCTGGGTAAAGGTACGTAGCTGGTATTTACAGCCATTCCCTGTTCACCTTGGATTGCAACAGGGATGTCCTCTAGAATTATTGAACATCATCTTCGACCACGTAGTTTCATCGCTCTATCGGAGGAATTTCCATCTGGTACAGATACAATGGGAGGCTGATCGATGCCCAGGTGTGGTCGAGGGATGGCTCCAAATTAGTCAACTATGTTATGAATGATGATGATGATCTGGCGATTGCTGCTCACTCAGAGAAGTAATTGGGGGCACTGCTGCTTGACCTGGAACATACTACTAAGAGGTGGAGCTTTACTGTCAGCCCCACGAAAACTAAGCATCTGCCTGGGTATTTTGTGTTATCAAACACTCCACCCACTCTATACCCCAATTGGTGATGGGGAAGTTGTGGAGAGAGTGGAGAAGTTTCCATATCTGGGCAATGTGTTAATTGCCAGCACTGGTTTGATAGCAGATTTCTCGCTCCGAATCAGTCGGGCAGCATTATCTTTTCATTGGCTGCTTAAAGCTGTGTAAAACCTACTTTGTCGCTCCACACGAAGCTGTGGGTCTTCTCGGCCATAGTCATGCCTTCCCTTCTCTATTCCTGTGAAACTTGGATCCCCCTAATGGAACATCTGCATGGTTTAGAAACATTCAGGCTGGCCTGTCTACGATCTATCCTGGGTTTAACCATGCTGTATTGTGTGTGTCACAAATCCTTTAAAGATGTGGTAAGTAGTGCCAGTGCAATGGTTAGCGCGCTGCGCTACGAACCCAGCGACTCGGTCGACTCAGCCTTAAATGAGTACCTGGTGCGATGCGTAACCATCTCCACTCGGTAGACAAAGGCGGCCGGGCGTGGTGCTGGCCACCCACCCCCTCGTGTACCGTGCCAGCTTTCATAGGTGCTCTCTAACAGCACTGTGCTCAAAAGTCTGTTCAGGCTGTATGGGGGATCTTTGTCTTTGTGTTTTTTTTCCCACTGGCAGCTGCTGTTCCCAGCCAAGCGGGCCGCCTATCGATCCAAGTTTGACGAGGAGATGCCGGGCCTGCCCTGAGACACACCCCACCTGGCCGTGGCCCACGCAAGACGTTTTACGTAACATCTTTGTCGCCGTTAGCGACAGATTTTACCTGTGAATCGGGCAGCAGGGTTCACTGCCAACCTGCCATCAATAAACCTTGCACCGTTTCCAGAGAGCACGCCCGTGGTGTGGTTTGTTGCGTCGACAGAACTCGTTATATAAAGAGGAGCGCGGTGCTGGTGTGAGGAAAACAAAAGGGGCCAATGTAATTGAAGTGTTTCTCATTATTTTGTTTATGAAAGGTTTTTTTGAGAAAGCTTTTGTCTTGTATTTAAACCAAAGCAATGCCCTGCTGGTTTCTGTGTAGTCACCAATGACTGCAGAAATAACGAATTAAAAGACTTGTATTTTATTTGGTTTTAACTTCATTTGGAAAAATTCCAGTTTTGGGAATTAATAATTTCAGTTCGATATGTGAGGAATAATAATTTGTGTTCATTATCCACTGCTGGATGAAGGCTTCCTGAAGCCATCTCTCAAGAGTTTCGCAATGCAGGAATCCTCGCCCCTGCACATGAACTAAATTCTTTGCACCGCTACTGTGGAGGACGCGTTCGCTCCTTTGGCTGCCGCTCTGTCGTTAGTCTCGACCAGCGGCCACCCTCCCTTGCAGTGATGTTTCAATACCCTGGGCAGTTGGTGAACACTCTTGGCAGAGAATTACAAATTTTTACTCCTAGTGTTGATATAAGGAGGCCTATTCAAGTGACTTATTAAGTAGTCCTATGATGTATTCTTCTTGGGGAATTCCAGAGTAGTGCAACTGCTCATTCATGGAAATGTCTTCATCACGTCGTCATGTCGGTGAAAGAAGTTCAACATACATACAAAGAAGAAACACCAATGTTGTGTGTAATGAGATTGGTGGTCGTGGCTTTTCTTGACCGAGTGTCTAGGAAAGCGTGTGTACCTGTGTGCGAGGCGTTAATTTCGCGTTGCGTGGAGGTGAATTTGCTACACCTTGCCCAAGTGTCGACTCGCCTCCCAAGTGCCCCAAAGGAACATTCACACACTTTGTACTAATTCTTACAGACTCACGTGAAAGGGTGCTCGCTGGCGCGCGTGCATGCACGCACACACCGAAAACCAGTCAGCTCTGGTCCTACAGAGTGCAGGAGCTATTGACTCTGTCCTGAGTGGCTTAATCTCTTTTCATGACACAGACCTAATGTTGTTGTAATAACTGGTTTAAACATTACATCCTTGTCCGTAAAGGATTGGGACACGCCCTCCGGAGATCACAAAACCCCAGCGGACGGCAGCCAGGCGCCACTCGGCGACTCCCGAGGGCAGGAGTAGTGGGGCTGTGGTGAGCGCAGTGAGCCAGAAATAATGCATCTCTATGAGCCAGAGTGCGCATCATAATATTTAGTGAACCAGAGCTAAGAAAAGTAAGCAGAGGTCAGCGAGCACGGTGAATCGCAGTGACTCACTGCCCAATGAGCCAGAAAGCAAGATTTAACTTTGTGAACCAGTCTGGCAGTGATAGTTTGTTGAGCCAGAGCGACACCTCGGTGAGCCAGTGACCCGTAGCTCGTTCAGCCAGTGACTAGCATTGAACTTGGTGAGCCACACAATCACGGTTGTAGTGAGCCAGTGACTCCCAGATCGGTGAGACAGCATAGACGAGCCAGAGATAAGAATAGTAAGCCAAGGTCAGTGAGCCGGTGGCTATTTTGAAACCGGTGAGCCAGGGAGAGCACAGTGAGCGAGCGACTCGCTGTCGGAGTGCTACACGGAGCTCGTTGAGCCAGAGCGAGCGTAGCGAGTGCCTCGGTGAGCCGGAGCGAGCAAAAAGTTACTCGTAGAGCAAGTAAGAGGGGTGTGCGAGTCACAGTGGCACAGTGAGGGTCGGTGGGGGTGAGTGCAAGTGGTTCTGGCACGGCCTGGAGACCTGCGGTATTGTGAGGAGTGACTTCTACGATGACGTCCATCAGCAAGAACCCCTCCAGCCAGAGCAACCACACATCTCTCAAGCAGGTACCACCGGCAAACACTGTCACAAAGACAAAGATCCCCCGGAGAGCCTGAACATACTATTGGGGCAAGTGCTGTTAGCGAGCACCTATGAAGGCTGGCATGTCACACGAGGGGGTCGGTGGACAGCACAGCGCCCGGTCGCCTTTGTCTCCCCAGTGGCGATGTTTGCACACCACTGTACCAGGTACTCATTTGAGGCTGTGGAGGCCCAGGACCGGTTCAGATAAGCAGTATCACAGGTATCACAGGTGTTGGCCGTGAGCGGGAATCGAACCTGGGCTGCTGGGTTCAGAGCGCAGCGTGCTAACCGCTGCGCCACCGCTCCCCACAGCCTGTCACACACACGTGCGCTTTCAAATTGCGTCCTGTGTCACGACAGCATTTCGCTTGCATAGCCGTGTGGTCGTGAATCACTCGCGTGTGTGTGTTGGGGTGTCTACGCTTGCGAAACGTGGACACCCCTAATGGAACATCTTCGCTGGTTAGAAACATTTAGGCTGGCCTGCCTACGATCCATCCTGGGTTTAACCAGGCTGGATTGTGTGAGGAGCTCACAAATCCTTGAAAGATCTGGGCAAGGTCCCATCGGTGAGCTCCTCCGGCAGGCAAGGCTGCGTTGGCTGGGTCATGTAGACCGCATGCCCAGCCACCGCATGCCGAAACAGCTTTTGTTCGGCCAGATCGAGGGGGCTAAACGGGCGCGGCACAGGCTAGAGAAGAGATGGAGTGATGTGGTACAGGAGGACGTGGAGCTGAGTGGACTTGCCGATGACTGATACCAGCGGTGTCAAGATCGGCCTCTGTGGAGGAGGCTCGTGAAGGACGCTACTGGGCAGTTGGAGGCAGTCGCCCTCCAACAACAACGGAGGGCGGAGGAGCGACGCTCACAACAACGAGCGGAGCGCCGGGTGGCTAAAGCACAGCAAGTTAGCACAGTAGGGGGCACAGGTGGTGCATCAGCCAGTCATCTCAGTCGACCCGTGGCACCTGGGTCTGCCCCGTGACCTCCTGTCAGCGGGCGTTCGACACTTCACGTGGCCTCAAGGTGCACATGGCCTGGCACAAGCGTCGTGGTGACGTCACCGTCACTTAGTGGCGAATGGCGGTTGTTGTGTGTTGGGGTGTGTTAGGATGTCTGTGTGTGATGGGGAGTGATAGTGTCGCGGTTAGCGGCGCTGCGCTACGAACCTGGCGACCTGAGTTCGATTAGCACTGAACCGGTCTTGGGCCTCCCCTAGGTCGATTCAGCCTGAAATTAGTGTGTAAACATCGCCACTGGGGAGACAAAGACGGCCGGGCGCTGTGCTGTCCACCGACCCCCTCGTGTGACATGCCTGCCTTCATAGGTGCTCGCGAACAGCACTTGCCCTGACAGTCTGTTAAGGCTACACGGGGGGGGGGGGGGGGATATTGGTTGTTGGGGGGTGTGTTGAGGGTTGTCTTTACGATTTTATTTCACGCAGTTGCTGGGCAAAGCGGCCAGCCACACAATTACACCGTCGAAGTCTTAAGAGGTAAAGGAGTCCAACGGGCATCTTTAATTAGAGCCAGGTTATTATGTGCTTGGGGGAAAAATAGAGCTGATGGGGAAGGAATTCCCAGGTGAGGCGCAGCGAGGGGAGGACACAGAGGGGAAGGAATGTTCACCTGAGGGTTGAGTGAGTGAGGGTTGAGTGAGTGAGGTGAAGTGATTGAGTGAGCGGACGCGTCTGGTGAGTGTAGGTGAGTGAGTTCGTGCGCTGTTACACGCTTATTATTTAACTCACTGTCTGTTGTTGTTGTATCCTTCAATCTTGTAGCTCAATTTTAACCCACTTCCCAATGTGGTATCGAATGCAAACTTAGTATACTTATGTCTTACTGATGACAATACTATATTCTATTAAAAAAAACACATCTTTTAAAACATTCATTTTTATATGTTATGTTTCGGCTTTGGTCTAATTGTCCATGGTCAACTGACGTTGGCTGTAATTGGCCACGGTCCCCTTACGTTGTGGCAAGCTTCGGGGCCACTTCCTTGAGCCGTGGAGTTCTTCCATTACGAGTAGGGTACGTTTCATTAAAGCTTGTTTAAAATAAAGTATTTTTAAGTATTAATTCTTTTTAATCTTCGGTGTTTTTTTTTTTTTGGGGGGGGGGGGGGGTTGAAAAAGAGTGCAGATGAGACGAAACAGCGTTTGTCAAGGTGTTCGACTTGGCTGGAGGCATGAACGTGTGAAGTTCGTGGTACAACAGGTAACCACCGGCACAGACCGAAGACAAAGTTCCCCCGTATAGCCTTCGACTGTTGGGGCAAGTGGTGTTAGCGAGCACCTAAGAAGGCCGGCACGGCACACGAAGGGGTGGGCGGCCAGCACCACGCCCGGCCGCCTTTGTAGAGGAGTGACAGAGAGCTGCGCGTTCCGCTTGTGTTGCTCTTGTCATCGACCCACAGGACCCACAGGACCCACAGGAGGATCACCGGGCTCGCTTCGACCGCAGCAGCCGACGGCCTCGCTCGCGGTCGCGCACGGACTCGTACGACAGCTTCGCCCTAGGTTAGCGCTCGTCAGCAGCACGTGCGCGACACGACGACGCCACGACGCCGGGTGCATGTGCTCGCACAGACGCCGACGACGTTGATGACGACGACTATGACGACGACGACATTGATGATGACGATGTTGATGACGGTGATGACGACGACGATCACGACGTTGATGACGACGATGACGACGTTGATGACGACGATGATGATGACGACGATGACGACGTTGACGACGATGACGACGTGCGCCCCACAGAGATGCGTTGCGCGCGAAGAGAGGCGCAGCACGGACACGAGACGAAGATCCCCCCAAGATAGCCTTCACGGGGCTTTTGGGGGGCGAGTGCTGCTAAACGTCGTACTCAGATTGTAAATGTTGTGGCTTGGCTCTCCACCACACTGGTGTGCTGTACTAGTGACGAATTGGCTACGTTCTGTTTACGTGACAACCCTTAATAGTTGGCTGTGTCGGGTGGTGGCGGGTTTAACGACACATTTATCTATTTACGCGATCTAACCCCAAAAAATATCTATTATGGATGACAGAGGAAGTTACATGGTCTGAGATATTAAACAATCATACATAAATTAAACAAAGCAAGAAAATTGCTAATGCTGAAATAAATTACACCGCAATAGTTAGCGTATATAAACAAGTGATAAAATACGCTCGCAGATTCCCAGTTGTTAAATCAAAGTTACAGTTGAAAATGTGTCTGGAGCTCTGATCCAGCGTGAGAGTTTAAATTCTTGATGGTAAATTCACCAGATTTAGAGAGGCCACAGCCAAGCGAGAGGAAATTATTGTCAATGTAGGGCACGACAATCGTAGGTGGGTGAAGTATCATGGGTGAAATAATTAAGATCTGTCCATGGGATCCGAGAGAGTATGTGTGTGCGTGGCCTGGGGCATTGAGAAACTAACGGAGGCCCTCTTATCTGCATTCTCCGGGGCCTGGGTGGAGGGGGCCGCTTGTGCTGTGACACCGGCCAAGGAGCTTAACATCTGGTTTACTCCAGACCGGTTTAAGGAGGGGGCCCATGTGATTAGTGGCAGCATGGTTATCGTCGCTGCGTGCGGCTGAGTAGCAATTAACAGCCACAACTCCTTTATTCCCGCTCCATAAAGTGCACGCGGACCCATTAGACGCGGGCAGGTGGGTGCGGGCGGGAGGGGGGCAGTGAATTGAGTGCCCCGGCCAACACCACTGCTGTTCCGTGAAGGTCACGAGGTCGCCCGCCCCCTCCCTTCCCCCCGAATGCAGCAGTAATAACGCTTAATAGCGCAAGCGACATGGATCTAATGATGGCTGAGACGCGTAAATGACCCTGGTTAACTGCCGTTGGAATGTGTGCGGTGTGTGCGCGCGGTGGAGGGCAGTGGTAATGCTGTTGTCGCATTGTGGTAAAGTTCACCCTTCACGCGTCCCTTGCCCAGCTGTGTGGTGAGAACGCACAGTGTCCGTGCCAGTGCACTCAGGAGCGAGGGGTGGCGTCTGGAGGCATAGCAACGTCTTAGGAGCGCGACATTAAGTTTCTTAGTTAATCTCAGAGATGGTTCCAGGGAATGAACAATGGACGTGTATAGGTGTTACGGGAGCGTGACACGCGGTTGTATGGCGGTGGCCACAAACACGTCCGCTGCGGCCACCACCCTGGGGGCTGTGGGGGACGCTGTGATCCCTCCCAGCCCCACCCCTCAGTGAGGGACAGTATAAAAGGTGGGACCCGGAGAGCTGAGGGGGAGTTCGACCCAGTCAAGACGAAGAGCCAGTGAAGAATGAAGATCGACTGGCCAGACCCTGGAACTCCTTTGACTCGCTGCCCTTTTGAGGGCCGGGCAAAGCAAACCAGGGGGTACGACACCAGAGCCACGAGGGCCGATGTCCTTCCGAGGGCCGGACTCGTGTGGCTGGTGGTCGGGACCTGCGCCGAAGCTGGGCCAGGTCAGACAGCCTCCTGAGAGAGGACCAGGATAGAGGGAACCAGGGAGCTAGCGTGGGCTAAAGCTCGGGGAACGTTCCCTCTATAGAGTACGGGTGAAGAGGCCGTTACCTCTTCGAGTATCAGGGTCGCTACTGTAATTGAAGTGGCTGTAATAAATACGTGTTGCCTCAAGTCAACAGTCTCTGACGTCAATAAGGCCACTACAGACGGATATTCGCTTAAAAAAAAGTTAAAGTGATTTCTTGCGGGGCTTATCTCTCTTTATTACAGCCCTGAACCAGTGGTGGAAATTCCACATTCCTATGGTGGGGGTACGACTATCCATAGGACAACCACCGTTGACTCCCCCCCCCCCTACAAAGTGATACCCATTGTTATCGACCACGGCTGGATAATCGGCCGAGTCAACCCCCAGCGCAGGATTTGAACTCGCAACCTTGTGAGCCACTCGTTCTCCAGCCGATGCCACTGTTCGGAATTGTTCATCACGTTGGCACTGTGGAGCGTCCTTGACTCTCCGCGTGTGGCTCAGCTGTCCGCAGCATTCGCCTGACGTTGTTCACGCGGTCCACGACCGTCACCCACTGTGGCCGTGGCAGTGCGAAGCGATGAGGCCGAACCGTCGGCTCAGCTGTCAGCCTCTTCTTTGCCACCTCATTAGCCACCAAATCGGTTTGACACATCTCTGCTGCCCTCATTCGTGAAACCTGGCCACCGGCTGTATGTACTGTACCATATGTTGAACCTCTTTAGCACCGTACGTAGCCAACCGCGCAAATCGGAGGTGTGGGGAAAGGGCGACAAACTAAAACACAAAAATCAGTTCGAAAGAAATTCGTTTTCAATATCGATTTAAAAGTGCATAGCTCCAGTTGCTTCCTAGTATCAGAAGGAAGAGCGTTCCAGACGGCCGCAAAAGCGCATCTGAAAGCGCACAATGCAGTGACCCTCTTCGTTCGATGGCCAGTCAAAAAACACTGCGAGGATGACTGGGCAGGAGATCTGCGTGTCCACCCGTACGTTCACGCGTGTGTTCACCCATGTCTGTGTGCATTGTGCGGGGAGTGGTGGCATAGCGCTTAGCACACTTCGCTATCAAACATGGAGACCTGCTTTGATTATAATAGCACGCACAACGTGAGTGGCGAATTACATCTGAACCATTCCTGGGTTTCCCCTAGTTCGACTCGGCCTTAGATGAGTGCCCAGTGAATTATGAAACATCAGCATTTGGGAGAGAAACATGTGGCCGACTGTGGTGGTGGTGGTGGTGGTGGCCACACCATCCCTTGACGGACCGTGGCGGCTTTCTTCGGTGCTCTCTAACAGCATGGTCTAAGTAGGCTACACGGGGTGTGTGTGTGTGTGTGTTTGGGTTCACGTGTGTGTGTGTGGCTGCAGATAGCTCGGATGAGGAGGGGGTGTCGCCCCGGGAGACGGCGGGGGACGATGATTACTGCGTGAAGGATGCGAGTCGCGCAGAGCTGGGCCGACGAGAAATCAGCATCGCGCAGCAGGGTGGGTCCACCCCGTGCACAAAGCGCCCGCACCTCAGATTACCACGGTTGGCTACGTACGGTGCGAAAGAAGTTCAACATACATCGCGTGCGAGTCCGCGGCACTGCCTAGGTCCTGGTGGGATAGGCCGGTGTCAAGGTGCGGATTGACCTGCGGGAGTGTTTCCATCTTTCATGGGTCAGAATCGGAATATTTAGACTGCAGCAGGAATTCGATGATCTATAAAGCTCTTTTTCACATATGTCCAGTTAGGGGCGGGTCAGAACGTGACAACAATAAACAACACAAAAACACGCTAGGAGTATAGCCAAATCACTTTTTTTTAAAAAAAAAGTTTACAAATAAAAATAAAAATACAGAGGAGAAAAGGAGTTCCAGACGCGTGGGGATGCAGTGGCAACATAACGGCGCGAGTCGAGCTGTTAGCCGTGGCTCCCAAGGTCACGTTGGCCGTGGCTCCCAAGGTCACGTTCCCACTGCCCTTTGTCCCCGCAGACATACCGGCGCTGATGGCGCTGAGGAAGAGAGCGGCGCGGGACCGGCCTCTCGCCGGGGCGCGCATCGTGGGCTGCACGCACGTCACGGCGCACACCGCGGTACGAGCCCTTAACAGCGCTCCCCCCCCCCCCACCCGGCCCCGGTCACCTTTGTCTCCCCCAGTGCTGATGTTTACACACTGAATCAGGTAGTCATTTGAGGCCGAGTCGACCTAGGAGGAGGACCCGCGGGACCAACTCAGGTATTCGTCACTGATGTGTCGTGAGCGGGAATCGAACTCGGGGTTCGCAATGTGGTGCGCTATTTATGAAACTATTTTTTTTATAATTAGCAGGTATGAAGCAACCTGGCTTTTTAATGATAGCTCAACAAAGTGGATTATCATCACGTGGAAATGTTTAGCAGCCAAATACTTTAAACGCATGACGTTGATTCTAAAAGTGGATGGGAAAACCAGAGGACCCGGATTAAGAAATCCACGCGACCGCGGTGGGAGAGAGACATGTCGACTCCAAATACACAGCAGCACGCGTCAGGGTCTGGATCGAACCCACGACCTCCTGCATACCAGGCGAGGTAGTTAACATCTCGCGATCGCGGCGCCCCGCTAACCACTGCACCACCGGCTCCCCACCACATGCACTTAACCTGGGAGTGGATGGAACATTAGAAGCTATCGACCGCGACGAGGAGCATAGATGTGGGGGCAGCTTGTAATGAAGAGGGGGTGGAGGTGGCTGGAGGGCCGGGGGGGGGGGGGTCTGTGGGGTGGCTCGCAATAACGAGGTGGGCGTGCGTGTACAGGTGCTGATTGAGACGCTGTGCGACCTCGGAGCCGAGTGTCGCTGGGCGGCGTGCAACATCTACTCCACGCACAACGACGTGGCCGCTGCACTGGCTGAGGCCGGTACGCACGTGCGCGTGTGTCCATGTGTTTCAACAAGAGTAATAATGCCCACTTGTAACGCGCCGCCGCCGCCGCCGCCACACCCGCACACCACTCGCTCCTAGCTCTCGTAGAGAGAGAGAGAGAGAACGACTCAGAGGCGCGAGGAGGAACCACAGACGAGCAGGAAGGCAGCAGCAACCACGCGGTGAGGAGGCGCCAACAACAATTGCCCAAGCTCTGCGGTCCTCTAGATATTTAAAGGTGTTATCGGCAAATTAATGAGTGCTTACATGGGGGCGGAAACCAGAGGACTCGGAGGAAATCCTTGCATGAGCATGAAGGGGGTGAAACGCTCTATGCCATACAGACGGCACCGGTGGAATTCACTTTTTGCTGCGCCTGGCCTTCTGGCGAGCCAGGGTATGGGGCTCCTCCTCAACGCCCACGGGAAGGGAGACGGAACAGATGGAGATTAGTCCACGCACTCTGCTGTACCGCCGTCTCCTGGAGAGCCAGGGTATTACTCCTCATCGACACTCACGGGAAAGGGAGTAAAATAAGTAATATTTAAAAACACTTTAAAAAAAACATGCTTTAATGAAATGTATCGTACAAGTAGTGGCAAAACTCCACAACTCCAGGAAGTGGCCCCGAAGCTTGCCATAACGTAAGGGGACCGTGGTGAATTACAGCCAACGTCTGTTGAGCGTGGACAATTAGACCAAAGCCGAAACATAACATATAAAAAATAATGTTTTAAAATGTTTTTTTTTTATGATAGAATATAGTATTGTCATCAGTATGACATAAGTATACCAAGTTTGCAGTCGAAACCACATTGGGAAGTGGGTTAAAATAGAGTTACAAGATTTGAGGATACAACAACAGACAGTGAGTGAAATAAAAGTGTGTAAAATAAAATAGTTTTATTCACCAGGTAAGGCCCCCTGAGCTACGTAGCTCTTTTTCAAAAGCGACCTGGCCACAAATGGCAGCTCAACGAAGTGGCTTATCACGTGGAAATGTATAGCAGCCAAATACTCTAAACGCATGTTTATAAATGTGGAGAGAAAAACCGAAGGCCCTGGAGAAAAACCCACACGACCACGGGGAGAGAGACACGCAAACTGCCAATATACAGGGGCCAGGGAAGGGATCGAACTCACAACCTCCTGTATACCAGGCGAGGTAGTTAACATCTCCTAGCCACCGTGGCACCCTAAATGTTTAGCAATCCCACCAACGATTACACGGGAAATCTTTGTGTGCGCACGCGTGTCTGCGTGTTGTGTCCGGGTGCATTTGCGTGTGTGTTGTGACTTGCGCTATATTTCCCTGGATCTTTGGTCCTTAAATTCTAAGTGGAAGGGTCACCAGGCCCCTCGCCCCCATCCGTAATCTCCGTGGATGTGAGCTCGCCATGAGGGAAATCAGCTGGCTCAAGTCAGCCTTCCCCCCCCCCAATGGCATTGTTCATAACACACCACGAAGTTACCGTCTGACAGCACGAGGAGGTGGGGTGGCGGTATGTTTTTGCCAGACCGCATTAATACAAGCCCCGAGTTCTATTCTTGGCCATGGCCAACATTAGTGTTGAGTCATAATCGAATCATCCCTTGGACTTCCCAAGTTGGAGTCCGCCTTACGTGATTAACGTAATGCAGCTTGTTAACATCAGGGCTGGGGAGACAAAGGTTGACCTGCCACGTTTCCTGGCCACACCACCCCCTCTCGTATTGTATGTCAGCCTCAGTAATTTATCACTCAAGGTAATTACCTCTGTAGCATCTGCGGCTACACGCAAGGCCCAGCAATAACTTCTCACCACAGCTGTGGCTACTGGTCCCGTGCCATCTCCGGAATGCCAGCGACGGTGAAAAATATTGAGTGAGAAATTGAGCCCTGGCTGCAACGGTTTGGAGACGTGTGGTGCGAAAGAAGTTCAACATACAGGGACTCCTCTACTTACGAACGACTTAGGTTCCAGAGGGTCCGTTCGTAAGTCGATTTGTTCGTAAGTCCAACGTTACTCCTGTCTATTCCAAACGTGTTGTACGGCATGTACACTAAACACGGGGAATGGCTTTACGAGTTGTATAATCTCCTGTAGATGTAGGTGCCACTGGTTCTTCATGTTCTGCAGATGTAGATGCCACGCTTCTGAGACATGATGGGGGTTCGTGAAAATCACAGAGAACGTCGTAGTGAACCGCACAGCGACAACGCAACGGCAACAGACGATGGCGGCGGTCCAGGCAGAAATGTTGAGAATGATGGGTAACGACACCAAACAACCACCACCATCTATTGCGCGGTGGTTGAACTTACGACTTTCGATCCGAACAGGCAACTGGACATACGGACCAGCTTTGTTCGCATTTCTGAAAGTTCGTTGGTCGAATGTTCCTAAGTAAAGGAGTCCCTATACCACACACACATACAACGGGGGGGGGGGGGGGGGAGGCGTTTGTCTCTGATCACCGCGTGCGAGCACTTGCCGCACCAGCGGCACCGCGCTGACAGCCGTGCCCGCCGCTCGTCTGCAGGGTGCTCGGTGTTCGCCTGGAAGGGCGAGTCAGAAGAGGACTTCTGGTGGTGCATCGGGCGCTGCGTGTACTCAGACGGCTGGAAACCGAACATGGTGACTCTTCTCTCTCTCTCTGTAAACAAACTCTCTACTGCACTCTGCCTGTATGTGTGCGTGTTGAACTTCTTTCGCACCGTACGTTGCCAACCGTGCTAATGGGAGGTGCGGATGAAGAACAACAAATTAAACACAAAAAGCAGTTCTAAAGAAATTCGTTTTCAATTTGGACTTACAAGTTGCGCAGCTCCAGTGGCTTCCTAATATCCAAAGGAAGAGGCGTTTCAGAGGGACGCAGAAGCGCATCTGAAAGCGCCACGCGATGCAGTGACCACCGTCTTCCTTCGATGGCTAGCCAAAAGCCACTGTGAGGATGGCCGGAGTTCGCGTGATGGTTTATGTTCCTTGACGAGATGAGCAAGGGCCGTTGCTCGAAACGTCAACTATTATATACGTTTTATTTTTAAGGCCATATTGTACTATTTCTGAATGGATAGATTTTTGTTGTTGTTAATTGTGCCCGTGCTCCACTGCCAACGCAGTTTTGTCACCAACTAATGAATGTAACTAAATACTCTCTCCTGTGTATGACTGTGACGAAAGCATGAACCATATTACTTCACACTGCCACAACTATATGTATGTGAAGGTGGTGGGCGAGTGAGTGGGTATAAGGGTTACTGCGTTAGTGAGTGGATGGGTGACTGGGTGGGTGGGTGAGTGGATGTATCTGCAATTCACCAACTCTCAGGCAAAGCAACTGTTATCCAACAGTTGAGCCTCATTGTCCAGAGTAAATGATCACCTCTATGTAAACATCAAAAGCATAGTCGGTCCACATAAACAACAGCATCATAACAATGGCTTCATTTAAGCCCGGTCTGTCCGGGTGGGTGGCCCGAAAGTGTGCCACGCGTGTCAACGGGCCTGTTTCATCCCCTTGTTAAACAAAGGGTACTCCTGTGGACAGATGCGAAGTATTTAAGGATCAATGTTATTGAATGAATTGATGACTCGATGCCTGCCTCAGCAGTAGCGTCATCCACCACGCACGCACAGGCACAGCAGTCAGTTGGGAGGGTGGACGTGTGGTGTCCACCTGTAAAATCTAAAACTATAAACTATTTTTTTTATTTTACCAGGTAAGGCCCACTGAGCTATGTAGGTAATTTTTCAGAAGCGACCTGGCTACAAATGATCGCCCAACGAAGTGGCTTATCAAGTGGAAATTTATAGCAGCCAAATACACTAAAAGCATGTTGATTCTAAATGTGGAGGGGAAAAAATCTACACGATCACGGGGTAGAATGCGCCAGACTCCAAATATAGAGGCGTCAGCGTCGGGATCGAACCCACGACCTGTATGTATGTTGAACTTCTTTCGCACCATACGTCGCCAAACGTGCTAATCGGAGAGATGTGGGGACAATTAAGACCTCGCCACCGCTGCGCCCCATGTCCGCCTGCGCCACCCTGTGCTCCGAGAACCTCCTGTGCTTGACTCCTACCCCAGATCCTGGACGACGGGGGGGACCTGACGCACTGGATGTACCGCAAGCACCCCAACGTGTTCCGCCAACTCAAGGGCGTCGTGGAGGAGAGCGTCACCGGCGTGCACAGGTGGGGGGCGAGCGGGAGAGGTGGGGGGCCGAGCGGGAAGAGGTGGAGGCCGAGTAGGAAAGGTGGGGGGCCGAGTAGGAAAGGTGGGGGGCCGAGCGAGAGAGGTGGGGACCGCGCGGGTGTAGGTGGGGGGGCGAGCGGGAAGAGGTGGGGGTCGCGCGTCCTTCATTTGCTCTCCGATGCGATCTCGGGTTGTGCTGAGACGCGTTGTTCAGCGTGATATCCGACGTTTCGCGTGCTGGGAGCTTCTTCGGGAACTGAACGGCTCCAGGCACCACCACGCGACGCAGCGGTGACGCGCTGTGCTTGGTGCTGTGGGCCGTGCTGTGTGCAGGCTGTACCAGCTGTCGAAGTCCGGCAAGCTGACCATCCCGGCCATCAACGTCAACGACTCCGTCACCAAGCACAAGTTCGACACGCTCTACACCTGCCGCGAGACCGTGCTCGACGGGTACGCCCTCCCAGAGCCGGCACTTGGTACTTCTGTGTCATCTACTTCCGCGAGCCGTTCTCTAACATGGAGGTGGGGGGAGGGGGTGTCGCACTGCTCTGAGAGAGGTCCGAACGGATCCTTAATCTGGTGGCGAAGCGATGCCAAGTGTGCGATTGGTGAACAAAACGTAGCTGTGTCCGATCCGTGTGATTCCACGCAACCCTGCCCAGCGTGGGTGTCCTGTGTTCCTGTATCGGCTCGCTCGCTCGCTCACTCACGCCTCGCCCCCCTCCAACCCTGCGTCCGCAGGCTGAAGCGCACGTGCGACGTGATGCTGGGCGGGATGCAGGCTGTCATTTGTGGCTACGGAGAGGTAGGTGCCAGTAAGCCACGTGACAGTCTACACGGGTGCTCTGCACTCATTTTCAGAGGGGGGGGGGGAGGGGGGGGGCACTTTCACCGATAAGACATCATCAGTGTGAGGGACCGCCGCACATTTGAAACCATCGTGGATTTGACAGCAGCACGATGATGATGATGATTATGGGGGGCGTTTTCACATTTTGTGTATTGTTGGGGGCCGCACGTTAGGGGCCACACTAAAGGCCACCAGGGGCCACCAGTGGCCTTGCAATGAAGAATGCTGCTTCACACCATATCGGCCTCCACGGCGAGTTCGCGAGTTGTAGCTATCTGGGGCGGCGATTCCAGCGATGAAACGATTCTTGTTTTCTCGCTGTATTCTCCTTCCCTCGTCTCGTTTGCAACTGTTTTGTTCTCTCCGTTGGTCTAAATGTAACAGCAGCATGCGATTCGCATACAATTTATACAATGGATTCTCACACACACGTGTCTACATGTACTGAGCTTAAGAAACAGCTTTACTCAATGAATCGATGCATCTTGCCTAGTGCCACTCCAGCGAACGGGCAGGCACTCGCCGGGCATCGCCGCGTGCACCCGTTGGTATTTATCGCACAAACGTCAATTCTGCCGGCCCAAAATTTTCTTGGGGAATTCCGCAATTTTATGATCGTGCTTTCGGTGTCACGTCATGAGGCGAAGAATCCATTCGGATCTTTCGCAGAGCAGCGAAACCTTTTTGTCTTTGAGAATGGCCCATGGAAGCGGATATCACAGAGCTACCGCTGAGAACCCTCAGAGAACCCTGAGAGTGATGTCTGGTCCACACACAGTACAGTAAAACACTTTTCCACTTGGTCTGCATATGAGAGGAATGACAAATTAAGTGCGGTACCAAATTTTATGCAACGGTTCACTCATTGGTAACCGAGATGAGACCATCAGCTCTCTACACTTGAGAACCTGGTCCAATCACAGGCGACTGCCTGCATCGAACCCAGGATCTCAGCGGTGTAGGCTCAGCCCTTTGACCCCTCCAGCCACCCGGCCACTTCCGACGAGTCACAGAAATAAACGTACGTGTCATTTTTGCCGTTACGGTTGATCGAAGCTCTCGCGCAGATACGTGGTGCGATGCATATACGACGGCCGTGGCAATGCTGTGCCCAACGTGGCATGTGTGTGGGGGCCACAGGTCGGCAAGGGCTGCTGCGCTGCGCTCAAGGGCCTATGCTCCATCGTGTACGTCACCGAGGTCGACCCCATCTGTGCTCTGCAGGCGTGGTGAGCGCACAGGGAATAATTTTTCCCGTTTTGAGTCACAATCGATTTTTGGGTGAGCAAATGTATTAACCCGTGTGTTACTGCTTCGGCGCACTGGTAATGTTAGACAGAGCGATCCACTACCTTTAACTCTTGAGTCATTCGACGTTTCACTGGTAGTTACAACAAGCAGCATCAGGCAGTCGCCAGAATTGTGAAAATGTCTTCCAGTCTTGGGCCTTAATTAGGTGATGTGATGTCATCAATCCGCGCACACAACGGAGCAGGAAGTGATACCTAAAGGTTCATGTATTTGAATAAATTATGTTCTGTGATATTTTGGGTTTGTTAACATGAAGGTAGATTTGCTTCCATGGTGATACAGGTTTGTCATAGTTAATTAGTTACACTAAATGTTTTAGTAATGCTGTGTTAGTTTCGATGAACGTGAATACATTATTTAATTTAGGTAGCGATTGCCGTTTTAAAAAGCTCGTTTTTTCCCAACAAATTTCAAATTTGCTTTATTGGCATCATGCCACGAGACCATGTGTCCATCTGCAACTCCGCGGAACGTGATATCGCAGAACTACCTTCGAGATGCCTTCAAATGACCTCTTGTCCGCACCAGAGGGCCACTGCACATGTCGACAGCACGTGCCCTGCTGTCGACATGTTTATCAAATGGCGATAAAACCAATTATTTTATTGTTTGTTTGTTTGTTTTGAAGTCGCAGAAATGGAATTGAGCAACATGAAATTTAAAACCCACCCCATGGGGTGCTGTGCGCAGTCATCGGTGACCCGAGCATCCGCGATCTGCACTTGAAAACCCAAAACCCCTGGTCGATGGGGGAAAAAAAAGTCTGCACTTAGTAAAAACGTCCTTTCAGCGTATATACCTTGTAAAACTCTGACGTCACAATGGAATTCTTATTAGCCTATCAAAATTCATGAAGCGCCTTCTACCAAGGCGCTTTGAAGCGATTATAAAATTGCACGTAAGGTGATAACGACATTAAATTAAGAATTAAGATATTGTAAGTAGGTGGTGCAATTTTGAAGACAGTTAAAGAAGAGGGATTGATAAGGATGGGTTGGGATAGGGCCCTGGTCGTAGCTGGGGGGCTGAAAAGCAATGAGGCATCATTGCATTTGGAAGACAAAGGGGGTCGGCGAGGGGCAGGAGCCATGAAGGGGGGGGGGGGGCAGCCCCCCAGTTGTCCATGCCATTGTCTTCCTTCTCCTGTCCAAGTTTAGGCTCAACAGCTTCCTTTTCTCTGCCTAGCACTGTCCCGTGTGTTAAAGATACATCTACATCTATACACCTTGTACCTACTCAAGTAAACGTTTCATTAATGTGTCTTTAATATTATACTACAAGGTGGCAATGCATGGACTGCACGTTGAACTTCTTTCGTGCCAACCTTGCGAATCGGAGCTGGGGGAATGGACAAATTAAACACAAAAAGCAGTGCATAGCTCCAGTGGCTTCCTCGTCCCTATTACATTTGCACTCTATACCCACATTCGAACACAGCATCTCAGCCGTCCCAGCTCAATGCTCTGACCTCTAAGCCGCCCACCCACTCACCCGTGGCTAGAGGGAATCTTAAGGTTTGGGCAAGACAGGCGAGCGCATGGGTGAGCCGGAGTGGAGCGTTGCCCGCGCTTCTGCTACACGCTGGTGCATGCGTGGTCGCGTGCGCGTGCAGCATGGACGGTTTCCGAGTGGTGAAGCTGGGCGAGGTGGTGAGTCTGGTGGACATGATCATCACCTGCACCGGTGAGTGCCTGTGGTGTGCGTGGGTGGTGGCGGTGGTGATGATGACGACGGCGGTTGGGGTTGAGTGTTGAATTGTGGTGATGGTGGCAGTGGGTGACGTGTGTTGGTGGTGGTAGTGAGTGTCGATCGGTGGCGATGGTGGTGGAGGTGATCGCAGTGAGTGTTGAGTAGTGGTGGTGGTGATGGTGGTGGCGATGGTGATGGCAGTAAGTGAAGATCGGTGGTGGTGGTCATAGTTGAGCGGTGGTGCTCTCCGATGGTGTCGATGGTGCCGCTGCGCAGGGAACAAGCACGTGGTGCGGCGTGAACACATGGAGCGGCTCAAGGGAGGAGCGATCGTGTGCAACATGGGACACTCCAACACCGAGATCGATGTGGTAAGGATCCGTCACGTGGGTGCATGAGCAAAGGCAAAGATCCCCCGTGTAGCCTTACCAGACTGTTGGCACAAGTGCTCTTAGTGAGCACCTATGAAGGCTGACACGGCACACAAGGTGGTGGGTATCAAGCACCACGCCCGGTCGTCTTCGTCTCCCTCGTGGAGATGTTTACACACTGCACCAGATGCTCATTTGAGGCTGAGTCGACCTAGGGGAGGCCCCGTCCTGGGCCTCGACTAGGTCGGCCGTAAGCTGTGAATCTAACCACAGCACTATCACTCCCCACTCACACACACAGACACACGGCCGTGCACGGGACATCTGCTGTGGTGTGGGTCGTGTTTTGGGGTGAGTGTCCTCATAGGGATGGGTGTGAGCTCCCTGTGGGGGCGAGTGTGGGTCACGTGGTTCTGAATGTTTTTGTTTGCGTGTCCCGTGCGACCATCCCCCACCAGGCCAGCCTGCACACCACTGAGCTCACGTGGGAGCGAGTTCGCCCTCAGGTCGACCACATCATCTGGCCAGACGGCAAACGCATCACCCTGCTGGCCGAGGTCAGTGCCAGCAACGGTCCGAGTGTTCGGCTGAGGTTATCCTACAAATGCCGAAATCACCGGGTCCAATGAAGCTTGGGAAGCAAAGCAGGGTTGAGCCTAGTTACTGCTTGGATGGGTTGACCACTGTGCATTAAACAGGTGCTGTCGGTCGCTGGCGCACTACGCTATCGGCAGAGGGTGGAGCCGACAAGGCGATTGTTGTCTCTTTCTACTCTCCCACATCTCTGCCCTGCGCCCTTTTATGTAAGGACAAACTAAAAACACAAAAAGCAATCTATATTTGAAGTATTTGTGACTGCAGGGATCCATACTCCTTGAGAATTACGTTTTCAATCTACATGATTATTTAAAAGGGCATAGCTCCAATGGCTTCCTAACATCGGAAGGAAGAGCGTTCCAGACGGCCGCAGAAGCACATCTGAAAGCGCGCGATGCGGTGACCGTCTGTGGTCGATGGTTAGCTAAAGCCGCTGCGAGGATGACCGGAGTTCGCGTGATGATGGTTTACGCTCCTTGACGAGATCAGCAAGGTGTTTGTGGTTTATTTGTGGTAGGCACTTTGTGTGTAGTGAGTGCGAACTTATAATGCATTCGTTCGGTAACCGGAAGTCGATGCAGCTCCACGAGCACTGGCTTGGCCAGCGTGGTGAAGTAGGGTCAAATTATTTCCACGACCCATGCGCGTTGTCACGTGTATACGAGTGTGCGCGTGTGTATAGTGGAGTGTCGGTACAATGATTAGTGCACTGTGTTACAAACCCAGCGACCTGAGTTCGATGAATGGTGGTGAATATCTGAACCCAGTCGCGGGGCTGCTCTACGTCGACTGAGCCTTGCATGAGTACCTGCTGTGCCTTGTAAACAACAGCACTGGGGAGGCAAAGGTGGCCACCCACTCCCTCGTGTGCATTGCTGGCTTTCGTAGGTGCTCGCTAACCGCCCTTGCCCCAACAGTCTGCTAAGACAACAAGGGGGGAAATCTTTGTCTTTGTGTGCCATGAGCAGGGCCGGCTGCTGAACCTGAGCTGTGCCAGCGTGCCGACATGCGTGCTGTCCGTCACCGCCACCACGCAGGTGAGATTCCCGGCTACGTGGCCGATTCGCTCAGGGTGCCGGCATCACCGGAGGTTCTGGGGTTTGAATTTGGGTTTTCGACCGCCGATGGGAAAATAAATACCGGGTTCCCAAATGTAGTGAGCTGGGTGGACTGGGCTTTTCGCATTGCACTGCACCAAAAGCCACTGTCAGCCAGTATTGAGAATCTAAACGTTCAGTTTAACACTTAGGCTTTCGCGACGAAGATTATGCATAACAGACAGTTGTGTTTACGGTTCGATTGCGGAAATATAAATACAATATGTCGTTAAACCTGCCACCACCCGACACAGCCACTTAGTAAGGTTTGTCACATAAACAAAGCGTGCCAATTAGTTACTAGTACAGCACACACCGCTGTGTTGGAGAGTAAACCCACAACATTTACAAATCGAGTACGACGTTCCGTCGTTAATTACAACCAGCCTCATCAGGCGACAACCAGAGTTGTGGATAAATCCTCATCCTGTTTCGGTCTTAAATAGAGGGTGGGGGGGGGGGGTAAATGTATCCACTCGTGAGTCAATAAGGTAATGTAGTCAGATAAATTACAATATGATATCCATTATCATTGGTTGGGTTAGTCAAACGTTCGGTTTGATTGCCATACGACCAGCACTCTTTGCAGGGAATATGAACGTTTCTTCCCCTAGTGTGGATACCACACTATTGAGTGTTCTTTTCCACTAGGCTCTCTGTGACCTCACCTTCAGGGGTCATTCTCTGCGACAAGGTGGCACACTGCTCACTTGCAAGAGTTCCAAAAGGAAACGTCTTCGTCCCATGACTTCCACGCCCAGTGCACGATTTGAATTCGCAGTCTTCTTCATGTCGTATGGCTACTGACGTTGATGCAGAGCAACAACGTACAATTTCACATTCAGGTGGTCAAGCCAGACAGCCACGTCACGATCAGTGGAGCGTATCGCCGTGACGTCCCCTTCGTGTGTCTGTGGATCGGGGCATTGCGTCGTTTGTTATGCGTTGCACGGCCTTTTCGGAGAAGAGAAACTCAGCAACGTAAAACTGACAAATAATAATGGTCATGTGGTCAAGAAGCAGCAAGAACGCCAACCGCTCCACCTGTACCCCCGATCTCGCTCACTGCACGTGGCACCCCCTCACGTCACGTGGCACCCCCTCACTGCACGTGGCACCCCCTCACTGCACGTGGCACTCCCTCACGTCACGTGGCACTCCCCTCACTGCACGTGGCACTCCCCTCACTGCACGTGGCACTCCCCTCACTTCACGTGGCACCCCCCTCACTGCACGTGGCACCCCCCTCACTGCACGTGGCACCCCCCTCACTGCACGTGGCACCCCCTCACTGCACGTGGCACCCCCCTCACTGCACGTGGCACCCCCTCACGTCACGTGGCACCCCCTCACGTCACGTGGCACCCCCCTCACTGCACGTGGCACCCCCCTCACTGCACGTGGCACTCCCCTCACTGCACGTGGCACTCCCCTCACTGCACGTGGCACCCCCCTCACTGCACGTGGCACCCCCTCACTTCACGTGGCACCCCCTCACTTCACGTGGCACCCCCCTCACTTCACGTGGCACCCCCTCACGTCACGTGGCACTCCCTCACTTCACGTGGCACCCCCTCACTGCACGTGGCACTCCCTCACTTCACGTCGCACCCCCTCACGTCACGTGGCACCCCCTCACGTCACGTGGCACCCCCTCACTGCACGTGGCACCCTCATCTCGCGTCGTCTGTTCAGACAGGACCACCCCCCCCCCCCCCACCCCAGTGGCGGATGATCCCAGTAGCAAAAGTAGCTACATATGTAGTAGTAGCTACTACACATGCAGTAGCAGTAGCTACACATGTAGTAGTAGTGGCTACACATGTAGTAGCTACATATGTAGTAGTAGTAGCTACACATGTAGTAGTAGTAGTAGCTACACATGTTGTAGTAGTAGCTACACATGTAGTAGTAGTGGCTACACATGTAGTAGTAGTGGCTACACATGTAGTAGCTACATATGTAGTAGTAGTAGCTACACATGTAGTAGTAGCTACACATGTAGTAGTAGTAGCTACACATGTAGTAGTAGTAGCTACACATGTAGTAGTAGCTACACATGTAGTAGTAGCTACACATGTAGTAGTAGTAGCTACACATGTTGTAGTAGTAGTAGCTACACATGTAGTAGCTACACATGTAGTAGTAGTAGCTACACATGTAGTAGTAGTAGCTACACATGTAGTAGTAGTAGTTACACATGTAGTAGTAGCTACACATGTAGTAGTAGTAGCTACACATGTAGTAGTAGTAGCTACACATGTAGTAGCTACACATGTAGTAGTAGCTACACATGTAGTAGTAGTAGCTACACATGTAGTAGTAGTAGCTAAACATGTAGTAGTAGTAGCTACACATGTAGTAGTAGCTACACATGTAGTAGCTACATATGTAGTAGTAGTAGTAGCTACATATGTAGTAGTAGTAGCTACATATGTAGTAGTAGTAGCTACACATGTAGTAGTAGCTACACATGTTGTAGTAGTAGCTACACATGTAGTAGTAGTAGCTACACATGTAGTAGTAGTAGCTACACATGTAGTAGTAGCTACACATGTAGTAGTAGTAGCTACACATGTAGTAGTAGTAGCTACACATGTAGTAGCTACGGGCCCCGCACTTTCAAGGGCCCCGTGCTAAATGATTTCAAGCTTTCAATTCCGGTTCAGTGATTCTGCACTTGCTCTATTACTATAGTACTATACCGCCTTCAACTTTAACGAACGACTGGGTGTTTAAGGTTAGCGATTTGTCGTATTGTCTGGCTGTATAGCAAATAAAAAAATACAATTACTTCACTTTACCGTGCGAGTTAAAAATTAATGTGTTTTAATATTTACGTGTTATTTTTTTAATTTAGGGCCCCTTCATAGCTTAGTCCGGCACTGACTCACGCCCTGTTGGGCCCCCCTCACCCCTGGCCCCCCCTTCCCCGGGTCTGCGCACACAGGCCTTGGCTCTCATTGAGCTGTACAACGCGCCCGAGGGCCGGTACAAGCACGATGTCTACCTCCTGCCCAAGAAGCTCGGTAGGGCCACTGCCTGTGGGTAGTTGTGTGTGTGTATGTGTGTCTACTGTGGAGGCAGAACAAAAAAAAACAAATTAGTGACCTCCCAAGGGCATAGGTTCACTTGGGCTTTAGTGGAAAGCCATGACTGCTGGAGTGGCGTGTGGGAAGTTTGGAATAGCCTCGGCACGCACAGCACTGGTCAACATCGAAGCGCACGTGCTACGTATGTGCGTGTTTTAACAGAAGAGCGGTAGTGTCACGGTTAGCGCTACGCTGCGCTACGAACCCGGCGACCCAAGTTCGATTCCCGCTCACGGCCAACACCGGTGACGATTATCTGAACCGGTCCTGGGCTTCCCTTAGGTGGACTCAGCCTCAAATGAGTACCTGGTGCGATGTGTCAACATCGCCATTGGGGAGACAAAGGCGGACGGTGCTGATCACCTACACCCTCGTGTGCTGTGGCTGGCCCAAATAGGTGCTCGCTAACAGGGTTTGCTTCAACAGTCTGTTAAGGCTATACGGGGGATCTTAGCCTTATTATCAACCTTTATGTGTACACCCTGGTGTGTGTGGTGAGTAGGTGAGTGTATCGCTGTGTGTGTGGTGAGTAGGTGAGTGTATCACTATGTGTGTGGTGAGTGTATCACTGTGTGTGGTGAGTAGGTGAGTGTATCGCTGTGTGTGTGGTGAGTGTATCACTGTGTGTGTGGTGAGTAGGTGAGTGTATCACTGTGTGTGTGGTGAGTAGGTGAGTGTATCGCTGTGTGTGTGGTGAGTAGGTGAGTGTATCACTGTGTGTGTGATGAGTAGGTGAGCGTATCACTCTGTGTGTGGTGAGTACTGGTGAGTGTATCGCTGTGTGTGTGGTGAGTACTGGTGAGTGTATCGCTGTGTGTGTGGTGAGTACTGGTGAGTAATGGTGAGTGTATCACTGTGTGTGTGGTGAGTAATGGTGAGTGTATCACTGTGTGTGGTAGATGAGTACTGGTGAGTAATGGTGAGTGTATCACTGTGTGTGTGGTGAGTAATGGTGAGTGTATCACTGTGTGTGTGGTGAGTACTGGTGAGTAATGGTGAGTGTATCACTGTGTGTGTGGTGAGTACTGGTGAGTAATGGTGAGTGCATCACTGTGTGTGTGGTGAGTACTGGTGAGTAATGGTGAGTGTATCACTGTGTGTGTGGTGAGTACTGGTGAGTAATGGTGAGTGTATCACTGTGTGTGGTAGATGAGTACTGGTGAGTAATGGTGAGTGTATCACTGTGTGTGTGGTGAGTACTGGTGAGTAATGGTGAGTGTATCACTGTGTGTGTGTGTGGTAGATGAGTACGTGGCCAGCCTCCACTTGCCGTCCTTCGGTGCGAGCCTCACCGAGCTGTCTGACGAGCAAGCGCGCTACCTGGGCATCAAAAAGGACGGCCCCTTCAAGGCAAACTACTACCGGTACCAAACCACGTGAACTACCAGTCACAAACCACGTGAACTACCGGTACCAAACCACGTGAACTAGCGGTACTAAACCACGTGAACTACCGGTGCCAAACCACGTGAACTACCGGTACCAAACCACGTGAACTACCGGTACCAAACCACGTGAACTAGCGGTACTAAACCACGTGAACTACCGGTGCCAAACCACGTGAACTACCAGCCACAAACCACGTGAACTACCAGTCACAAACCACGTGAACTACCGGTACCAAACCACGTGAACTACCAGTCACAAACCACGTGAACTACCAGTCACAAACTACGTGAACTACCGGTACCAAACCACGTGAACTACCGGTACCAAACCACGTGAACTACCAGTCACAAACCACGTGAACTACCAGTCACAAACCACGTGAACTACCGGTACCAAACCACGTGAACTACCAGTCCCAAACCACGTGAACTACCGGTACTAAACCACATACACTACCAGTCACAAACCACGTGAACTACCAGTCACAAACTACGTGAACTACCGGTACCAAACCACGTGAACTACCAGTCCCAAACCACGTGAACTACCGGTACTAAACCACATAAACTACCAGTCACAAACCACGTGAACTACCGGTACCAAACCACGTGAACTACCAGTCACAAACCACGTGAACTACCAGTCACAAACCACGTGAACTACCGGTCACAAACCACGTGAACTACCGGTCACAAACCACGTGAACTACCGGTCACAAACCACGTGAACTACCGGTCACAAACCACGTGAACTACCAGTCACAAACCACGTGAACTACCGGTACTAAACCACATGAACTACCAGTCACAAACCACGTGAACTACCGGTACTCACAGCAACATGAATTACCAATGCAACCCCCATGTCTAAATGCTATCGTCTCACACAATCCTTTTACATCATCTGTGTCGGCCTGCATGTATTTAAATGGGGTGCTTGCGAACAGCACTTGCCCCAACAGTCTAGAAAGCTACACATGGGATGTGTCTTTGTGTGTGGATGCACGTGCGTGTCAAGTAGTGTAGCGGTCGGCGCGCTGCACTACGAATCTAGCGACCCAAGTTCGATTCCCGCTCACGGTCAACACCAATGACGATTATCTGAACCGGTCCTGATGTGGTGTGTAAACATCACCGCTGGGGAAACAAAGGCGGCCGGGGGTGGTCTTGGCCACCCACCCCCTCGTATGCCTTGCCGGCCTTCATAGGTGCTCCCTAACAGCAATTGCCCCAACAATCTGTTCAGGCTATATGGGGGATCTGTGTCTTTGTGCCAGGTACTGAACACAAGCCACCCGTACCGGCTGTCTTCGTGTGGCCCACCCGGACTCCCGCCACACCTCGCTGGTGTCTCTGCCTGCTCCATGTGTGGCCCACTCACTGCCCCTCCATCGCGAGCAACCCAACGTTCCTACCAGCTCCCTCCGCAGGAATGTGTTTTCAGCACTTGCCCGAACTGCATTGGCTTCCGGTTGCCCAACGGATACGTTATAAATTCGCACTCGCTACACACAAAGTGCCTACCACAAATAAACCACAACACCTCGCTGATCTCGTCAAGGGGCGTAAACCATAATCACGCGAACTCCGGTCATCCTTGCAGTGGCTTTTGGCTAACCACCGAACAAAGATGGTCACTGCATCCCGCGCGTTTTCAGATGCGCTTCTGCGGCCGTCTGGAATGCTCTTCTTCCGATATTAGGAAGCCACTGGCACGATGCACTTTTAAAGGATCTAGATTGAAAACTCATTTGAAAAATCTGGATTTTGTGTTTAGTTTGTTTTCCTGTCCCCACACCTCCGATTAGCACAGTTGGCTACGTATGGTGAAAAAGAAGTTCAACATACATGCACTTTAACACGTAGGCTTTCGCGACCAATATCATCCATAATAAAGGTTTTTGGGTTAGATCGCGTAAATATATAAATGTGTTGTGAAAACCCACCACCACCCGACACAGGCAACTAGTAAAGGTTGTCACGTAAACAGAACGTGGACAATTCGTCTCTAGTACAGCACACCGGTGTGTTGGAGAGCCAAGCCACAACAATTACAATCTGAGTACGACGTTTCGCCAGTAATTACAACCAGCTTCATCAGGCGACAGTCAGATTTGTGGAGAAGTCCACCTGTTTCGTTCCTTATATACAGTGAGGGAAAAAAGTATTTGATCCCCTGCTGACATAAAAATGATCAGTCTATAATTTTAATGGTAGGTTTATTTGAACAGTGAGAGACAGAATAACAACAAAAAAATCCAGAAAAACGCATGTCAAAAATTGTATAAATTGATTTGCATTTTAATGAGGCAAATAAGTATTTGACCCCCTCTCAATCAGAAAGATTTCTGGCTCCCAGGTGTCTTTTATACAGGTAACGAGCTGAGATTAGGAGCACACTCTTAAAGGGAGTGCTCCTAATCTCAGCTTGTTACCTGTATAAAAGACACCTGTCCACAGAAGCAATCAATCAATCAGATTCCAAACTCTCCACCATGGCCAAGACCAAATAGCTCTCCAAGGATGTCAGCGACAAGATTGTAGACCTACACAAGGTTGGAATGGGCTACAAGACCATTGGCAAGCAGCTGGGTGAGAAGGTGACAACAGTTGGTACGATTATTTGCAAATGGAAGAAACACAAAAGAACTGTCAATCTCCCTCGGCCTGGGGCTCCATGCAAGATCTCACCTCATGGAGTTGCAATGATCATGAGAACAGTGAGGAATCAGCCCAGAACTACACGGGAGGATCTTGTCAATGATCTCAAGGCAGCTGGGACCATAGTCACCAAGAAAACAATTGGTAACACACTACGCTGTGAAGGACTGAAATCCTGCAGATATACATGGCCCGTCTGAAGTTTGCCAATGAACATCTGAATGATTCAGAGGACAACTGGGTAATGTGTTGTGGTCAGATGAGACCAAAATGGAGATCTTTGGCATCAACTCAACTCGCCGTGTTTGGAGGAGGAATGCTGCCTATGACCCCAAGAACACCATCCCCACCGTCAAACATGGAGGTGGAAACATTATGCTTTGGGGGTGTTTTTCTGCTAAGGGGACAGGACAACTTCACCGCATCAAAGGGACGATGGACGGGGCCATGTACCGTCAAATCTTGGGTGAGAACCTCCTTCCCTCAGCCAGGGCATTGAAAATGGGTTGTGGATGGGTATTCCAGCATGACAATGACCCAAAACACACGGCCAAGGCAACAAAGGAGTAGCTCAAGAAGAAGCACATTAAGGTCCTGGAGTGGCCTAGCCAGTCTCCAGACCTTAATCCCATAGAAAATCTGTGGAGGCAGCTGAAGGTTCGAGTTGCCAAACGTCAGCCTCGAAACCTTAATGACTTGGAGAAGATCTGCAAAGAGGAGTGGGACAAAATCCCTCCTGAGATGTGTGCAAACCTGGTGGCCAACTACAAGAAACGTCTGACCTCTGTGATTACCAACAAGGGTTTTTCCACCAAGTACTAAGTCATGTTTTGCAGAGGGTTCAAATACTTATTTCCCTCATTAAAATGCAAATAAATTTATAACATTTTTGACATGCGTTTTTCTGGATGTTGTTGTTGTTATTCTCTCTCACTGTTAAAATTATAGACTTTTCTTTGTCAGTGGGCAAACATACAAAATCAGCAGGGGATCATATATTTTTTCCCTCACTGTAGAGGCGTAGATGTGTTGACCACCCTTCTGCAGTCTTGCACAATTTTTTTTTTGGGGGGGGGGATTACTGAGGCATAATGTACATTGACTCAGTAACCCCCCTCCCAAAAATTGTCTCAAGTGGCTTGGCACGGCCCTGACACGGCTCAGATGTGCAGTGGAGAAAAAAGTATGAGAGGTCAGACCATCAAGCTGGTACTGCTAAGATCTTGGGTTTGAAGCCATGTTTCACCTACTTGTGAATCAACTGGGTTCTCAAGTGCAGCGATTTGATGATGGTGGTCTCAGCCTGGTCACCAAACACCCGCACACCCACACACACAAATAAAATCGTATGAAATTTGGTTATGCACTTAATTTGGCAAAGTCCTAGCCGTGAGAAATAAAAATATCACTTTGAACATCACGTGACTATCTGTGGCAGTGTCGGTGGGAAAGTGCTTCCCTCTAATTAGTCGACCAGATGTCACTTGGATGGATCTCAGAGGCAGCTCTGCAATAGCCACTTCCGTGGGCCATTCTCGGATGTGAATGATTGCAGTGTTGTGCGTGAGTCCTGAATGGATTATTTGTCTCAAATAGCACAATCGGGGTAAAACATAGAGACGAAAAAGGAAGTTAAAGAAATAAATGTAACAATAAAAAACTGCCCTATATTGATTTTTAGAAGTTGAGTAGCTTCCCAATTCTTACAAAGGAATTGTTTGTCTTTTAAAATACTACCGGTGTCAATTCACTGTGGTTCTGTGCGGTTGGTTGGCTAATTATTATCATAATTCTTCTGCTTGTTTACCCGGAAAAGCTTCACGGAGTGGCAGGTTTATTTTTTCGGAGGGTCCTGCCAAGTTTCCACGGGACTTTTTCTCCTGTGTGTGACCCCAGTTTATTAATTCGCAGTGTACTTTTTCAGCTTTTGGATGTTTTTTTTGGCGAGTAACAGTTTCACTGTGCGTGTTATTTTTTAGCTATTGGAGAAAACCAGAGAACAGGGGGAGAAACAAACTCCACACAGAGAGGCGCCCAAGTCGGGAATCTAACCCACTATGCCACCTACCCTGTGCCCTCTGCATCCATTATTCTACCCCTCCTTCTCCTCGCAACGTGTGGCTGGCTTTTTAGCTTTTAGTCCGCAGCCTCCTTGCTGGTAGTGTTTCCCAGCGCGACCACTCCCGCGAGCCCTTTTGTCAATCCACTGCTGGATGAAGGCCACGGAGGCTACTGTATCGCGCTTCACCACGATCGTCAGTGTGGGCTCGTGAAGGCGTGGATGGCAATTGACAACCACGTTGTGCGGTTAGTGATTTATGCAAGGATAATGAACATTTCCCGTTGACCCCAGGCCACCATTTACATGCAGGCCGGGCCCGCTGACAGTCCCCATCGCAGAGTCACGCACGCGCTGCTGCAAAGTACAAACGCGTCAGCACACGCACAGCGCACGTATGCGTTTATTTATTAAATATAAGTACCCTCTTGAAGTTATGTAAACATACGGAAGATAGTCTGAGGTCGCGAAGGCATTCACACTCGCCGCCGCCCTTAATAGTTGGGCTATAAGGCCGCTAAAAAAATATATCTGAATAGCAAATACATGCGCCCCTTACATAATAATGACTTCGAGGGTAACAGAACCCCGCTCCTAATCTGTGTGGAATGTGTTCAAGAACACCAGGAGCACCTGAATTGAAACACAGATCCCCCTTCCCCCCTGCAATGTCCCCCCCCCCTTCCCCCCTATTGAGTTGTTTAGCACCATTTAAACAAATAAACAAACGAGGACTTCGGGTGTTGAGTGTCAGCGAGCACTTGTTGTTGCAGGCACCAAACGCGGTTCACGCGACGACGAGAGAGATGGACGGTCTCGCCCGTGAGACCTACACAGGAAAATCGCGTGCAAACGAGCGCGCACGCACAGGCACAGTCAAACACACAGACAAAGCCCCCCCCCCCCTCCGGGTAGCCTTAACAGACTGTTGGGGCAAGTGCTGTTAGCGAGCACCTACAAAGGCCGGTAAGGCACACGAGGGGGTGGGTGGCCAGCACCACGCCCGGCCGCCTTTGTCTCGCCAGTGTCGATGTTTACTACACACCGCACCAGGTACTCATTTGAGGCTGAGTCGACCTAGGGGAGGCCCCGGGCCGGTTCAGATATTCGTCACAGGGTGTTGGCCGTGAGCAACATCGAACTCGGGTCGCCCGGTTTGTAGCGCAGCGCGCTCACTGCTACCCGCCTGCTCCCCACACTCAAACACACAGACACACACACCTATGTAGAAGAACGTACACTCGCACACGGATACACCAGCGCAAGCGCACACGAGCACGCATATACCCACGCCATCTCCTGGAATGACGCCAAAGAGACCCCACTCACACGTATACGCGTCAACCGAAGCGCGCTCCGAACTAGCCTTGCGTGTGGCGTGAATGTGGAACCCGTGTGTTGCCCTGAGCCAGGGGATCTGTTCACCCCCGGATTTGTGTCCAGTACTCGGCCCTTAATCCCGGTGGATGTAATCAGGCGGAGGAAGAGGGCGGCAAACTGCGGATTTGCAGCGCGAGGCTCGCAGGCAGCCCGACAGCCGCGGCCTCCTCCTTGGGAAAATCGAAGGCGGGAGGGCGAGAGGAAGACAAGGGACGGATGTCGCATTGGGACGACATCGGCTGGGCAGGGGGAACATCGAGGAGAGTTTGCGCCGAGAGGAAGTGCCGGCGTACGTTGACCGTCGACCTCCACGCTCGGAGCTGACGACCACGGATGGAATTCCACGATGGATGGACGGACGGAGTTCCGGGAGGCTGGAGCCAGATGTCGCGGTCTGGTGGTGAGCGTCATCGAGCGGACGGGGGATTTTGGTAAAATATTAGCAGGCGAGTTGGCAGCGGTGGTGGCGATGGCGGTGGCAGCGGGGTACAGAGGACAGGCGGATGGGTGGCCGGCACCGTCACGTCGGAGTTACAGGGCTCCGGGTGCCGGCAGCGTGCCCGCGTGTGCATTACGTTTCAAGTCTCGGTTCTCGGATCCACCTCGGTGGGCCGAGAGTCATCTGCTGGGGTCGGCCTCTGGCGGGGATACACGGGTGGAGCGACAGCCGCAGCACACACACATACACCACAAGACACGGCCGTGTTAGGGAGGCATGCGGAGTGCGGTAGGCCCGCTGGATGAGCACGGCGCCGCTTGAGAACCTGGGTTTGTATCCAGATGTTACTTTTCCAGCTGTGAGGACTAAAAATATTTGGGTTTGCAGTGCAACATATGCCTCTGCCGTAGGGCATGTGAGAAGGTTTCAGGATGATTTTGTGTAACCAGGTGAGACCTCAGGAGACCACGATGAGGCTCATCTGCAATAGTGACCTGCGGCATTGGTCTGCCAGTAGGGGGCCGACAATTTCCGCTGTGTGCGGAATCCCCACGCGAGTAGTTTGCGGGTAAACTTTTGAATTTGCCAAAGTTAGAGGCTCGAGGCCGACACGCAACGGGCCTACTCTTGCGAAAGACGTTCGGGGGGATATTTTAACGTCCGCTGTGAAGCCGACGGCGTGCGGGGTCTTATCGTGGTTATTACCCCCCACTTCCCCCGCGGGAAATAATCGGGGCGGCCGCTGAATTCGCACCACGAACCTCTACCACAAGCGGCGAGCCGCGGTGCCGGCAGGCCACCGTCACCAGCCCCAGGTGCTCCGCCTCGCGTGAATACAAAGGCAGAGGCGGACGATGTTCGCCTACAGCGTGTCACGGGGCTACTCGTCTTTCGCAGGCCGTACCCTAACATGGGGTGGTCAACCCGTTTCACTGGCAAGAGTTGTGAATGGAAATGCCGTCACTGCACGACACAAGTGAATTACCACGGGGGAAGGAAATGCAAAAATAAAATAAAGGAAACGAAAAACCCAAGAAGAGGAATACATTTCCGGGTAAGAGGTCACGCACTGGAGAAGCACGGGGTCATGCGTGTGGACCTGTGCACGCGGGCTAAAGTGCACGTTGAGGCATGCGCGCGTGTGTGCGCGTGTGTGCGCGTGCGTGGCCTCACGTGGCCGACACTCCGCCTGGCACTCGGCGCGGCTCTCGAAGCGGTTGCCGTTGCCGCCGCAGCCCGTGTAGACAAAGAGGCGGCAGTCGTGGCTGGCGCGGCGGTAGTACCAGCGCAGAGCGAGGCGCGAGCAGTCGCCCTCGTCCAGGTCCAGCCGACATCGGCCTGGCCACCGGCGCCGCCGTCACCGCCGCGACACGGTGGACACACGTCAGGGAGGGACGAGGTGCTTGGCGTGAGAGTAATTCAAGGCTTCTCAATACTGGAGGGTCAATACCGTGGCTGTAATGGTTCGCACAATCTAGAGGCCGCCGGTTCGATCTCCCGGCAAAGCAATTGAAACAGTGGGGCAGGCCTCCTAAATCCCGCTCTCCACCGCCATCCCCACCGCCTCTGTCCACCCAGCGTACAAATTTGCGCGCACAATTAAGACAATGGGCAGATGGTCTGTGGTGGGGTAAAAAGTGTGGGTTCTACCATCTGAAAGAGTAGGCCAAAATACCCTGTAGAGGGGCTCTCCAGAGCTCCCTCTCTAGTGGAGACCTTTCATCCAGCAGTGGAGTGAGCAAGTTATTGCAGGGCTGCACCTTTATCTTTATACTCGGAGCATCTACAGACGCTGTACAGGAACGACTCTTTACATTACAGATAACGTGCAGGAAACATAAAAGCACAGAGGAACTCTCTACAGTGACCCAAGCGCACAAATCAGTACAATGGAAAGTTGACATGGGGTTACATTCGGATAAGTTTTGAAAACAAAACACAGCATCCGACTGGATGTAAATACCCTATCCATTCAAAGGGGGAATCCTGTTATCCATTTAGCCACGGTCACACACAACCTCCACGAATATTCATACTCGGACGTAGACTCAATCATGCGGTCACCTCCGATTAGCACCTCGGATTGGCACGGTTGGCTGAATTAGGTGCAAAAGACGTTTCACATACAAACGGTGAAAACTTCCCTTAATTGACTTGCAAGCTGTCACGCATCTGGCTTGGTAATTTAAACAATGGGATTACAACTTCACAGGTCAGGGCACATGAACGAGAGGTCACGCGTCGGCACGCCGCCGTCAGGGGGTTGCACTGCATAGCCCGTCCTACCGTCCGGCTCTTCCACATCTGTTATTTGCCGCCGCTCGCGGCTTTGAGGATCCGAGCTCCCTCTCTTCGGAGCCTCCCCGAGGCCCTCGCTGTGCTCCTCCGACTCGCCGGGTGCCCGGGCGTGGCTCCACGTCGCCTCGTCCCAGGGGACGCTCGCCAGCCCCTCCTCTTTCTCTGCGACCCCGGAGGCTCCCGGTGGCCCCGCTGGAAACGTGGTGGGCCTGCTGTGGCCCGCCACCCGCGCCAAACGCTCGCGCGAGGCCACCGCGGCCTGCGCGGCACCGCAAGAGAATCCGTCAGAGGTCGTAAACACAGACACCGGGAGAGGACGTCCCCGAGGTCGAGATGAAGTCAGTGTTGTACTGCTCAAGTAAGCGGAGCATTTGCCGTGTGGAGCATTACAAAGCGCCAGTGGCAGGGACAGTTTAAAAGTGCACGCTGTGCTTTGCGGGTTGTGCCGGGTGTTGTTCGGCAACGGTGTCCGACGTTTCGCTCCGCGTTGCGAAATGTGGCGAATTTAATTCACTTAACCAGAAAACACATCGTAGAGCTGCGCATTGCGACTGACAAAAGCTTTGCGGTAGGGGCCCAGTTTAGTTGTGAGACAATAACTCGTTGATGTTCCCATTCAGCGATGGGCCGAGTTCACCCTTCATCGCAACATTTTCAGACTGCTGAACACCACCAACTCATATGTCAATATTTTTAAGTCAACGAAACATTATTGATGAGTGAAAAGTGACTCAGCAGACTTTGTTTCAGTCTGGCAGTCTCCCCGAATCATTTCCAAATGCAGGGACTGAAAGGCGATTCGTGTGAATAAAATCAACTGAGCAGTGTGTCACGGTGGTAATACACGTGCCTCGCAGCGAGAAGGGCATGGGATTGATTCCCGTTTCTCTCTCTGTTTTCTCCCCCTCTGCCCTCTGCATGCGTTTCCTCTGGGTTCTCCAATAGCTCAAATAGACATTCACACTAACTGGTATTCGCAAAACATCCCAATGCAAAAATATAAGATTGCAAATTACTTCATTGGGATTCGACATAGCAGCAAAATCGCCCCCCGACTGTGAAAACTTGGCAGGACCCTCTGGGAAAAGGGTCTTGAGGCTCAACGAGGCGCTCCTGGATAAAACCAGCATCACAATAAATGCGTTTAAGTCTGAAGAAATGTGTTTGTCATCTTATAGTCAAACTCTTCATTTTGAGTTAAAAGTCCCACTAGCTTAAGATTCAAACTGATATTTTGAATCTGGGAACTGAAATTTAGTTAAAGTCATTGCCAAATGAAAAGCGATGGGGTTTTATTTGTGCGGTCATTGAACTGAGACCATCATCAACTCACGACCCTCAAAAACCTGGTTTAATCACAACTCAACCTGTGTTATTCTATTGGTCTCTGTGAGTCGAGCGTTCTCCGTGCGAGTCGATGGACCTCTACATGAGTCTATGGGTCTCTGTGCGAGCCAATGGGCATTGATGTAAGTCATTAGTTACTGCTATACGTTTCCACACGATAAGCCACTTCGTTGAGCTATCATTTGTGGTCAGGTAGCTTCTGAAAAAGAGCTACATAGCTCAGTGGGCCTTACCTGGTAATTTTTTTCATAGTTTAATAGGGTTAAAACCTTGATTTGAAGCTTTCGTGACTGCAAGTTTTACACACTCTTTGGTTCTTTCGGTAAAGTCACGTAGGTATAAAATAAACTGAATCACGACGTTTTGGGCGCAACACAAGCGTCCATCGTCAGGTGGGAAAGCTTTCACTGTTTAATCACAGGCAGTGGCTGGAAACGGTATTTTGGAGCGCCCGGGCCTCTGTTAACTTTGCTTCAATGTCGGGGCGATGCCGCACCTTCGCATGCCGATCCTGCGCCTGCTGCTGCTGTGGCTGATCATCGGAGAGCTTCTCCACCACGAACACGTGCTCATAGTCGGGGTCATTGGTGTTCACCACCACGTGCACGTTCCTGTCTGCACGCACACATGCAAACAAAGATCCCCCGTATAACCTAAACAGACTGCTGGGGAAAGTGCTGTTAGCAAACACCTATGAAGGCAAGCACGGCACACGAGGGGGTGGGTGGCCAGCACCACGCCCAGCCGCATTTGTCTGCCCAGTGGCGATGTTTATAAGCTGCACCAGATACTAATTTGAGACCGAGTCGACCTAGGGGAGGCCCATGACCATTTCCAATAATCGTCATTTGGTGTTGGCAGGAATCCAACCCGGTTTGCCGGGTTCATAGCACAGTGTGCTAACCGATACACTACTGCTCCCCCACGCATGCACGCACGTACACGCACGCACGCGCACACACACACGCACACAAATGCACGCCCGGCTGCGACGTCGACCAATCGCGACCGGCGTTGGCGATGTCTCCGTCACGAGCTGCCTCGACCAACGCGTGCGTGCGCGCTGCCCACCCTGGACTCACCTCCACGGTTCGTAGAAATTCCCCCAACTGACTCCGTGGTGGATTTTGCCTCGCTAAGGTTTGGAGTCAACCCGCATCTGGGTATTGAACAAATACTGAAATCACACTCGCAGAGACTAGCAGCCGGTTGGAATCCACGTACCCACCTGCATGGCCGACTGGGCCAGAAAATCCCCGGTTGGTCAATTAGTCAGTCCAGCCCCAAACGCCGACATACCCACGATTGGCCCAGATTAGTACCTCCCCCACCCCGTTACACCTGTCCATCGAGCTGTTCAGCAAGCACCCCTTGTCCCCACGCGAGTTTACAGATTCGCCAACTGATCCGTGTCACGGGCCGCGTGTGGTCCGCTGGTCGTGGGCCGCGATCACGACATCGGATTTCCGATCCAACGCAGCGGCCGTGAGAGAGCGGAGACGATGAGCGGCGGCGGGATGGAGCGGCGACGGACTCTGGGGCGGCTCACCTCCGCAAGCTGCGGCAGAAGAGAGGCGGAAACGCACGCGCCAGAAGGGCACGTCAATCTCGCGAAAACGCGGGCACGGTTTGCGGAAAAGAAAAAAAAAACGCTCTCGTCATCAAGCGCGGTCGGCTATGGACGTGGATGGAGCGGTGGCACCGATCACAACAAACAACAAACACGCGGATAATGCGGGACACACGTGGATTCGGGGAAATGGAGACGTGCGCGTCGGGGAAGATGTAGAAATTGTCACGGGTTTTAGTGTGGGTTTTTTTTATTTAAGCGATTGTTTCATTTGAACCTGATGGCGGTACCCCGGGGTACCATAGTACCCTGGCTCTCGCATAATGTCCGTGATGCAGTCATTTTTAGTCTGTTGACGGTCGGCAATGCGGCAATCGACTCATCTCGACGAGCTGTACACGAAGCACTATTAAAAGTAGAATTTTCGATAACGGATTTTTTATGCTGTTTGGCGTTTCGACATCTCGGAGTAGCACTGATGTCAGATTGTTTGGTACCCAGTCGCGGAGTTAAGTAACACTCCTGGAAATAATAGTGTCCCAGAAATAAAATATTTAATTGCCTCGGCCATTTGGTATTATTTTGTACCCCGGGGCACCGCCATAAGGATCATTTGTAACACGTTCACGTGGGGCACCGAGTCGCCAGCCCTGAACGGACAAGGAGCAGCTAATTAGTAGGACCGGGCACACGTAAATATTTCATGCGAGCAATCCTGATAATGCTGCACACGGGCAATCGAGGGTTCACCTGTGGGATTCGCGTGGGGGAGTTTCACCCACCGTGCGGATGCAACCAATCACCTACTCCGGTGATTCGCAAAGTTTCTCGAATTGGGGTCGTAATATAAAATGTACGGAGCAATTCTTCACTCAGCCCGTGCGATGCGTGAAGGCGTTGCCCGACACACGCTGCACTCGAGTACAGGGATGACGGTTTAAATCCGCGCGTGTCTCACCGCAGTGTTTGCTCATCTCCTGTCGGATGTAGTCCCGCACTTCACCTTCCTGCGAGATGAATAATCATACCATCACTGCCGTCATCATCGTCATCGTTTATGCCATCATCATTATCAGAATAAAAAAATTTCGTTTTTGATACGGCGCCCTTCACGCCCCAGGGCGTCTCAGAGCGCTTTACACGCGATAAAGAATAATTTATTTAAAACATAAAAATGATTGATGGGTGCTCGTGTGTCCGTACCCTCATCCCCGACTCGCCCTTGTCTCCCTTCGGCCCATCGGGACCCAATTCACCCTGAACACAAACACCCAACTTGAGACGGAGCCGCTTAAACACAACGCCTAACAAATCGGTTTACCGCATCGCGTGTCTTTATACAGAGTCTAGACGCGATCGCATCTCAACTCGCTGCTCAGCTGCAGTAGGTGCATTAATAAAGAGGCAATCGGTCACATCGAGGCAATAGGTCACATACAGGAAGTTATTGAGCCTGGACTTACACAGGCACCCACAGACTCACACAGACAACCATGATAAACATAGAGACCCAATGACACACATGAACAGAGAACCACAGACTCTCACAGAGATCCTAATACAATACAATGCTATTTGGATTCATGTTGGATCTAATTGTGACTTCCTCACGACATACAGAGAGTTGGCATTACTTATATAGAAAGACAGTCGGTCACAGGCGGAAGAGAAGAGGAAAGTCTTGAAGCTGGGTGTGAACAGGAGCAGAGAATTGACAGCTTGGATGTACGTATGCATGCTGAACTTCTTTTGCAGCGTACGTAGCCAACCCTGCTAATAGGAGGTGCAGGGGATGGCTGGGAGAAGGGAGTTCCAGACTGTGGGGGAAGCGGAGGAGAATGGGCGACCTCCTGCCAAGCGAAGGTTGACTGCCGGTGGCCGTGCGAGGTTTACGTACGTTCTCGCCACGCTGCCCCGGGACCCCTGGAACACCCCTGGGCCCCACCTGACCGTCACCCGGAACTCCTCGCTCACCCTGTCAGACACACACACACCAAAAAAAAAAGATCCCCCGTGTAGCCTTCATAGGCTAATAGTGAAGTGCTTTATTTCATTCGCAGCCCTCAGTCAATCCTACCGTGCTATTCGGAGGTGCGGGGGAAGGACAACAATTCATAATAATGTTTTTTTTTTCGGTTAGATCAAGTCAAAATAAAATTGCGACAAATTTGGCAGAATTGCCCGATGATGCTGTAATTACCAGGGAAACGTCGTACTCAAATTGTAAATGTTGTGGATTCACTCTCCAACACACAACTAGTAACTAATTGGCACGTTCTGTTTACGTGACAAACCTTACTAATTGACTGTGTCGGGTGGTAGTGGGTTAACGACACATTTATATATTTACGTGCTCTAGCCCAAAAAAACGTTTATATGAATAATATTAGTCGTGAAAGCCTACATGTTAATAAGGACAACAAACTAAACACAAATAGCAGTTCTAAACAAATGAGTTCTCAATCTAGATGATTGCAAAGTGCATAGCTCCAGTGGCTTCCTAATATCGGGAGGAAGAGCATTCCAGACGGCCGCAGAAGCGCATCTGAAGGCGCGCGATGCGGTGACTTTGTTCGATGGCTATATCAGTATGGGGGAGAAAGGGGGAGCTATTTGACCACACTTCACCACGTTGGTAAGTGCGGGCTGGTACAACGGATAATTTTTTGTACTGCTCTCTGCCGACATTGTAGTCCCCATGAGTGCTATCAGCGAGCACATACGAAGGTCCTCGTTGCACGAGGGGGCCGGTGTGGCCGGACCCACGACCAGCCACACGCACACACGTACCATTCACGTACAAGCACCGCGCATTGTTCTGATATCAATGGCCACCGATGTGGCCAGATATCGAAGCCGGGTCTGTGTGTACGTATACACAAGCACAATAGAACACGTGCGCAGATGCAAATGCCCACCCACCTTCTGGCCCTGAATCCCCTCCAGACCCGGGGGCCCAATCGGTCCGGCCACACCCGGGGGCCCTGGGCGACCCAAGGCTCCGCTGGGTCCCTGAGGCCCGGGTGGCCCTGGAAATCCCTGTCACACGGGACACGCACACGCACGGGCACGCGAATACACGCGTACACACACCAGGATAAACGTGTCCACAGGGAGAGTGGTACGGGGAGTGTATCGATGGGGTGGAACTGAACAGGGAGTCCAACCAATAACGTGAGGAGTTCATGGTGACAAGTGTATCATTGGTAATACATGTGATTGTATTATTGTGCTTGTTCATCCAGGAAAGCCTCACTGACTCTCAAGACTCTTTTTCAGAAGGGTGCTGCCACGTTTTTTGCATGAAGAGGTGATCACTGCTCTGTAGAGTCCGATTCAGTAATTGGGGTAATGTCTCTCTTCAAAACCTCCTCAGATCGTGTGTTCAGCTGCCTTAACTGTAGGATGCTACATTTGACGGGTGTCCTGAAGAAAACACTTGATAACCCACGTACTTATGTATTTGAAGATGTCCCACGCATGCTTCATTGGAACATTTTACAAGTAACTTGTAATGGTTGTTATTGTATAGTCTCCCCACAAAGATCCTCCGTATTGCCTTTTAACAGATTGTAAGGGCAATGTTGACCTATGAAGGTCAACATGGCACACAAGGAGGGTAGTGTGGCTTGTACCACACCTGGTGGCCTTGTCTCCCCAATGCTGACGTTTACACACCACACCGAGTACTCGAGCAAGCGGTGGCTAAGGACTTGAGCAGACATTCGTCAATTGTGTTGGCTATGAGCGGGAATCCAACTGGGCTCGCGTGGTTCATAGCACAAGTGTGCTAACTGCCGCGCCACCGCTTCCCACATATGGCCCACACTCTATAAACTGAAGAGCAACATTCGGCAAAGGAAAACCCGACCATTAGCAAAGGAGTCCAGGGAAACCCCAAGCGACATTTCCTCTTATCCAGAGCGTTTGTCCCACCAGGCGAGGAGAGGACTCTCCTCTCTCTCCCGAGTCTTCGATCCACCGCCAAAAATGTGACGAAACAAAATGGGTGTTTGAGTCCACCATACAGGAACCTCACACCCAATCACGGTGGTGAGATGTTAACTACCTTGCCTGGTATGCAGGAGGTCGGGGGGGGTTCGATAACAACCGTGACGCCTGCTGTATATTTCGAGTTTGCGTGCTCTCCCCATGGTCGCACAGATTTTTCTCCGGGTTCTCCGGTTTTTCCCTCCACATTTAGAAACATGCGTTTAAGAGTATTTGGCTGCTATACATTTCCACGTGATAAGTCACTTCGTCGACCTATCATTTGTGGCCAGGGCGCTTCTGAAAAAGAGCTACATAGCTCAGTGGGCCTGACCTGGTAAAATAAAATGTGTAGTTTTAGTTTAAGCAGTGCTGTCCATCCCCCACCAATCGTAGCCACCAGTTGTTTTGCGTCGCGAGCCTTCTGTCCGCCCCTGCACTCAGAAACTGTGATATAAAAAACCACAGATTCTCACCCGGTCTCCACCGTCTCCCATGTCTCCCTTGGGGCCTGCGAGTCCGTCCTGCCCACGGTCGCCCTGTCCCACGCACAGAGGGAGACAAACCCACAGAGATACACCCCCGTGTGCATGTGTGTGTGCGTGCACGCGCACTCTACAATTCTGCATTGTGCGAGTTTAATAATGACAATTCCTGCTGCGTTGTAACATGGCGCGCCATCACAAAGGTGCTGCAACCAAATGACATCAACGTGACTTTACCGAAAGAGCTAAGAATATGAATTACTGCAGTCACGAAAGCTTTAAATCAAAATTTTAATAAAAAATAAAAGCACCCCACCCTTAATGCACCCAAGTCGAGTTCCTTTGTTTAAGTAGGTGACAATTCAAGAGACCAGGATAGTCTCATTCTCAAGCGACAGTGATCAATCCCATCAGAATTCAGATGCAAAGTGGGTTTGAGCCTGGTTAGCTCCTGGATGGTTGAATGCCTGTGTATGGCAGTTATTGTGGGCCTTGGCTGTTAGGTGGCAAGCAGATCGCAGCACAACACTGGATTCTTGAATCCATCTGTGTGAAACATATTCGTGTGCTTGGCAAGTTTTCTTCCGGTTTTTTTTCTATTTCCTCCAGACGTGAAGCTAAACATTAAATTAACAGAATGGGTGAAACATCCCATAGCAGCACCCTCTTGCAAAGGAGCCTTGAGACACAGTGAGGCCTTCCTGGAAAAGCAGCAGCATTATTATTATTATTATTGTTGGAGATAAAGACGTCACCGTGGCCAAGTGCTGCCGAGATGCCACCACACCTGGTCGCAAACACGTTCTGCCCCCAAACAGAACCCGCAGCCGCTGGGACAGTCGACACGCAGCCTCCAAAATCCACCCTGACAGTCTCCCACCATCTACCCCGAAGTTTCTCCTCTTGGTGACTGGACTCATGGAGACAACGTCAATACCGATGGTTGCTTTATTATTGATATGACTCGAATGACGAACTACTAGGAGCCTCTTTTAATGACACAGTAACAACACTAGGTCCGGGCTTCGTGCTTGGTCTTGAAGCTCGTCCCTTCCCTCGAATGTCCCCTCCCCTTGTGCTCTCCCCTTTTATATCTCTCGAGCCCCCTTTCCCTCACTGTTTTTCCCCTAGCCAATCCCGCTCCTTCTCCTCTAACGGTTCCCAACTGTCGCCTCTGGGCCCCGCTCTGTTTCCAGCCTATTCTCGTTCAAAGATTTTCTTCCAATCACTTCAAAAGCCCTGCCTCCCGACCAATTACCATGGAGGCCTCTGTCTGCCAATCGGAGACCTTGGCCTACTTTTGAATAACCGTTTGGGTGCACATTTGGCTTGGGGCGAGCGCTTGTTAATTTCGGTCATTTCATTATGATGCCTTCGTATCCTTGCAGACAGCGGGGCAATTAAATCTTCTGAAAATGGGACTCCACGGGTGTGACGGTGTGTGTGTGGGAGGCCTCACCTTGGGTCCCATGATGCCCTCTTGGCCCGGCGTACCTGGCACACCAGGGATGCCAGGGTCACCCTGCACACAGCACGGGACAGACACGCCAAAAGGCCCAGGACCGGTTCAGAAAATTATAATCGTCACTGTTGTTGGCCACGAGTAGGAATCGAATTCGGATCGCTGGGTTTGTAACTCAGCGTCGTCGCAAACACTGTGACCCACAATGAGAAAATTATCATACAAAAATGACAAAGATTCCCCGTATACATTTAACAAACTGTTGGGGCAAGTGCTGTTAGCAAGCATCGATGAAGGCCAGAACGGCACACAAGGAGGTGGGTGGCCAGCACCACACCCGACCACCTTTGTCTCCCCAGTGGCGATGTTTTACACACCACACCAGGTACTCATTTTGAGACTGAGTCGCACACAGTGGCACATGCATATGCTCATACGAACACACACACAGGCTAAGCTATCACTCACGAACATCTCTCGTTATCATACAAGCATTCGGCACCTCGGTTTCGATTTCTCCAACTCACCTTGTCTCCTTTCTTGCCAGGGATTCCCAGTTTCCCAACCGAGCCCCTGTCTCCCTGAAATACGCACACACGCGCACACACGCAGAGCAGGGGGTGCAGATGTGAGCACGTGCACTGCAAAGTTAACCTGGTCAGGACAGGTCGCTAGCAGGGCTCCCGGCCACCAGCCCTGCTAGTGACGTGGCAAAGGAGTGAATGCGCGAGAGAGGACGTCACCCATGGAGAAGGAGCGATGAAATAAGCTCAGGCTGACTGCGAAAGATGGCGATGGCTTGGCGAGGCGTTAATTTCAGGAGTGGATAGATCATGACGACCAGCTTAGGTGGTGGGTTTGGAGCCGTCTTGCTACCACAGCCACGCCCGCAGGTGGCATCTTGTCACCCGCAATGGTTGGATGATGAATGGCATGCAACCCCAACTCTCGTTCTTTGGATTTGACCAAAAATGTGCACCATTTGTGCACCAACAGCAGAAGTCAGAGGGGTGGATGTACAGTGGGAAGTCACCACGGTGGCGAGATGTTAACTACCTCACCCGGTATACAGGAGGTCGTGGGTTCGATCCTGACTGCGATGTCTGTATATCTGGTGTTTGCGTGTTTTCCCCGTGGTCGCGTGGATTTTTAGAATCAACGTGCGTTTTGAGTATTTGGCTGCTATATATTTCCACACGATAAGCCACTTTGTTGAACGACCATTTGTGGCCAGCTCGCTTCTGAGAAAGATCTCCATAGCTCAGTGGGCCTCACCTGGTAAATAAAAACTAATTTTGGAGTTAGTTTAGTTTTGACTATTTCGGGGGGCGCAAGGATGGAGGTGGCAGGGGATCGTGAAGAGCAGAAGACATTGGGTCAGGGTGAGATATTTTTTCACAGCGGTGGGGAGTTAACGGCTAAGAGAGAGAGAGAGAGAATGCTGTCGTTACAATGAGGTCCACTGCTTGCGGAAACGATCGTTGTAGGCGCGTGGCCACTGTCCCGCTCGCACGCCCCAGCCTACTCAAGGGGGTTCTGAGTGTTGCACAGCGGACCCCTGTTTGTGTTGGGAGTTTCGAGTGTAGAATTAATTTTGCTTAGCCAGGTGAGAACTCGGGGAATAAGGATGAGTCTCATTTGTAAAGAGTGACAAAGGGCAAAAGCAAAAAATAAAACAACGATGAGGCAAATAGAAATTGGTACAAAAACAATCTGCATTGCAGAAGAAATTTAAAACGCTGCACGGTGGTAACCAATATAAAAATATACAACTTCCAGTTGCGAAGTTTGGCTCAGAAAAAATACTTCTAAAAACCATCCACAGTCGCAATAAGTTACGAAAACATCAAAATAGATTTGTGGCGATCAATCACTGCACTTGTGCATAAACAGACAAGGCACATATGAGCCAGACGCGACTGCAAGTGACGTTATCGTAACGAATCGACGGCCCCGGCACCCAACTGTGACTGAGATGGGGTGAGGGGCCCCCACCCCGCTGGACCTCCCACGCCCCCCCCTCTCACCTGCTCCCCCGGCAGTCCGTTGTCCCCACATTTGCCCTTGGCTCCGGGTTCTCCCTGCGCACAAACGTCACAGCCATAAATTAGCAGCAGACAGAGCCTGTACGTGAATGCGCTGGGTGTGCGACCTCTTGCGGGGGAGCGGTGGTGTAGCGGTGGGCACACTGCGTCACGAACCCAACCGCCCGAGTTGGATTCCCGCTCACGACCAATATCAGTGATGAATATTTTAACTGGTTCAGCTCCTTCCCCCTCGATGCAAGGGTTGGTGGATTGCTCAATCTGTGTATTTGTATGTATGTATCCTTTATTGATGAAATAAATCGAGACGCGTGAAACATTGTTGCCTCATTGTCAATGGAAACCTGGGTTAATGCAATGACAAGGTTATGATGATAAAGATGCCGATTTCCTGGTCTCTCACCTGAAGATTATTGACGCATACTCTTTGGTTCTTTCGGTAAAGTCACGTAGATGAAAAAAATAATAATGAAAATAATAAAATGAAAATAACTAAATTAAATCACGACATTTCGGGCACAACACAAGCGTCCGTCATGAGGTGTTGCGCCCGAAACGTCGTGATTTAATTGAGTCATTTTCATTTTATTATTTTCATTATTATAATTTTTTTTATTTTTTATTTTTCATCTACATGACTTTACCGAAAGAACCAAAGAGTATGGATCCTTGCAGTCACGAAAACTTCAAATCTAGAATTATTGACGCAGTTTCAAGCCAACCCTTTGGTATCTGATCGCTGCTAAATCTGGCTGCGAGAATGGCTCAACTCTCCACTGGGTGAGCTGAAACAATAGCGATTGGCGCGTTTAACACTTTGACGCCTCGTGATTATTTCATTGTCGAGGTTGCGTAAGGTGGTGGTGGAGGGTTTCACGACACAATTTTGGCCGGAGCATTGCATGGCCTCAACCAAAAACCTATTGTGAAGGACGATAATTATGAGGACCTGACCTCATCGACTACCAAATCTCACCCAGTCTCTCTCGTCTACTTAAATATTCTCTCTGCGTGGTGGCGCAGGCCTATGATCCAGTGCTTTTGAGGCTAGGGTTGGTGGACCACGGAGAGACTTCTGAAACTCCAGACCACGGTGGACTGCGAGGTGGCCAGGAGTTAGCAGTACAGAATTGTCTCGGATACAACAGTGCCATTTCATATACAGATGTTGGTTACATTAATGAGGCCATAGTGATGAAGATGACAATTATGATGATGATAACGATAATGTGAATAGGTGTCGACATCGACATTTTATTTAAACTGGAAGAACCCAATAAGCTGTGAAGCTCTTTTTCACTGGTGTTCAGCCCATTGTGAGATGCTTAAGAAGGGGAGATGACAATTATGATGATGATGCTGATGATGGCAACAATGCAATACTTACGATGATTATGATAACGATGACAATGACTGCGATGAGAAAGATGTCATGACGATGATGGAAAAATCTACATTGATGGATGGTTATTGCAAATGATGGCAGTGACGATGGAAATGATCAAGACGACGATGATGATTGGTGACAATGATGCCAATCAAGATATCAATTTTGATGATGATAACAATGATGATGATGGTGTTGTGATGCGCACTCTCTCTCCGCGTTCTCCCCGGGGGCCAAGGTCTCCTTTGTCTCCCTTTGTCCCATTCTTCCCGTTCATGCCATCCTCCCCCTGAAAACAACAACAACAACAACGCATTATAAACTCAAAATCCACAACTGCCTCACATAATTAAAGAACTCATCATCTTTCTCGGGTCAGTAAAATAAGCACCATGAAAGAGAAGCTGTATCAAAACACCCAGATAAACGAACCCGGCACTCGACATACGACGCAACTAGCATTGTTATATGGACAGACTTGTCCCCATCATAGTAATGTGGAATGTACACTATAGGCTCTTGACCACTCACGTTGAAGTGCGCACTCAATCACCATTGGAGCTGGGGACTCAGCACAAATGATTGGTGGGGGCTCCATGGGGACAGCAGAGAAGATTGAGTGGCCTAATGAGCGAGAGTGGAGAGGTAGCAGAGTGCATGGAGGGGAGTAGAGTGAGGTGAGAGGGGGAGAGGTAGTAGAGTGCGTGGAGGGGAATAGAATGAGATGAGAGGGGAGAGGTAGGAGAGTGAGTGGAGGGGAGTAGAGTGAGGTGAGATGAGAGAGGTAGGAGAGTGCGTGGAGCAGAGTAGAGTGAGATGAGAGGTAGGAGCGAGAGTAGAGTGAGATGAGTAGAGAGTCCATGATCTTGAAGACGCTGAGTATAATCTTGAAATCGATTCGAGATTGCAAATAAACAACCCTTATAGCTTGAACAAATGTGTTACCCGGGCAGCTGTGATTGGTCAGGAGGCGAGTATGACCGGGTGATACTCACGGGGTCCCCGGGGATGCCCGGTTCACCAGGTTCCCCCTGCACAGCAAACGCAGCACAAGGGGTTCATAGCAAGCTGTCCGCAGTCGTACACGCAGTGTGCGTGAGTCCGCACACAACGCAGCCTGCAGGCCTGGTGCCATGCTTGCTGTTTCTCGGCCAAACTACGGCCTGTTGCACTCGACTGGGAAACCCGCGGGTGGATCGAACAAATGACTCGACGATGCTGCTGCGTTGGAAGTGGTGCAAAAAGCACAAGTAACAAAAAAAACTCAACACATTCGTGAATAACACTGTGCTAAAGGCCCTTTATCACAAGCACATGTGTGCTATGAAGAAGGGACATTGCTTGAAACGTCCCCTATTCTCTACTTTTCCTTTGAAGGCCGCAGTGTTGACTAATGCTGTTACATGTCTTATATATGTCAGGGTTTTACACACAAAGACATACATTTTTAACACTTTATTGCATTATTTAATGTTTTGACATCTCCAAGTTTGCACCTGGTGGAGTTTTATCTTTGCCACACAAAAACGCACACACACATCCACAAACTGATCCACACACACAAACGAAGGTCCTCAATATAGCCTTTAACAGACTGTTGGTGCAGGTGCTGTTAGTGAAAGCCGATATGGCCCATAAGGGTGTGGGTGGCCAGCATCGCATCTGGGCGCTTTTGTCTCTGCAATGCTGATGTTTAGACACCGCACCAGATACTCATTTAAGACCAAGTTGACCTAGCGTAGGCCCACGATCGATTCAGATATTCGTCGCTGACGTCAGATGCGGGCGGGAATTTCACCCGTGTCACCGGGTTCGGAGCATGCAGTTCGCAAACCACTGCCCTAGCCCTCCCCACACACACACACATGCACGCGCGACTGCTCACACCGGTGCTTCCGCGTGTACACACGTGACTGGTGCGAGAGCTCGCGTACGACAAGAATCACAAGCGGCCCACCTTCTCTCCGGCAGGGCCTCGGAGACCAGGAGGGCCCGACGGGCCCCTGGGGCCCAGGTCTCCCTTCGTGCCCTGCAATGAGAAAGATGATGACTCAACGCGTGCGTGACGCCGCAGCCTTCAACGAACAGCCGCTCCTAGACGAACTGCAGCAACGCGCGTCCTTCGCACGCGGCTTGTGCTGGTTTCGCAACTTCCCCAAGGTAATGCCTTCAGCAACAATAACAATCGATTCAATGTCAATTGGAGCCGTGTACTCTCCACCACAGCCAAACAAATCGAGCTGTCACCTGGCCTGTTGTGCTGGCTGAGTTGTTGCGCCGACTGAGTGTGCAGAGTATTTGCTGCTGTAAATTTCCACGCGATACCACTTCATTAAGCTATTATTTGTGGCCAGGTCGTTTCTTAAAAAAGAGCTGTATAGCTTAGTGGGCCTTACCTGGTAAAATTTCATGAAATGTTTTACGTGTTTAGATTTTTAGCAAACTGGTTACGAGCAAAGGCAAACAAGACTTGAAAATAATACATGACGTTCCACCGGAGATGACTCGCAGCATCGGTAGGCGTTAACGAAACTCATCATCAAATTCGTAATATTGCTCGTGAGAAAGCCTGCATTTGATATTAACAATACGAATCTTAATGGGCAAATGCTGAAATGATATCCCGATGCTGAAAAATTACCTGCAAATTACTCAATGCGGATAACACAGCAGCGTCAACAGCAACATCAGCCCCTACTGAAAAAACCTAGCAGGCCCCTGCTGAAAAAGAGTCTGGAGACTTTCGTGGGTAAACACGTGTTATAAATAAACAACGCCACCACCCAACACAGCCAATTAGTAAGGTTTGTCACGTAAACAAAATGTGGCAATTAGTTATGAGTACAGTACACCGGTGTGTTGGAGAGTAAATTCGAGTACAACGTTTCGTTGGCGATTACAACCAGCCTCATCAGGCAACAGCCAGAAATGTATAGAAGTCCTCCTCTTGCGGTCCAAAATAGAGCAATGGTGATGTCATCACTGTCAGTCAATTAGGTGCGAAGACCAGATCTATCCCAAAAAACCTTTATTATGGATAACATTGGTCACAAAAGCCTACGTGTTAAACATGTTATAATCAATGGTGATTGACAAGGATGATACCGCTGATGATGATGATGATGAAGTTATGATGACTTGTCAGTTACGAGTGGTAATGCTGACGATGATAACTAATAATTACCGATCATGGAGATGATAACGAAATTTTAAACTCATTCTTTAGATTGAAAACTAATTTCATTAGAACTGCTTTTTGTCTTTAGTTTTGTGTCCCTCCCCCGCACCTCCAATTGGTACAGTTGGCTACGTAGGATGCGAAAGAAGTTCAACATACATACAATCCATAATGATGCATTAGTGACGAGTGTCGATGCTGACGGTGATGGCTGCTGTGACAATGATGACGATGACGACGGCGACGACGGCACCTCACCTTTTCCCCGTGCGGTCCCTCCTCTCCCCGCTCTCCCCTCTCACCGTCGAGTCCCCGTAAGCCCCTCGGGCCCTGCACGCTCCCAGCGAGCGGTCAGCGATTGTGTCAGCAGGCCACGTTAAGCGACTGGGAAGGAAGCTAAGCGGAGTTGAGCCTGGATAGTGCTTGGATGGGGGGGGGGGGAGGGGGGGGGTGCGACTGCTCTACACAATGGGTGTTATCGGCTGCTGCTGAGATTACATTGCGGGCAGTGACGGACAGTGCAGAAAAATCCGAAGAAACGGAGTGTCTCTGCTCCCAGGTCTATGCTCTCCATGCCTCCACGACCCTGCACTGGCCAAGGTGGTGAAGTATGGACAAATCACTCGCACAACGCGGATAGTGCCGGATTAAGCTAGTGCGGGGCCTGTAGCATATGGTATAATGGGGCCCTAAATAAATAAAAACACTTCAATATTAAAACATGCATTTTTTACTTGCATAGTACAGTAATTTTATTCTTCATTTGTTATACAGCCAGATGATACGACAAATCGCTAACCTTAAACACCCAGTCGTTCATAAAAGTTGAAGGCAGTACAGAACTATACTAATAGAGCAAGTGCAGAATCACTGAACGGGAATTGATAGCTTGAAAGAATTTAGCGCGGGGCCCTTGAAAGTGCGGGGCCCATAGCTACTACATATGCAGTAGCTACTGATGCTTCGAGGATAATCCGGCACTGGACTCGGCACTGCGCGCTGGAGACCCTCATCCAGCAGTGGACTGGCACAGGGCTGTACACGCAGACAAGTGGAATGTGATGGGGAGCGTGGGATGCGATTGGAACGGTGGGTGCATTGAGCCTGCGGAGCTGCGTGGGTGTGTCGTACCGTTGGGGTTGCGCCGTGTTGCCGTGCACTGGGTGTGCCGTGTGCGATGATCCTGGCGTGCGGTGTGCCTGTTACGTGGCGTGCCGGGTGTACCGTGTACGTTGTATGTGTTGTGCGTGCTGTGTGCGTCACGTGCGCGTGGGTGTGTGTACCGCGCCATGCCAGGGGCTCTCACCGGCTCCCCCTTCACTCCTTTGCTGCCTTCGCTGCCAGGGACCCCCACGGATTCTCCCTGGGGACCGCAAATCACGCCGTTAGCACGAAAGAACGCCTTAACTCGGTGACCATGGAAACGCACCTTCACCATGGGAACACACCTTCACCACAGGTATACTCGGTTCCCACGGAAAAATGCCTTCATCATGGGAACACACCTTCACCACAGGTATACTCCGTTACCATGGAAACACACTTTCACCACAGGAACACACCGTCATCACCATGGAAACAGTCACCAAGGGAACAGGCCGTCATCACCACGACAACGCACAGTCACCACGTAAACAAGTCGTCACCATGGAACACCATAGTTAAAACCTGGACTTGAACCCAGGCTCTCAGCAGTGCAGGCTCAGTACAATGACGTGGCCATTATGGACCCTGAGCCAGGCAGGCCACACGCATTATAAAGCTACATGTAAGCCTACCAGGTACGAGATCTCGCCATCTAATCTCACTATTGCTTATAGAGCGCCTTCAATCAAAGTGCTTGACATAGCTTTCAAAATGGTGACAAAGTGGAATGATGTAGTTGGCAATGAGAAATCGGTGACAGCGATAGAGGGCTACTTGTGGATCACAAAAGGGTAGGGGAGGCATGGGAAGGAGTGGAGGGGCGAGGGGAGGCAAGAGGAAGAGAATGGGTAACAGAAAATGAGGGAGGCTTTAATACGGTGATACATCTGTCTTCTCCGCCTATGCTGGGTGAGCCGTTGAGCGAGCTTCTTGTCGTGCTCGCCCCTCACCTTGTCGCCCTTGACTCCTGAGGCCCCAGACTCCCCCTGCAGCACAGGTTGGGGGGGGGGGGGGCGGCGGGGATAACGGAGTCAATGGATCAGTCGGCAGCGACCATCGCAACACACACACCAACAACAACAGCTGTCGTTCGCCAATAAGTGGCGGTGACGTCACCACGGCGATTGTGCCAGGCCAGGTGCACTTTTCGGCCATGTGAAGTGTCAAAGGCTCGGTGGCAGCAGGTCACGGAACAGATCTCGGTGTACAAAGAGAAGTCAGCAGCTTCCATAAAAAATGCAAAAAAAGACAAAGATCCCTCACATAGCCTTTAATGGACTGTTGGGGCAAGTGCTGTTAGCGAGCACCTTTGAAGGCCAGCATGACACATGAGAGGGTGGGTGGCCACCACCACGCCCAGCCGCCTTTGTCTCCCCAGTGTTGATGTTTACACGCCACACCGGGTACTTATATTTAAGGCAAAGTTGACCTTGTGGAGGTCCAGGACCGGTTCATGCATGCACCACTGTTATTGGTCATGAGCGGGAAATGAACTTCTGTTGCCGGGTTCGTCGTGCAATGCGCCAATCACACAACTGCCCCTCCCCATTGACGAGAGCTCACACACAGACACAGCCGATGATCCCCCATGTAGCATTAGATTCTTGGGGAAAGTGCTGTTAGCAAGCACCTATTGTGTCCAGCATGGTGCAGCACCGCTCACGACCGCCTTTGTCTCCCGAGTGTGGAAAGTGTGCACGAGGTTTTTTTCAAAATTTTCACCACGCATTTGCGCACGGACTTCACGGCAAATAATCTCTCAACGTTTGGAAGAAGCGGGATGGGGGTGGGGGGGGGTAACGACGCGACGTCGTACGAACTACAGGCGGGGGTGCGGGGCGGCGGTGTGTACCTTGTCTCCTCGAGCTCCGTGCGTGCCGAGGGCCCCCTGCGAGGGACAGACGCCGAGTCAGAAGAGACGACGCCACGAACTCGGGGGTGGCGACATTCCGCACCACGCCAACGGCATCCCAACACATCGGAACGCGTAGACGCACGTAGTGACATAGAATCGGTCACTTAGCAGCATAGCGCTTGTTGCTGGCAGGGAAGGGGATCTGCAGTTACAGCAGCCCTGTCTGACAGCAGGTCACGTGATAGACCAGAGGGATGTAGGGGAAAGGTTACAGAGGGGGCACGTGGAGGAAGCCCGGGCATGGTCGGGGAGCGAGGCCACGCTGGAAGCATAAAAGGAGGCCCCGGGCGGGAGCTCGGGGCTGTCATTTGAAGTGGGATTCCGTTGTGCTGCTGGAATCTTCGTCACCGTCTTCACCATCTCGGCGTCGTTAGTCAGGCAGTCTGCCAGCTGTCCTGACTGGGAGCTGTAGTTACTAAGTGTGAACTATTAAGGCTGTTAATAAACAGAGTGCCTCCTACTCGTAGTGTCTCTGAGTCAGTCACTATACCTGTGTGTGTTCGTGTGCCTAAGTTCATGCATGTGTATGTGTGTGTACGCGTGTGGGTAGGTGCGCGCACGTGTGCGTGTGCATGCGTGTGTGTGTGTGTGCGTGTGCATGCGTTACCGCTGAGCCTGGTGGGCCTGGCTGTCCGGGTCGGCCGTCTTCGCCCTGCGACACAGAGAACAGTGGTGGAGCGCGGTTGGCATGGGCCCTGGTGGGAATAATTAAATGGGCCCCTAACCCCCCCCCAAATGCCCCCCCCCCCATTTTGGATTTGTGGGTGTCAGTGCAGTTGCGCAGTCTTCATTTTGAGGAACTGGAGAGAGGGTGGTTTGTTGTTCCGAATGGGAAGTTTCATGATTTTGGTCATACAATGTAATAATCATGAAGTGGCTTTTCACTTGGAAGTAGTGTATAAAGGACTGTAATTAAGGGGGACATTATTTGTCCACATTTCTGGATAAGGGAGAAACGGCCATGGAATACCGCGGTGTTGGACTTACTCAGACGGACTGACATTTTGATCCAAGCTGGGATGGTGATGATGACGCACTCAGTCTCATGTACACGTCAAAACCTTGAGCTCATTCCCTAAATAAGCCATAATAATCACCTCCAATACGACACCACGTTCACGTTATTAAGAGGTTTGCCCAATTTGTGCAACTGCCCGGATGAATCGCTGACCACTTCCCATCGTTAGCGACTTGCACATCCTCTCGAGTTGCCACTCACCGTGGCTCCTGCGTGCCCTTTGTCACCCTTGGGGCCTGGCAAGCCGCTCCCCACCTCGCCCTGGCCACGCGCAACGAAACGGGGAAGCGAGAACAGATGCACCGCACGTTACGCAGCAGCAGCTGCAGCAGCAGCAAGAATAGCAGCAGTCGAAGGAGCAGCAGCAGCAGCATAAGGAACAGCAGCTGAAACTATTTATCCCGCACCTCCGATTCGCACGGTTGGCTACATAGGGTGCAAAATAACTTCAACATACATGGAAACAAGCAGAAACAACAGCAGTGAAAGTAACAGCGTAAACAGCAGCAGTGGTCAAGGTGTGGTTGGAATCATTTTCTGCTCTCACCTTGTCTCCCTTCTCACCCGCCCTTCCGTCAGCTCCCTGTTGCACGCAAAACAAATTAATAGGTAAATAACCATGATGCCTAGGACGTGGAGAACATCCACGTAAACACATGGTGTATACAATGGCACCATTACTTACTAAACAGATGGACATTCATTGAGATTAAAATGTATATTGATGTTTACGTGGTTCTAAAATTGTTGGTGTGGTCTGATGGGGCGTATGTCTGTGCGTCTATGACTGTGTGTGTATTCTAATGAAGAGCTTAAATATAGTGGTTAGCGTAACGCGCTACAAACCCGTCGACCCAAGTTCGATTCCCGCTCACGAGCAATAACAGTGATGAATATTTGAACCAGTCCTGGGCCGACCCCTAGGTCGACTCAGCCTTAAATTAATACCCGGTGCAATGTGTGAACATCGCCACTTGGGAGTCAAAGGCGGTCGAGTATGGTGTTGGCTACCCACCCCCTCGTGTGCAGTGCCAGGCTTCATAGACGCTCGCTAACAGCACTTGCCCCAACAGTCTGTTAAGGCTATACGGGGGATCTTTGTCTTTGATAGCGTGTGTGTGTGCTAGTGTGTGTGTGTATGCATGTGCATGCTAGTGTGTGTGTACGTACATGCTAGTATGTGTGTGCACGTGTGTATGTGTGCACGTGCGAGTTAGTGTGTCTGTGTGTGTGTGCGAGACGTGGGGGTACCTGGGGACCGAGGGGGCCGGGTGGGCCGGGATTTCCAGTGGATCCGTCCAGCCCGGGGAAGCCCAGAGGCCCCTGTGCCGACACACCCCGGTTAGACACCCCAACAGGGTGAGAGCATCATTCCATTGTGGGCTAACAACGAGTTTGGTCACGGCAGACGCAATGCCACGTCTACTGACACCGCTCTGGCTGCTGGGTCAGCTGCTGTCGGTGGTCCTGCTCACGCATGCAGCTGTTGTTGAGGCTACCCTCACCAGTGTCAAGGCTATGGCTGCTGTAAGTGTGACCGCTGTGGTCGATGTCATCTGTGTAACTGACATAACCATCACTACACTTCCATCTATGGCCCCAAAAGTTGTTGTTGTCAATGTGCCACCTATACCTTCTCCCAGCGTGACACCTATACCTTCTACCAGCATGATACCTACAGCTGCTGTTACCAATGAAACGCCTAAAGCTGCTGCAGCTATCAGCGTGAAGGCAGCTGTCAGTCTCTCTCCGCTGCCGTATGCACCTTCTCGCCCGAGGGCCCGGGCGTGCCGGGGCTGCCGGTTTCCCCGCGGGGCCCTGTGGGTCCTGGTGGGCCGGTGGACCCTGCGAGCCCCCGCTCCCCAGGGAGACCTGGAGCCCCCACCATTCCCTGGTGGCATCATCCGCACAGGGAGGAGGAGGAGGCGGATTGTGGAGAGAAGGGAAATGGGAGAGATTTTGTTTTGTTTGGGGTTTAATAGCAGGGTTCACAGTGAGCTTGAAAGGACAGAGATGACAATTCTGAGATGTGGTGAAATTAGCGACTCATAGATTCACACAGAGATGCATGTAGTCACACACAAATCTAAAGACTCACAGACAGACACATAAACTCACAGAGACACCCATAGACTTACAGAGAGACCCACAGACTCACACAGAAACCTATAGGCTCACAGGGAGACACATAAACTAACAGAGAGACTTATAGATGAGAAAGGGCTATGGAGATTCCACCGGTGCAGGGCAGAAGAGGTACAGGAAGAGAAAAGGTGGGATAGGATGCGGTGGAATGAGATGCGAGGACAGGAGATGTGACGAGAGAGGAATCCCAAAAGAGAAGCTCATGGAGGGAGAAAATCTGTGGCAGCCAACCCCCACGCAGTAATAGCACTTCTGACTTAGCAGAAGGAGATGATAATTCACTCGCGACCCAAGCCAGGAGTTGGGAATGTCGCCGTTTCAAAAGTCTCAGACTGAGAAAGAGAACCCAGAGACACAGCTGGGAAGGTCAGGGGTTAGGGACACTGATCCAGTGCAGCTGAGATCCTGGGCTCTAACCCAGGGTAGATACCGGCTGACTGCGGTTACAACAGTGCAGCGAGTCGATGGCCTTAGCGCGGTCAACAATGACTGCACAAAAGAAAGCATCGCGTTACGTTTGGTTTCTCAGAAAAAATGAGCAAAAAATGTCAGCTCTGAGGTTTAAGAAGTTCAAGTTTGATTGGCATGCTGTAAAACACTCTTCACTGAACACATGCCCCCCGAGCGTGCATGGAGAGGTTCGTTGAGGTGACTTCAGAAGAAGTTCTGCGACATCGCCTCTCCGAGACCTTTCTCTGGCACAGCGTGGCCGCACTCCTTGCTGGAAGAGTTCCCAATTATTACATTTTCATTTACTTCTATCATGACACATCGTAGGTAAAGGTGGGGTTAGGTTTAAGGGGGGTGGTAAGGGGATACTTACAGGAGGTCCTGGGGGGCCAGGGGACCCTGGAAGCCCAACGGTTCCTACGCCAGGCTCCCCCTGTTGGTGACATCGCAACTCATTTCTTCATCATGAAAACTAATTTCTCTAGAACTACTTTTAATATTTAGTTTGTCGTCCTTCAGCCGCACCTCCAATTAGCACAGCTGGTTATGCACGGTACGAAACAAAGTTCAATATACATGAATACTTGTTAGTTTTACTCCTCTTTATTTTAACACAATGCCCTTTATGTAAAGGTGCAATCAGCAACGCAATCGAAGCTGTTATTTCACCAACATGTATGTGTGCTGGCTGTGTGTGCTGGACTTTTGGACACTGAAATTGCTTGCCTATGCCACTGCTGGCGGAAGGCCCTCCATCACTACAGTGAACTCTTGAGGGTATTTATGTTTTTCCCTTCCACTCTGATCAGACGAGTTTGTTGGAAGAAGTGGGCTTACTACCCAAACTTTACCCCACCACCAAACACGAACTGCAGGTCGCCTGCGGTGAACCCAATTACATTGCTGGACAGAGGTGGCAGAAACTTGCACCGTTGTTTCAACTGCTGGACAGGAGAGGGAACTTAACCAGTGATCTCTGGATTGATGGTCCCAGTGTGCTCACCATTACACCACTGTGGCAGCTACCATGAACCTCGTACTCGCGTGAATTACTTTCCCAGAATTCCCCACGCGATGGCAGATGTACCACATGATCAAATATGGATGCACCCTTGCACAACTGTACATCTACGGTCACTTCCTTAGCCTTCTGAGAGTGTGCAGACAAGAGAGAGACGCTGTAACACAGTAACATGCCTAAGGGTCGCGAACATTTTTCGTACAAATCGAACGCTGGATTCTGTGCGAACATCAAAGCAACAATTTCAAGTTACCTACCCAGAAAAGTTTCCAATGCACCCACAATTCAACACTTTATTTTCAGTCAGGGTTTGAATATGTCAGTTGAAATGGGCAAACCAGTCCTTTCAAGCACGGTTTAGACTTAAAAAAAATTGTTTCGTAGTGTGTGACACATTAGGAATGGACCACTCTTTAATAAGTCCTGATGTGCTGTGCAGTACATCAATGCACGTGTGTACACCAGCATGTGATGACTAAGTTGGGCCTGTGGGGGGCTGGCAGGGTTATTTATTAACGGGACGTGTACACCAGTCACGTGGTTAATGGTGACTCGGTGATAATTGCTGTGTGTGACACACGTGCTGTTGCATCTCACACATTAACGCACAATAAATGTGTTTGCCCTCGATTTGGAGCACCTGCCCACGTCCTTCATTTCGAGTGTGCAACACGTGTATATACATTTTGTCCATACTATATTATTACTGAACGACATTGTTTGCTCTGCAGTCTCTTCATTGTGAAATCATTATCTGAAACGTCACTAAATCATGCAAAAGATGTATGTGACGCCGTGGCAATGCTTAAAGAGCAGCCTCAGTGGTTGGGTCTCAAGACAAGACAGTTTCCTACCTTCGACCCCCTTTCTCCGTGGGCCCCTTTGAATCCCTGCATGCACACAGACACAAAGACAAAGATCCCCCATATAGCCTTAACAGATTGTTGGGGCAAGCGCTGTTAGCGAGCACCTATGAAGGTCGGCACAGCACACGAGGGGGTGGGTGGCCAATACCACGGCCGGCCGCAATTGTCTCCCCAATACAAATATTTACAAACCGCACCATGTACTCATAGAAGGCTGAGTCGACCTTGGGGAGGCCAATTAAAGGTTCAGATATCCGTCAACCGATGTTGGCCGTGCTAACCACTGAGCCACCGCTCTCCACAAAGATACACACACACACGTGAAAGCCATGTATCATTGGGAGCGTGCACACCCATAGCATCCTTCACAGACAAATGGACGGTTGGAGAGTTTTGTGATTGAGAAATAAAAAGAGACTCCCTTACGATCTCGCCCGGGTCTCCTGGTTCTCCGATCATGCCCTGCAACGTGCAAGCACAACACAATCAGCACGAGTGCACAGGTACCGCTGCAACACAGCATTCCAGCAATGACACAGCCTTTACAGCCACAACACACCCCAAGAAAATGTTTAAGTTATAAAGTAAATAAATAACGATTCGCTTTTTTTTCAGCGTTACGAGACAATCCATTCGTAACTCTCGCAGAGCAGTGTATCGCCCTGTGTTGAAAATTGCCTGTGGAAGCGGATATCACAGAGCTCCCTCTGAGTTCCTTTTAAAGTGACCTCAAGTCCGCATACAGCAGAGGGCAGCAGTTTCCCACCTGCCATACTACAGAGAGGAATATTCATCACGTCTCTCAAAAACCATATATCTGATTCTCATGGCTGAAATAAATGTAATGCGATGGGTTTATGTTGTTATTGTGTGCAGTGATTGGTGACCAGGGCTGAGACCCATCAACTCACCGCACTTAAGAAACTTGGCTTAACCACAGGCTGCCGAAACCTGGATTCGAACCAATGGTCTCTGCGTTGCTGGCTCAGCACTTTGAACCCTCCCCAAGCAACCTCAGCAAAGAGAATGTTTAAGTGATGCCTCACCTTCTCTCCCCTGGACCCTTCAGGACCGCGGTCTCCCTTTTCTCCCTGGGAACGAAGTGAAGCGGGAATCACCAACTCCAGCTTGCAGCGATAGTGCTCCACCGGAAACACCCGGTGCTACTGGTGAGCGTGTTGAGTTATTGTTATTGTTTGTGCTTGTGCACCACTGCCCAATGAAGTATCAGCAGCATCACCATCAAGTCAAGTCCAGTTTTTGTACCTCGGGAGTGCGAGTTTTTTTGACATCCTTTCATATTTTAAAGGGGAACAAGATGAAACCCCGTTATACGCAAAACCTCCGAATAGCACCTTTGACTACGTACTGTGCGAAAGAAGTTCAACATACATACATACTGTACAGGACATGGCTAATCCGCCCACGTTATCTCAAGGACAGACTGTATATGTTTTTTTGTTGGAAGGAGGCGTTTAAAATAAACGAGGAGAGTTAGATTTTTTTAAAAAGCATTATTTATTTATTTGTACGCGGCGCGGCAGTGCGTGGCGGTTTAATCGGCACCTGTTCACCCTTGACCCCCCGGAGCGTTGTGACTCCAGAGAGGCCCTCCCCAGGCTCACCCTGCCGGCGCAGACAGACGCACACAGGAACAGCCATGGGGGGGGGGGGGGGGGGGGTAACACAAACATGGGGCCACGCGTTCCAACTCGGCGCGACACGAAGCGACGGACACTTTGGGCAGAGCGAGGGACGCGGCATTGGGGCACACCGACGCTAAGACGGATGCGAGCGCTGACCTTGTCTCCCTTTGCCCCGGGCGCTCCCGGCGATTCCTGTTGAAAAAGATGGAGAGGAGGGCAGTGAGGAGGCGCGTGCGTTCCGTCGTGGAACGAGAGACACGGCGACCCAGCCGACGAGAGCTCGCCTCAAGGCGCTTGCGCGCGGGCTAGAAGACGCGGGCCTGCGCCGTGCGTGGATGGCGAACATCGCGGGGACGTTGAAGCGCGTAACACTGCAATTGCAGGCGGTCAATAGCCGGTCAGAAATGGCATTTTGACGTGACATTCCTCAGCATTTCTTCAATTGCTCATTCTCATACCAATGTGTTCTTTCCCTCTCCGCTCTGCAGCCTTCTAAGCCTATCATTCCCCTCGCGTTACCTCCCCTAGCACCGATAATCCCAGAACAAACATAATCCTGTTTTCCCCAAGTCCTAACGCTGAGTTACACCCCTCCTTATTAGTACAGCATCTCGATAAGCAGTGACGTGTAGGCGCTTTGAGAACCTAACCTGCATCATCATGCGAACAACAGTGGCCGAGTTTTAGCAAGGGAACGACTCATGACCTTCCCCGCCACCACCTTCCTTCCGCTCACGCTGCACTCTGATGAACTGCTCGCAACTCACTGGAACGATCCAATTCGAACTTTGATTTCATTTTCCTGAAGTGCGTCGTCTCATTCGCGCCGCGTCACCGGCACCGTCCCGTTTGTATTGTCAAGTGAATTCACTCATTCGTTACGATCACGATCCTGAATGAGTAGCCGAACAGTTACTTACAAAAAGAACACAGCAAAAAACGAATTACGAGCGCTACTCGACGCAAGTTGATTGCGCGCCTAAAAATCTAATTTCAATCAATGTCCACGGAGTTTGGTAAAATTATAGACGGTGCATTTTTCGTTAAGGTAGCAGGGGGGGGTGGGGGGGGTACTTACCTGCCCGTGGGGTCCCCGGTCTCCCGCCTGGCCTGGGGGGCCCGTGAGCCCGATGGGTCCTGGGGGCCCCTGTGTGAACGAGACATCAGGAGAATAAAAAAAAGTCACAAAACGCACAAAGTCATCTTCACGACAATACTCCTCCACCGCCATTGTTTTTCGTCCTTTTTCCATGCAGTTACCCCGATTGTGCTCCTGGCATCATGGCAAGAGACCATGAACCATTCGCATTTCTCACAAAGCAATGGAACCCAACCCCCCCCCCCCCTCCACCATGTTAGAGAATAGCCCCCCAGAAACAGATATCACAGAACTACATCCGAGATGCCTTGAATGCGACTTTTTATTTTATTCACACACTCGGAACAATGCAGGTTTCCACGTGTCCCGCTAGGGAGTAAGGAGACGCTTGCCGCAGGGCAGTCACCAATCAATATTTCAAATAATCGGAGCTGGTATTTAGACAATTTCATGCCTAGCAGGGCCATAGACGGGGCTAAACGTGCGTTCCATTGCATGTGACAAATGTTCAGTACACCGTGAGGACACGGCGTCATGCTGTATTTATGCTGAACTTCTTTCGCACCGTACGTAGCCAACCGTGCTAATCGGAGGTGCGGATATATCGATGCACTCAGTCGAGACCCGTGTCGCCTCCACGCGTCTCGACTCATTCATCGCGTGTGACGCAAAGTGGCGCGGCTCTGCCCCTGCAGTGGAAAAAACCACCCTGGCGCCTGCCAAGCCGCACTGGCTCGGCACGACTCGGTTGCGCAGTGGGAGGGAGGCGCTCCTCACCATCTTTCCCGGGAGCCCATCCAGCCCCGCAGTTCCAGGAACTCCGTCTCTCCCGGCCACTCCGGGCTTCCCGCTTTCTCCCTTTGGAATAAGGGAACATGGCGCCAGACGGTAAACACAAACGCCGTGAGGTCTCCCACACGGTCGGTCACCTCCCGATTACCCACAGGCAGATTACCAATTGGTGCATCCATGTATGTATGTATGCTGAACTTCTTTCGCACCGTACGTTAGCCCATCATGCTAATCGTAGGTGTGGGATGTATCGTTCCATGTTTAATGACGAAGCAATGACGCTGACCGGGGACATCTTAGTGATGATAATGATGGTAGTGTATCAAAATTTGCTGCTGATAATCTTAATGCCCTATAATAATAAAATTGTTTGGTGATGCTGCTGCATTTGGCAGTGGTGCACACGCACCATTAACCAAAAAAACCCCCCACTTCAACACATCACAAACGTGACTTTAAAAGAACAAAAATATACATACATATGTAATAGGTGATATTTCGGGCGATTTATGTACTATGAAGCAGGGCCATTGCGCAAAACATCGCCTCATAACGAACGTGTTGAGTTTTTTAGAAGACAATAATAACAATGATGAAACAATGAGAAAAAGGCTTTAGCATCTCTGGCAATAATGCAGGAGGTGTTAAGATGTTTAAACACCAAATAGACACCTTTTCCAAGGCATCAAGTCTACACTAACCACGCGTACTTGTGGTGAAACATGCAAACAAATAAAGTAAATACTCTTCGGTTATTTCGGTGAAGTCACGTAGGTATAAAATAAAATAAATCACGACGTTTCGGGGGCAAAACACAAGCGTCCGTCATCAGGTGGTAAAGCGTGGTCTGCTGCTGAGGCAAACTGCCTCAGCAGCAGACCATGCAGACCATGCTTTCCCACCTGATGATGGACGCTTGTGTTGTGCCCGAAACGTCGTGATTTATTTTATTTTATACCTACGTCACTTTACCGAAAGAACCAAAGAGTATGGATTCCTGCAGTCACGAAAGCTTCAAATCAAAATAATGTACAGCATTGTCCTTGAAACTGATTGACTTACACCAGAGACAGTAACGGTGGTGAGATGTTAACTACCTCGCCTGGTATACAGGAGATCGTGGGTTCAATCCTGACCCTGACGCCTGCTGCTGTATATTTGGAGTTTGCATGGTCTCTCTCATCATCATTACGGTGGCTAGGACATGTTAACTACCTCGCCTGGAATACAGGAGATCGTGGGTTCAATCCTGACCCTGACGCCTGCTGCTGTATATTTGGAGTTTGCGTGTTCTCTCTCTCATCATCATTGCGGTGGCTAGGAGATGTTAACTACCTCGCCTGGTATACAGGAGATCGTGGGTTCAATCCTCACCCTGACGTCTGATACTGTATATTTGGAGTTTGCGGTGTCTCTCTCTCTCATCATCACAGTGGCTAGGAGATCTTAACTACATCGCCTGGTGTACAGGAGATCGTGGGTTCGATCCTGACCCTGACGCCTGCTGCTGTATATTTGGAGTTTGCATGTTCTCTCTCTCCCTGTGGTCATGTGGATTTTTCTCCGGGTCCTTCGGTTTTTCCCTCCACATTTCGAAACAAACGTTAGAGTATTAAGCTGCTATGAGTATCTATGCGATAAAGACACTTTGTTGAGCTGTTATTTGTGGCCAGGTTACTTCTGAATATGAGCTATAGAGCTCAGTGGGCCTTATATGTGGTAAACAAAAAAATAGTTGTATTGGTGTTTCAGCATCTTAACACCTCCTGTATTATTTCCAGAGAGCGTTTTCCTCTTTTTCCATAATTTTGATGCTGGCAAAAGGGTCCCATAAATAATAATAATCTTTATTTATCCAAAAAAATTGCACTCACTGAGCCTCAGGAATCTTTTTTAGAAAACTTCTGCTTTGAGATGCTTGGCCAATACCTCTCTAATTATTGTTTTGCATGCGGGAGATATCAGAACACCCAGAGAACAAAGTGGGGTAACCAAAGGTCAGCCCAGACAGGTTAATGAACCCACTTTCTGAACTGCCATCTGCTGGCCAAATTGCAGATATGGGAGTTTCACAAATTTACGTGATCCACAACTATTTCCTCTTAAAGCAGCGGGTTAAAGGTGTACAAAACATCGTACCTGAAGTAGTCCCCCTCCTACAGCTCCTTCTGTTCCTCTCTTAAAGCCTCAACCGCTTCTCTATTCCCCATTCTCTTCCCTCCTCTTGCCCCTCCACTCCCCATCCCACTCCCCATCCCTCCCCTACCCTTTCGTGATCCCTAAGTACCCTGTATCGCTGTCACTCATTCCTTGTTATGCCCCTGCCATCTCAATCATTCCCTTCTGTCACCGTTTTGTAAGTTATGTCAAGCGTGTTTAGTGAAGGCACTGTACATATAAATATACAATTAGTTGACGATGTAGTGTAACATCACCTCTCGGCCTGGCAAACCCGGTGGTCCTGGAAGGCCCTAGAGAAAAACAAAGAAACCAACAATCACACATTCAAGGACTCAAATAATAAATACATCTGCAGATAAGAGTGGGAAAGGCGTCATTAGCAGCGAGTTGCGTGACCGGAGGCTGGTAGAGGTGTTTCTGATGTCAGGATTAGGGTTGGGGAAAGCCGAGGTGTTAAGGTGAAAGTCGGGGGTTAGGCTGGTGTGAAAATATGTATTTGTGGGGTTAGGGTTAGAGGCATGGCTTGTTGACATATCTGAATGTGGTTGGGGTAGACCGGTTGTGATGTTTGTGGGGGTTGGGGCTACTCACAAGTGATCCTGGGGCTCCGTTGGGGCCCCGAGGACCAGGAAGTCCCTGAAGGCCGGGCGGTCCCTGAAACACGAGCACACACACACCACGTGTGTGAGAACACTTACATAACCACGTGTGACCGCCCACGCACACAGGTGAACACACACGCAAACATGTACGCACACAAGAACTATAAAAGACAAAGATCACCCCGTATAGCCTTAACAGACTGTTGGGGAAAGTGCTGTTGGTGAGCACCTATGAAGGCCGGCACGACATACGAGGGGGTTGGTGGCCAGCACCACGCCCCGGTCACCTTTGTCTCCCTAGTGTTGATGCTTACACACCATACCAGGTATTCATTTGAGGCCGAGTTGACCTAGGAGAGTCCTAGGAACGGTTCAGATAATCGTCATTGGTATTGGCCGTGAGCACATATTGAACTCGGGTCGCTGGCTTCGTAGCAGAGTGCGCTAACGGTTACCCTACCGCTCCACAATTACACACACACCAGCACACACGCGTACACTTGCACACCCACGCGTGAGGACGTAGGCACATGAAGCCTTACGTGCCCACATCCGAGCATCTACACACACACACGTGCCATGAGGTTCACGGTTCGACTCCATCGGCCGCATGAATCAAAACTGCGGGTGTATTAACCTTCAAGTATTATGCGCCATCTGCTTCACAGTGGACGTCAAAGATCGCGTGACGTCGTGCACAAGAGGTGGCCATCGTGTGCCGGCGTCATGGTCCAACTTAGAAAGTTACCCAGAAATTGCTCAATTGGAATCGACGTCGCAATCACCACCCCCTACTCCAAACACTTGGCAGTACCGTCCTGAAAAAAGAGTAATGAGACTCACGTGTGAGGCTGTCGAAAACAAGCGTAACAGTAATTAACACGCAACAAACACACACACACACCCGAACGGTTACACAAGAGAACACAACTCACTACTAATCCCACCCCCACAGCGCTCCCTTCAGCGTCCACTCCGACCTCCCTGACCTCGACACACACTTCGACACTTCTGCCGGCTCTACGATGACTCATCCTCCATGTATTGAAACAAATCGTGACTATGTACGCACCACTTGAGACTGTCCTGGAGGTCCCATCTCTCCCTGAACGACAACAAAAAGAAGAAGAGCCAAACAGGCAAGCATGTCACACAGACAGGAATCGCACGATGCACCCGATAAATACCGCCTTCCATTCATGTTTTACCTCCCAAGTGTGGAGCAGTCACGGGCGCATTTGTGCGATCTTCTACAACAGTTGTAGCACAATTAAGACAATTTCTCAGAGTTGACACAACTCGTGAATGCATTGTGAATGCTGAAGAAATGAGGAATAATGTGTCCAGATTTCATGATGATGGATAAATGCTCATGGTATAACACGGTGTCGGACGTACTCATTGTCATCCACGCGGGGATGTTGCTTGTCCACTGAGGTTTGCCTCAAACCATCGACTTATTCAATAAATAATTATTTACATGTACAAAATGCTGAAATTACTTTGCAACTCAAAGCACCTTGCATCACATCTCAACCGTTTCAAATTTGCGTCTCACAGATGGCAGTGAGGTGGCAGCCACCAAGCTGTTCTCTCCATTAAACATTTTTTGGCTAATCTCAAAAGTCCTCCCTCCTCCCACCAAAAAACACTTGCATTCTGGGAAGGGGCTTTTTTTCTGTAGATTTGTGGTGTAACCTTGTGCTACTCTTGATCCTCCGGTTAAGAGCAGAACAAGGCACAAATCTATCAATAAATGAACCGTAGTAGTCGTATGATGATGATGATGATGATGGTTACTGCCGACCGCTGCCTTGTCCAGGCTGAATTCTCCACTCCTGCCAGACGGTGTTGAATGAGACTCGAGGGCTCACCTTGATGCCAGTGGGGCCAGGCCCACCGGGGAGACCAGCCGGTCCCTGCCACCACACGCAACAATGATAAAGGTGAAAATATTCATTAAAAAAACAAGTTATATAAATAATAAGTTATATAAATAAAAATATACTAAAACGGTCCTCCTGTCAACCCACTGTCGAATGAGGGTCTCCCCAAGTCGTGCAGTGTGTAGCAGTTATTTGACCATGCTTCACCACATTGGTAAGTGTGGATTCGTGATGGTGGGCAGCAGACACGGGAGCATACGAGTACAGTACAATGGAATTTGCTGCACTGCCCCCTCTTGCCGCCGGTTTAAAATATTCTGGTCTCAAGCTCAGTGGCAAGATGCTTAGTAACCTCGCCTGGAAAATCGGTGGTCGTAAGTTCATTCCCGACCCTGACGCCTGTATATTTGGAGTTTCATGTTCTTCCCATGGCTGCTTGGATTTTTCTCCGGGGCCTCCAGTTTTCCCTCCACATTTAGAAACGGTGGCCATGCGGTCGAGTATTTGACTGCTATAAAATTTCCACGTGATAAGCCACTTCGTTGAGCTATCAATTGTGGCCATGGTGCTTCTGAAAAAGAGCTATCTCTATAGCTCAGCGAGCCTAACCTGACAAAAATAAAAATCTTAAATTGTAAAACAAATAGTACTCACAATGCGGGCAGAGCTACCAGAACTGTGGGTGGGGCTACCAGAACAGCAGGTGGAACTACTGGAACAGTGGGCGGGGCTATCAGGACAGTGGGCGGGGCTACTGGGACAGTGGGTGGTGCTACCTGGGTAGTGGGCGGGGCTACATGAGTAGTGGGCGGGGCTTGTAGAGGGAGGTGGTAGCCAGCACACCACGTTTCTCAGTTGAACCTCCAAGAAGCATGCTACACCTAGCACTTGCTCACCGTGGATTAATTGTAACGGACTGCTGTCACCATGCTGGGCTCGAACGTACCTTGCTTCCTGGGGGTCCGGGGTCTCCAGAAGGTCCCTGGAAGATTCAAAAAGAGGGAACATTAAGCTTGCCGTGTAAACCGGAGGACTACGCTGGTGGATCAATACTGGGAGTCAGGATATGGTGTCGCTAAGACAGATTCATGAACATGCATTATTAAATATAATTTGTTAGATTAAACTACTTATGACTAGTAAATGAAAAATGTCTAAATATTGCCTTCAGATTCGGTTATGTATATTAAATTGCGCTGCACTACATCTTTGTTTGTTACTTTGATCACGAACTTCCTATCGGAGTCATCACGGACCAAGACTCCGTCGGGAACTTTCACAGAGGAGCGAAACTGCTTGGTGGTAATGGTCCAGAAGCAGCAGTTACAATTAACAATGATTATTTTTGAAAATGGTGAAGAAAACTTATACGATTAAATTCTGATTCCAATAATCAGAGCTGTCACTCCAATTTACTAACGAAAACCCAGCGTGTGTTCACGAGAACGACACCAAAGTGTGTTTAATATGCCATACCCTCCTGTCCGCCCAGGCCATCTTAGAGGGCTTCACATCGCGCATTTCATCGCTACATATTTGAAATGGCACCACCCGGCAGCAGCTGCCCCTGTGCGGCACAAGGTGACTCGGTGCCTGGTCTGTAAACGAGGCATTATAGTCTGCCAATGATTGCTGGGAATATGTTGCTGGATATGCGATGTAGAAGTGTTCGAAGTGGTGCATAAGCACAAACCAAGCACTCACAAAGCCGTTCATTAGCACTGCCTTATGACAGAAACGCTTCCTGTGGTGAACAGAGTAGTAGCAAGCACTGAAAGTCTATGCATGGAAAGTGCTCACATGTCCAAGCAACACTCAAAATGTCTCAGTTTTTGCAGACCGCACAGTCTAAAGTGCAGTCTCCACCAACAATGTCTAACTATCTGCCCTCTCGCTGCTCTGAATTAGGGCCATTGCCAGAAACGTCAGAATATATATTTTTCTTGTTGTAAAGGCAGTGCTAATGACAATTGCGGTTGTTTTGTTCAACCTATGCAGGAGTTATAATCAGGTGCGGGCCAACTGAGACCAAAAGCCTCTCTTGACGAGACGCGCTGGGTTAGAAACGAGCATGTGAGCATGCGTCGTCAGATACAAGAATGAGAACTCGGGGTTAAATCAAAGAGGAGGCAGAACGTTCAAAGGATTCAGGACTTAGAGGTTTGCGGCCCAGGTGGGTAGGCTGACCGCAATATAAATTCTCACGATCCGGCATCAGATTCCTGTAATGTTTGTGATAGTACCTCTTTGCATTATTGTCGTATTGTTTTGTGCTTTGCTGATTTTCCAGTAAGGACCTATATTACTCTAAATTCTGTTAACTGCACATATACATTTACTGACTGTAAGGCTCATAATAGTAGAAAATGTAAACTCTCTAGCTGTTACGACGTATGCGCACTGTCAGTTAAACTATAAATATCGTGACGTCATATAGCCAATGCGCCATCAATTACACCAGACTCTTTTGCAAAGCACGAACATAAACGGTAACAGCTGTTAATTTGGAACTTTAATGATTGTTTGTTACTATGGAAATATTTTTTGTTTGTTTAAAAAAAAGTAAAATGAATGGTAATCACAGCATAACGATATTTTGCAGAAGGGATGATATGATTGTCGCGGATCTTGATATTGCCGTATTGCAGTATCGTCGAATCGCCATATCATGGTACGGTCGAATTGCCGAATCACCGTATCATGGTATCGTGGTAATCACCGTATTGCGGTATCACTGTTTTCCGACAACCCAACAGCTCGGGGTGTCCAAGTGGCCTCAACTCGCTTGGCCAAGTAGCAGCGCAAACGTACGTACCGGATGCCCCGCGGGTCCCGGGTAGCCTTGATAGCCCTGCGGTGGACGACCCCACGCGTGCATGCGGCGATAAAATAGACGCGGGAAGTTTTTTTTCCACAAGTTAGTAGAAACACCGCTCCTTCACGAGCTCAAGCAGTTGCAGCAGCCATGGGCCGCATGCGAGGACCCCTGCTGTCCAGCATTTGGTCGTCCAAGCGCTCTTGAATGAAGCACCCGTTTTCGGGCAGGCTCCCCCCGCACACACTTGGACCATGCGATTTTGGGGGGCATGCATCCCTCCGATCACATACGAGAATCTCCGGTCACGTGGCAGCACCACGCCGTTTGGCGTTGCCGCAATTGAAGCTGCACATCCGAGCCGAGCCAGAATCAAATGATGCTGGACTGGCCTCAAGAAAACCGAATCAGGGCCAACCAGGGCCAGGGGTACTGGGGGAGGGGCAATAACGTGTTATTTGCACGTAACATCAGCAGCAGACTAACAACCTCGTGCCCGCCGAGTTGCGCCGGGTTGGCTCGGCACAGCCCTGGCGTGGCTCATTTGGACAAAGGAAAAGAACACGAGTAAGGCGAATTCGATTGGTTCGGAAAAATCCCACGTGACCTAGAATACTCGGCTGTGATTGGCTCGACGGCCGCCCGGTGAGGGGCACTGCGGGTCGACACGATGGCCATGCGGTCGAGACGGCAGCGTCCGAGCTACTCACAATGGGGCCAGTCTGACCCGGCGGACCTGTGACTCCCTGGAGGCATTACACAGCAGCACGCTCATCATTGGGCGGATGACAATCGGTAAAGACATTGACGACGCAACTCACAGAAACACGTGCGCTCTTTCACACACATACACACACGCAAACACACAGATCCCCTGTGTAGCTGTATAGACTGTTGGGGGAAAGGATGCTTACCAACCCTACCGAATTTTAAATCCTTTTACCGCATGCCGACTTTCAGAGTTGATTGTATTGCTTCATACACGAAGAAAAATGTGCACACAACTCTTGCTTTGATAATTATCTGTATGTGGGTTTAAAATCGATGGCCCACCACTTAAATCGGTAGGTAGGCGAGCACAGGAAAGTGCTGCTAGTGAACACCTATAAGCAGCACGACGCATGAGGGGGACGGAGTGACGAGCACCACCCAGCCGCCTTTGTTTCTTGGTGCTGATGCCGCACCAGTTACGTATTATGAGTCTGTCTAGGAGAGGGTTAGGAGCCACTTGCTACTAATGCTATTTTTGGCTGAGAATTTTATCTATGAGAATAGGTTTTCCCCTTTTTTCTGGCAACAAAACAGCTGTGTTAAGATGTTAAAACACCAAACTGAAACTTTTACAAGGAATCATGTCTGCATTAACCACAATACTTGTGGTCAGAATGCAAACAAAAAACATACTCCTATAGTATATGCATTGTTCTTAGCTCTTTCGGTAAAGTCACGTTGAAGGGAAACAATAAAACAATAAAATATATATAAAACAATAAAAATTCTCACGACGTTTCGACCATAACACAAACGGCCGTCATCAGGTGTGCAAACCACTACACTCTCGCCTCCCCTACCCCCCGATACACACGTACACAGATGCATGCAACATACACAGTTTCCAGTTGACCACACCACAGAGCGAACCACTCCACAATTCAGTAATTATTTCGCCCGGTGTGACCTGGGCAACGCGAGATGACACTGCGCCGATGAGTTCCCAGGGGGGGGTGGAGACAATGACGCACGGTTGACTCGTAATCGGGGCGAGGCACGGCCAGGTGTTTTGCCGTAACAACGACAATTACACGCCAGTCCTGCATCGACCGCTCGCCTGTGTGATGTTGGTGCGTGCGAGCGCGGTGGACTCGGCGACGCGAGCACCGCTCTACGTACCGACTTGCCGTCCCGTCCGTCCTCACCGGGGTCTCCAGGAATGCCCTGGATGTGTACGTACGTGCGTGCGTGTGTGCGGGCATGCGCACGTGTGTGTGTGTGTATGTGTGAGTGCGTGTGTTTGATAAATCAGTTGAGAAATAAACATGCGACGTGTTCAGCAACACAATGCGCACCGATGCCTTTTAATGATGATGATGACGAGTTGAGGAGTGACAGCACGCGACGCTGATGATGAGTTCCAGAATTGAAACCAAAATCTGTTCGTACGCGCAGTCAAGTCAATATTTAATTCTCAATCGCTGGCATTTACCAAAGTTAAGTGCAAAATCGAATTCAATGGGATGGGTTTTTTTGTTGGCTTCTGCTGTCATTGGTGATTGGGCGGAGAACATCAACTCACTCCACTTGAGGACCCGGTTTAATCATGGCTCACTGCTCCTGAGTTCGAACTCAGGATCCCAGCGGCGGTGCCAGCTCAGCACTCTGACCTCTGAGTCAACCCGCCGCTCCGTATTTTAAATATCCCAGTGTCGAGCGGTCTGACAGCTTCGCCGTGCTTCCGCGTGTCAGGCGTTGTGCGTGACTCACGGGCTCGCCATCCTTGCCCTTCTCTCCGGGCTCCCCACGATCTCCTCTCATGCCCCTCTCGCCCGCCTCGCCCTACGCAAGGGACACGCACGAGAAATTTCGGCGACACAAGCACGCAGCACTCCTTACATCACTCGTCTCCATGGGGCACGTGACACGACCTGACATGAGTGGGCATTTTATAAAGAAAGGAGTTCAGTCATAAGCAGTGGAAAAAGTAAGGAGTTTTGACAGTGAACAGGGAGTTGACAGCACAGACGGCTGGTGATTGGGAGTTATTCACTATGGCAGTAGCAGAGGAGAATGAGCGACCTCCCATGGAGCAAAGGTTGACAGAGGACTTTGACAGAAAGCAGGTGGAGGGGAGAAGAATGAGATAGGAGAGTGCATGGAGAAGAGTAGAGTGAAATGAGAGGGGAGAGGTAGGGGAGTGCATGGAGTGGAGGGGTGAGAGATTTGGGGAGGCAAGGGATGTGGATGAAGCCATAGAGGAGAAAGCTGCACGAGTCGAGTCGGGATGCGATGGAGGCAAGGGCGAGGGTGGTCTCAGCAGTAGCCGGGGTAAGCAAAGGGCGGAAGCAGGAGCTGTCGCGCAAACGGGGGCAGTGAGGTCCTCCTGAGTTGAAGCACGCGGGAAGAGGACAAGAACTCAGGATCAACGACAACTTAGACATGTGACACCGACACGGGCCGTGTGAGTTTCTCTGCGCGTTATCGCCAGCGTCCCCACCTTGTCGCCTTTGAGCCCCGCGTCGCCGGCCAGGCCTCGCTCTCCCTGCGGCGCACAAACACTCGAGTCACTCAAGCGCCTCGGGGTGCGGTGGTGCACGCGGTGCGTTTTGACGGGAGCACGCCCCCTGCAGGCAGGGGACCCACGTCGGCAGGTACGTTTAAGCCACGCCCCTTCGTACGGGTGGCCCAAGTTAACCAAATAAATCATTACCATTTTTCATCCACCGCTGCTTACAGGAGTCTCGATGTGACGGTCAAAGAATTCCCGTCTCCAGTTCATGAAAACAACCAACTCTTGTTTTTTAAAATAATTGTTTAAAATGAATTTCATAGTTTTAGGGCATGCAACAGAAAATACATTTGACTTGTGTTGTTTAACAGAGTGTTTTTTTCATTAGACTTTGTCTTCTTCTTGGTTCTTTCAGTAAAGTCACGTAGAATGGGGATAAAATAATAAAAATAAAAATTCTCACGACGTTTCGGAGGCAACACAAGCTTCCGTCTTCAGGTGGGACAGTCACAGCAAGATCGCTGATCAGCAGAAGACGGAAGCTTGTGTTGCCTCCGAAACGTCGTGAGAATTTTTATTTTTATTATTTTATCCCCATTCTACGTGACTTTACCGAAAGAACCAAGAAGATGAATCCCTGCAGTCACGAAAGCTTTAAATCGAAATAGACTTTGTCTTTGAAGAGTTTTTTTTTACAGGCATCAGGCACTAACTTTGGGGCCCTGGGGGCCTTGGGGTCCTCTCCCGGCTGTCTCCTCTGTGAAGCCGTTCCCTGATGTTCCCTGCAGAGGTCAAAAGGTCACCATTATATTTCATGGAAAAACTTACTCCCAATAGACCAACAGTGCCGATATTTATTCAATAATAATAATCGATTTTCTATCTCTGTCGTTTTTTTTCTGACTCGTTCATACCGTGTCGTCCACTCAATTAGCAAAGGCATGTAATTTGCATACATTGTGAGTAATGCATTCTAACACGCATGTATCGGTGTGTGCATTGCCAGCATGGGAATCAACATTAAATCGATTAATCGATGCACCATCGCCTTGCCATTATCTTCACGAAAAGAGTGACTCGTCATCTTTTGTGATTTGAATAATAATATTGCTAGTAATAACAACTTTGAAAAATTCACACCGCCTTTGAATATCAACTGACGGAAGGCCTCTCCCCCCATGTTTGACCACACTTCACCACGCTGCCCACCGCAGGCTGGTGAAGGGGTGGGGGCACCATATCCGGTTCAGATACGATTCACCACTGATGTTAGCCATGGCGGGGGACTCAAACTCGCGTTGTTGGGTTCACAGCGCACCAACGGTAACCACTGCACTGCCGCTCCACTGCGTGTTTGGTGTTAACATTTCTTACCGGCGATCCTGGGGGTCCAGGAGGCCCTGGAAGGCCCGGAATGCCAGGTGTGCCACTGAGTCCCTGCAGAGGGACAGGGTGGAGGTGGTGGGTGGGAGGGGCACATAGGTCACATGATGGCTTCATCAGTGGAGGGGGGACACAGCTGCTGAACTCAGCAAGCACAGACCAACACGATGTGAATACGGCTGAAGGTTTTGAAGTTGCGATAAAAATGCAATGCAATGTGTAGTTATATAGCGAATCAAAATGCTGGGCAAGCCATACAATGTACGCATGGCCAATGCGGCACAGCCCCTACAAAACAACAGCACCCGAAGCCCAACGTACACAAACACACCTTACAAATTACTGATTTGGTGACGCTGCTGCCGCGTGGTGCAACAAGTGCAAATAACAGTAAATTCAGCACGTTCATCAACAACACCGTGGCTTTCGAAGGAAAAATACATTACAGGAAACGTTTCGGCAATGGCCCTCACTTCATGTGGTGTCTTTGTGTGCTACGCTGTTTTCCCTTTCAAAGACAGTGTCATTGATGAACGTTTTGAGTTTTTTTGTTAAAGCACATTTCCAGACCCGCATGCACGACATGCTGTGCATGGCATACACAGAGCCATGCCCACAGCACACAGTGACGCATCCAACGCCGCTGTGTGACAAAACGGAGCGCGGCAATGCAAGTTCAACACAGTTTGCAACCACATCTCAGGGGTGTTGTACAGAAACGGCGGGCCATGTATTTATTCTAGAGAGAGAGACAGAGAGGGGCAGTTGGTCATTTGTAAAAGGGGAAAAAGCTAGGTGTTGAGCATGTGGAGGGAGTCAACAGCGCTGTTGGCAGGAGGAATGGAATTTGAGACTGTGGACGCAGTACAGAAAAATTATCTACCTCCCAAGAGCATAGGTTCACTTTGGCTTCAATAGAAAGCCATGACTGCTGGAATGGCGTGTGGGAATGCCAGGGTTTGGAATAGCCTCGGCACGCACAGCACTGGTCAACATAGAGGCGCACGTTCTACGTATGTGCGTGTGTTTTAACAGGAAGAGCGGTAGTGTCACGGGTAGCACGCTGCGCTACGAACCCGGCGACCCAAGTTTGATTCCCGCTCACGGCCAACACCGGTGACGATTATCTGAACCGGTCCTGGGCCACTCCTAGGTCGACTCGGCCTCAAATGAGTACCTGGTGAAGTGTGTAAACATCGCCACTTGGGAAACAAAGGCGGTCGGGCGTGGTGCTGGGCACCCACCCCCTCGTGTGCCGTGCCGGCCTTCAAAGGCGCTCGCTAACAGCATTTGCCCCAACAGTCTGTTGAGGCTACACGGGGTGATCTTTGCATTTATTTTAGTTGAACAGAAGAGCGAGTCAGTCACACGCAGATGGAGGAGAATAACGAGGAGAGCCGCCAGGTGCAGGTGTGGTGTCAGGAGGTGGAGACGACTCACGGAATCGCCAACCTCGCCCTTCTCCCCTCGATCGCCCTGGCAACGCACATTGAGAACACATTCAAGACATGATCACAAAACAAAGGGGAACGAAAATCTATTCCGTACTCACGTACAGCAGGAGTGGTCTCGGGACAAACCCGCAGCCACAGCTAGGCACAGGAGTATCGAGCCCCAACGAGTGTCGAGCAGTGTAGTATGCTAATGGTGGCGAGATGTTAACTACCTCGCCTGGTGTACATGAGGTCGTGGGTTCAATCCCTACCCTGATGCCTGCTGCTGTATATTTGGAGTTTGCATTCCTCTCTCCCCGTGGTCGTGTGGATTTTTCTCCGGGTCATCTGTATTTTCCCTCCATATTTAGAAGCATGCATTTAGACTATTTGGCTGCTATAAATTTCCACGTGATTATCCACTTGGCTGAGCTATCATTTGTGGCCAGGTCGCTTCTGAAAAGGAGCTGTATAGCTCAGTGATAAAATAAAACATAGTTAATAGTTTTTAAAAGCCCTGAGGCAGTGATGGAGATTCCACATTCCTATGGTGGGGATGAGGTGACTGGTGACCACTCCTGTGACAAAGTCATCATAAATGCAACCAATTTAGTTGGATCTCGAGAGATAAGCAGAGTCGACATTGGCTAGTACTTGAGTGGGAGGCTGCCTGGGAATACCACGTGTTGTAGGATTGGACTGAGAAGCAGCCAGCAGATATCGACACAGCAATGGATTCTTGAATCTAACTGTGTGGACCTTTGAGAGTTATCCCCTTACATGCGTCGGCTCCCTCTGGGTACTCGGTTATCCCCCCACATGAAGCCAAACGCTCGTTAATATAATTGGTCAAACATCCCATTGTAGCAGGACCCTCCGATAAAAGAGGGGCTGAGCCTGGCTAATGCTTGGGATGGGTGACCACCAGTGCATAGCAGGGTTTTCAGTGTGGGGTAGTGAGTTGACATGGTAGATGATAGCAGAGAAATGCTATCTCCCTACACGCGTGGATTTTCACTCTGTTTTGTGTCGATCTGGGCCTGACCACAGCTCACTCACCCTCTCTCCCAAACGACCCTTGACCCCTGGCTCTCCAGCCTTTCCTGGGGCGCCCGGTCCTCCTGGGGGGCCGGGGTCTCCGTCCTGCCCAGACGGGCCAGGGGGACCCTGATCAGCTTGCACGATGCCTGGGGGTCCGGGAGGCCCTGGAGGCCCCGACGGCCCACGGTCGCCTTTCAGACCACGTTCGCCGGACAGTCCCGCAGGTCCCTGGCACACACACACACACACGCACGGAGTTACGGCGACATCACCCTGCGTGTTTTCTTCGTACAGAGACAAAGATTCCCCCGTATACCCTTTAATGGACTGTTGTGGCAAGTGCTGCTAGCGAGCACCTGTAAAGGCTGGCATGGCACACGAGGGGGTGGGTGGCTAACAATATGCCTGGTCACCTGCTGACGTTTTAACACACCTCAACAGGTCCTGATCTAAGTTTGAGTCAACCTATGGTGGAGTGCGGGGGGGGGGGTTGTGGGCAGGACTGGTTCAAATATTCAACACTGTTATAGGTCATGGGGGAGAATCAAACTCGGATCGCTGGGTTTGTAGCACAGTGCGCTAACCACTACACTACTGCCTCCCTCTCTTCATGCACAAGCTCATCCACCTACGCTTACACATTTGAAAAAATATATTTCTTTAGCGAATTTTATCTCAGTATGTGCTACCAGTATCATGTCAGGAGAAGAAGCATCCATGCGGATCTCTCGAGGAGCAGTTTACAGAACAGCCCACAGAAGAGGATATCACAGAACTACTCCTTGAGTTTTCTCATATTTATCTTTCAGCTCTATTTCAATAAGTTCCTTGATCACTTGCTGAAGTTAATTCCCATTGCGTATTCCATTGACTTTGTCGTCAGCAAATCTGTGGTCAATCTTTTCCCCACCTGCAGTTTTGCCTTCATTTCTCCAATAAATTTTTCGAAAAAGTGTCCTTAACGATACAGCTGTGAGTAATCCTCGCCCCAGTCACACACATGAAACACAACACAAAAGAAAGCAGGATTAGGTGGGATGTTACTTTGTTATCAACACATGGCTGAGTTTGTGTTGCTTTAGCGAAGCAAGGTGCTCTCATCGTGAAGAGGCCCTCTCCCCCTCGTGTCAACGCAGCGCCAGGAAAATTCACCACCACCACTGAATCAATAATATTTATTAATACTGGATGAACCCGATGAGCTATAAAGCTGTTTTTCACAAATGTCCAATAGGGGCAGGTCAGAACGTTACAACAACAAACAGTACAAAAACACAATAGGAAATAACTTAAAAAATATATACAATTAAAACGAAACAATATTTTTTATCTTATCGGGTAAGGCCTAATAACACGGTTACCCCCCTTCCCCCCGTGCTGTGCACGTACCTCTCTGCCCGCCAGGCCCCTCTCCCCGGGCTCCCCTCGAGCACCTCGCTCCCCTTTCTCCCCGGACGGCCCCGGCTCGCCAGGCTTGACGATCCCCGCTCCGGTCCCCCGCTCCGTCAGCTCCTTGACTGCAATCATCTGCGGGGGGGGACGGGCAGCGTCGTGAGCACAACGAGCACGAGATGAATGTTTATGCTGAGACGACTCTGGACGAGATTACCACCCCTACTCGCCCGAGGCCCCCCCACCACCACCCCCCCACGAGCTCCCTCCCCCACCCCGTCAACCTCATCTTGCGTGACCTCGACGTTCAAATGACCCTGACCTAGACAGACAGCTCGCCCAGGCTGCAGGTACGTGGGTCGTCGGGCAGGATCTAAGTTTATCACACGGCCTACGGTGCAATAGCATCATTCACGGTCGCTCCATATACGACGTCGATGCCGGTATCGAAACCGCCCAGTCCCAGGGTCAAAAGCTGTCCTGGTTTTCCCCAGGATCTCTCTTTTTGGAGTAGTTGCCTTCTCGGGGCATTACAATTCAATTGTTTGTCAGTTGAATAAAAATGTATAATGATAATACAACACTCCTGGCATTGAGAGATATTCCATTCCCCCCATGAGTGTATCTCAGTTCTCATGTATCTCGGGGTGGAAAGCCTGCCTACCCCGGCACTGGAACACGTTGGAACGGCCGCCCCGGTGCGACACGCGGGAACCGCACGGTCACAAACTCAACGATCGCAATGCAACGGCACGACCGCTACCACCGATAAGGTGCTGGAGCGACGGGCTCAGCTCACCGTGATTCCGTACGACTCGAAGTATTTCTCCAGGTCCTGGGAAGGAGGGAAAAGTTGCGGTCAGGACGCCAGCCTCTGCTACGAGTCAGATGGCAGTTGGTTGCGGACCGACATTGCGCAGAGGGAATAATGCACACGGAGTGAGTACGAGTGAGTGTACACAGCGGAGTGGTACGCTAGGAATGTACAGTGAGTGTGAGCGCAGGCCACGTGTACAGTGTGAGTATATAATGAGTATATGCCGTGCGAGTGAGTGTGGACAGTGAACATATTAGCGTGTGCATATGGACTATGTGTAGAGTGAATATACAGAGTGCAGGGTGCATGATTGTACAGAGTGAGTGTATGGTGCGTGTACAAGTGCGTGTATGGTGCGAGTATGTCCTACACATATAGTGAGTGAGTGTCCAGTGAGTGTATGGTGCACACTCACGACGCGCATGGACAATGCGCGCAGTGAGTGTGGAGAGGTCGTGCGTCAGAGCGCGGGGATCGTAGTGGTGCGGAGGGGAACCCTCACCGGGGATTCGGCTGGTGACCCTGCAGTCCCGTGGGCTCCGGCCTCACCCTGTCGGACACGCAGAGTCATCGCCCATCCCCACCGCACCCCCCACGCACACCCTCCACTGCCCCCCACCCCCGTGTCGCCCAGACATCCCCATTGACAACAAACACAAGCCTACCTTTCTAACACTCATCCTTGTCTCTTCACACATTAGTATAATTTTCACCCTATATCAATTTCATGTTTAAGTGGCTTAATGTTGTAGTTGTACTTTGATCAGTGTATAAATAATCTACCCCAGGCGACTTACACTCCAGGGAATTCATTAACAGCGATTTACGTTTGTGCAATATTTTGTATTTCTCGTGTGACGACACAGTTGTTTTGAGTCTGATTTAGATTGGCTTCAATGCTGTGTTTAATCTTATTTGTTTCGCTTTTGTCAATTTGGTGACCCGGGTATCTCCTGCAAATGCGACTCATCCTGCTCTCTTGAGTACTCACCTGGTTAAATAAAATATATCTGAAAATCATAAAATAATACAGCTTGACCCATTTGTAGATACCCCATTGATTTCCAATGGCACTCATATTTCGCTCTCAGCAGCTGATTGAATATTGCGAAAGTGATGTAGAAGCTTTGGAATGAAATATTATTCTCACTTTAATTTCTCTGCAATATTTTAGTGGGGTATCAAGAAATGGATCACCCTATATTTACAACAGCAAAACAGTGGGAATCCCCAGGATGCTGTGCGTGGAAAGATGACATCACCGATCTCACGATGCATTCTGCCTACCGTCTTGTGATTATGCCCAACAGTTCAAAACAGCTGAGATTGTGTTTTTTTCAATTTAGGCATCGGAAGGATAACAAGGTAAAACATATTCCGGGTTCATCATTGTTAGGGCTTATCAGTTACATTATAGCCGTTGTTAAATACTGCCGCCTTAAGACTGTGCGGACAAAATACAGGCTCACCTTGTCTCCTTTCTGCCCAGTGTCCCCCTTGTCTCCCTGGAACACAAGGCAGCGTCCAACGTCAACCAAACCACGTTGGGCACAAACGGAATTAAACGCCAGCCAAATATATTTGGTGTCCTCTGGCCAGCGACAGCGTGAGGTCCCAAGTGCTCAAGGGGCCTGGATTAATTAAACAAAAAAAATGTTATGCATCAAATATCCTCTCAAATTCAAATAGTAGCTAATTAAGATAACAAAAACATCCAATTCCTCTCGTCTCCATCTTGTCTGTTATCTCTCCTCTTTAATCTCACGGCGTCTATATGTTTGCCTATATTTCTCTTATCTCACTACATCTATATCTCTTGTCACCTCGCGAGGATTAAAACAAGTTAAAGGGGACCAGGAAAAAAGTGAATGTCTGCTTCAGAATCAGAATCTTTATTTATACTGGAGGAAATCCGATGAGCTTTTTCACAGATTTCTAGTCGACCCCTAATGGTGCTTAGGACCCCTAATGTGCCAGCATCACCACCCCTACTGCCTCCAACCTCACAGTCGCGACACTGCGAAACTGTGTCTGTTCGAGTTACCACGCCATCATCAACATCGTGGCTAAGCTGTGCTTAAAAAAATCGGCGTCGATCGAGTCTGAAGTCTCGTCCCTAAGCAAGCCCAGCGGTGTCCTGTCCGAGTGTCGCTGTGCGTCCGAGTGTAGGGGTGAGGACGGGTGAACGAGGTCAGCCTTTGAGTCCAACTCGTACCTGTGAACCCATTGGCCCCGGCACTCCGGGGATGCCCTGTGAGACACAATCACCCACACGTGATGACGCCACTTCACAGGGGACACTGCCACGAGGTGTGTGCCAAGGTGACATCCACAGTAACATTATAACAAAAAAAAGAAGGGGCTTTACCTCCTCTGGCAATCATACGGACGTTAAGATGAGGACGATGCAAACGCCAAAGCACGAATAGCTCTGGTTAAGCAGCTTTACCAGCCGGATCCTTTTTGCCTTTAGGCATTCTCTGGTCTAGAACTGGATGAGACAACGTGATAAAGGAGACTGTCTCTAGGTGTAGGCCAATCAGTTTGAAGGACAATGTACACATTATAATTTGATCATTATCAAAGCATATTTGTTTGCATGTTTTGCCACAAGTATGTGTGGTTCATGCAGACTTGATGCCTTGTAATAGAAACATGTGTTTTATACTATGCGGCTGCTATACATTTCCACGCGATAAGCCACTTCGTTGAGCTGCGATTTGTGGCCAAGCCGCTTCTGAAACGAGCTACATAGCTCTGTGGGCTTTGCACGGTAAAATAAAATAGTTTAATATTTTTAATCTATTTGGTGTTTGGACATCTTAACACCTGTATTATTTCCAGAAAGGGCGAGATTCGTTTTATCATCTTAATACTGGCAAAAAAGGGCCTCGTAGATAAAAGTAAACATTATTTTGCAAGCAATGTTTAAGTAATCTATAAGGCACGCACTGGGACGCCTGCAGGTCCTTGAGGTCCTGGGACAGCCGTGCCACCCTCTCCCTTCACGGTGATCACCTGCCGAGCGAAACGCAACACTCAGGACGTCTATTCACAAACACTTTCTGACCGAAGCTGAAGGCAATAATGTATAGGTTAAATGTAATCTAATTATGTTTGTGAGTTGTATATATTTTTTTAAATATATCTTACATGAGACAGAGTTCATTTTTAATTGAAGCTGCATTACATCCCGAGATTAATTTGCAATTGAAGTGTATTTTTGCCCAACGCTGGATGTACTCCAACACACGCGAGTTGTCGTTGCTGTTTCTCACCTGGCCTGGGGGGCCAGGTAGGCCCGTCTGTCCTGGGGGGCCCATGGGCCCGGAGGGACCCGCGTCGCCACGATCGCCCCTTGCTCCGTCCCTCCCCTTCACCGACGAGAAAGGGGAGAGACGAACGTTCACGGTGGCGGCGACGGCACCCAGACCGAGACGCGCCATGATCACCACCACTACTTTCAATGTCACCGTGGCTACTACTACTATCATTGTCACTATCACCACCACCACTACTACTCACGTCTCCACCACAATTCACCACCGCTCCAACCACCACCACCAATACCATCACCACCACTCCTGCCATAGTCATCAACACCATGATCACCACCACTGCGATCAAAACCATCTATACCACCACCATCGCCACCACGCCTACCGTAGTTGCTTTATGAAAGCCCTACTCCCTCACACAAATGTTAACTCGGATATTACTTCCATTTCAAACACCCATATCTTTGCACTAAAGTTTATATTTCTGCTCCCCCCCCCCAAATTGTTTGAACAACGATGATGCATATTATGAGCATGATGGTGAGTTCATTAAGGCTCAGTTTAACTGCATCACGTCCATTCAGAGTCGTGCAGTACGTTGAAATAACAGCACGGACAAAACGACCGACACCATCATTAGCGGCACCTCCGTGCTCTCTCCAACCACAACGAAAAGTATAAACAAAAATGTAAAAGCAATCTTACGTCTTTGCCTGACAGCCCCGGTTCCCCTTTGTCGCCCTGCAACGGTAAAACAAGTCACGTTAGAAACAGAGGCACGGGCAGCAGTAGGTGGCTCCTGAAGGTGCAGCCTGTTTCACCGGCTCACTCACCTCCCACTGAACGGAGCACAACCGCCATCGATTACAATTGATGCATGTAAAGGTGCAGCCCTGTGATTACTTGTTCATGCCCGCGAGTTGATGGGCCTCCACCAGAGGCAGGTCAGGTGTCCTGACCTGCCTCTGGTCAGGTGTCTTGGAAGAGGTGCGAGTACCCCGCCGCACTTCACCCCACTGCGCGCGTCTTGGCAATGGACTTACCGTGGCGTACCCATTCATACTGCTGCATGGATAACTACGGGGGAGATTAAAGAAGCATTCCCATTGTTTTAACTGCCGAGACGGGAGATCAAATCGAATGAAGCCAAACACTCATGAATGCAAATGGCCAAACATTCTCAGTACCTTGATACATGAAGGACATGGTCAGTATGAGCGGTGTGTTATAAGCTATGAACTCTGAACTATTGACTGTAGGCAGGAGCACAATCCCCAAATCCCATTCAAGGGAATTCACAAGAAGCCACCCCCACGGGGCTCCAACTCTCACCTTTTTTCCATCCTCCCCTGGGTTGCCATCCTCTCCCTGGCCAATCGCGCACACACAGAGATAATGGGGCAAAGGGAACGTTGAAAATTAAACAGGGTGCAGTGGTCAGGTGGCTGAGAGGTATGAGAGCCAAGCCGCCACTGCCGGTTCTCAAGGGTAGTCAGTCGATAGTATTAGACTATCAACAAATCCATTAGAGTTTGATTATATAATTAATTTGGTCTTAATTCCATATTTGTGGATTGAACAAAAAATCCACGCGACTCTCATGCAACGAACATTACTCTGTAGCACGGCAGGTGGGAAAGTGCCGCTGCGCTACTGTGTAAAACAGAGGTCACTTGAAGGGATCTCAGAGGTAGCTCTGTATTGTCCATTTCCGTTGGCCGTTATATCACACGAAAAAATGCCACCCTGCTCTGCAGGATATCCAAATGGCTTATTCGTGTCATGAAGTTCCACTGATACCGCGATCGGAATAGCATTGGGAAAAAGACGTAAAATATTAAAAGAAATCACTCACGTCCCGGCCGGGAATTCCTGCTTTTCCATCATCTCCTGCTTTGCCCTGGGGGAGGTGGAGGGAGGGGATATTCTCAGCTCTGGTGTCACATCTGTGCACTCTTCGGTGGGAATAGTTCGATGATGAAATGGGGTGCGGTGGGGGTGTGGCAGGGGGGACGGGAACATCGCGAGATTTACCGGGAGACCGAGGGGTCCTGGAGGTCCGGGGGCACCTGGGAGGCCGGCCTCCCCCCGCAGGCCTGGGAGGCCCTGGGTCGCGAAAGTGAAGATAAACACACACACACAGAGAGAAATACACACACACGTGAACACGGAGAAACACACACATACAGAGAAACATAAACATGCACATGTACACAGAGAAACAGAGATACATACAGAGAAACATAGACGCACACAGAGACACATGTGCAGACGGAGAAGCACGCACATACACAGAGAAACAGGCACACAGAGAAACACACACATACACACAGAGAAACACAAACACACAGAAACACACACACCCACAGAGAAACACACGCACACAGAGAAACACAAACGCACAGAGAAACACAGGCAAACAGAGAACACCCCCACACATAGAAACACAAACACACGGAAACACACACACCTACAGAGAAACACAACCACAGAGAGATACAAATTGCAGACAGAGAAACACCCCCACACAGAGAAACACAGGCAGACAGAGAAACACACAAATACACATAGAGAAACGCAAACACAGAAACACACACCCACAGAGAAACACACCCACAGAGAGACACACGTACGCACAGAGAAACACAGGCAGACAGAGAAACACACACAAACAAATGCATGCAGCTCCACAAACTGCTCCGACAGCTACAGGAGAATGCTCTGCAAGAGCTCCGAATGGACATGTGATCTCAGGACACGGTGCAGGTGTCACAATTGGAATAAAATAGGAAAAACGGCAAAAATAAACAGGAGGGGTGGCAGCGCCTGCCTCGTGAGGCCGTGGTGGCGCCGTGTGCCACTACTCACATCTCGTCCTGCGTCGCCCTGCTTCCCGGGGTCACCCTGCAAGACACATGACCCCATCACCTTCAACTTCTCATAGACCCCAAAACCTTTGACATCCCAACACACCATCTTCAACGTCTCATAGACCCCACAACATTTGACCTCCCAACGCACCATCTTCAACCTCTCATAGGCCCCACAACCTTTGACCTCCCAATGCACCATCTTCAACCTCTCATAGGCCCCACAACCTTTGACCTCCCAACACACCAACTTCAACCTCTCATAGGCCCCACAACCTTTGACCTCCCAACACACCATCTTCAACCTCTCATAGGCCCCACAACCTTTGACCTCCCAACGTACCATCTTCAACCTCTCGACAACCCCAAGACACAACAGTTCTGTAGTGTCCGGTTCTATCTATGTGAAAGTCATTGCCGGTCACTGCCCAGGGTTTGTACCCGTCAGCCAGCTCTCCAGTAGACTCAAGTTGGAGCCGTTCTGTTCAGCTCACACGAGAGCCTTTGTGCTGTAAGAATGGCATCAATGGCAATTGTACGTACTTCACCTCCCATTGGCCCGGAGTCTTTTATTTAACCTCCCGTTGCACAAGCTGTAATTTTGACTGGCTGCAAATGTTGACATGAAAATTAACATGCAACAATTAGAATGTTCGATATTAATATTTGGCGATCCAAGAGTGTTCAAATCACTAACATCCAGTGCGTGCAAAGTATAGACAAGTGGTTACATTTAAACATACATATCTTGAATTTACACTTGGATATATTTATTATTATTATTATGTCTGTGTCTAAACTCAGCAATCTGTCTCAATTAAGTTCAAATCTCTGTCTGCTTCTTTGCCTGTTTGTCTGTCTGTTTGTTGGCTTCCACCTCCCGCCGTATTCATAGCCCTGCACCTTGGCACCCCCCCACCCCAGCCCATGGGCCCCGGTGCAGCTGCACCGCCTGCACGCTCGCAAGCTACTACGACGCTGTGTTCGCCCGCCCGCCCGCCCGTACGTCCTTACATCGCGCGTCTCCAAGCGAGCGAGCCGGCACGACTCACCCTGGTCCCGGGAGGCCCAGGCAGCCCGTCCTTCCCATCGATTCCGTTCCTGCCGTCCACGCCAGACGCTCCTCTTTCTCCCTGTCACCAGAAGCGGCACGGGTCAAACACGGGGAACTCAACATCGCCAGGTCCGGTGCCACGCGTGTCCCCCCCCCCCTCCCAACTCTCCAGGGCTCGCACTGCATTGTACGTCCCATCATGCTGTGTGGGATATTTAACATATTTATATATTACAATAATACCCCTACGAAGTAGTAAGAAAAAGGTTGCACATAGAGAAGACCTGATGCAGGCAGTGATGAGAAGGAAACTGGCACCAATTGGACACATACGGAGGATGGTTAACAACAGGAAAATTTAAATTGCGTTAAAAAAAATTCAGGAACCCGAAAGAGACGAAGGCCTCACGGAGAGTGGCTTGACGACGGCATGAAGAGATTGGTGCCTGAAAAATGTGGCACTGCTTGGGCACACCGGCACAAGACAGAGAAATGTGGAAAATAACGAATGTGCAGTGGACACCTTCGGTGTATCTGCCCATGAACCGCGATGATGATGACAGGCCTCGTTGTCACTGTTGTTGTTGTTGTTGGTGCGAGTTTTATTTTGATACACAACGTGGCCAAATTGGAGAAACCACGTCGCTCCACGAGACAAGAAGAAAGACAACTTCGTCAACCACTTGAGTATCGACAGGCAACCTCCCGCCCTTCCTCAAATACCAAGCTACCGGTTGCAACCAATGTGGGAGGAAAACCCGTTCACGCAACGGACGGCATGGCCGCAGCCGCGCACATGACACACGAGACCGTCGGCGGCGTGATCTTCGGACACGAAGATCGACGGCGATCACGTCACAACAATTCAGGCCTTCCACAAAGACCGGGAGACTGCTGATTGGCGCTCGTTATCCTGGTGCGAGTGCACCTATGAAGGCCGGCACGGCACACGAGGGGGTGAGTGGCCAGCACCACGCCCGGCCGCCTTTGTCTCCCCCGTGGCAATGTTTACACATGACACCAGGTACTCAGTTGAGGCCGAGTCGACCTAGAGGAGGCCCAGGAACGATTTAGATAATCGTCATTGGTGTTGGGCCGTGAGCGGCAATCGAGCTCGGGTCGCCGGGTTCGTAGCGCAGCGCGCCAACTGTAGCACTAGTACTCCCCATGCACAACACAGACGCACACACGTGGACACGCATGCACATGCAAGCACATGCATGTACCTTTTCCCCAGAGGGTCCTCGCTCTCCCGAGTCACCCTGGTGGACGAGCGCCAACAAGGCGAGCAGCGCACCGTTAGGAGGAACACGCGAGGAGCGAACAACACAACACACGCCACCGAAAGTTCAACATGCAACCACTCCCCCCTGCCTTCACCCCCCCGCTCAAATCATCACAATTTGGGTCAAGATCATATATTTTTTCGAATGTGGTGACCGTAGCGCCGCCAGTGGCTGCAGAGGTCACGTGAATCCATTACATACATCAAATAATAATCAATCCTGGCACGGGAGCGCAGTGAAGTGTGTAAAATCACCGAGTCAGTGCAACATGGCCTGCAAGAGATTGGTTTCTAGGCTATGACATCAGTATGCGTGACGTTACATGTCATATGGCACATGATGTCATCTCGTTGCGCGGCGTGGAGAGTTCAAGTTAACATTGTCAAGTAAATATTTACAGGGACAAATGCACGCTATGAATTGTTCAAGGGTCCATGCATGTGCATGATTTTTCTACCTTGTTATTGTATCATGCACCCACAGATGGATGGCACATTGAAATCAATTCGCTTATGTCTTACACTTAATACAAGTTTTCGTTTGTCAGAACACCCCTCAGTTGATGTGAATTTATAGTCTGTGTCTGCGTGCGTGTGTATGTGCGTGCGTGCGGCTCTGGATGAGTGTGTGCGTGCGTTTTGGTGTGTGTGCGTATGTGAGTGTGCACATGGCCTGGCACAAGCGTCGTGTTGACGTGGCGAATGGCAGTTGTTGTTGTGCGCGTTTGTGCAACAGAACCTTACCCTTGTTCCTGGAGGCCCAGGAGGTCCTTCAGGGCCCTGGTGAAGAGAGAAAGAAGAAATGCAGATGCTAAAGAGAGCTTATTCAACTTATCTCCGCCTAAACTTCTCCAATGTCCTTTCAGGTTGTACCGGTGTGCTGTTCGGTCTGAAGTCTGACATTTCGCTTCGCATTTTCGGGGCATCTTGAGCAACTGGAGCGGAGGCGTAGGGACGTCGTGCCGAACAACACGCTACAACCCCAACACACGTCAGTGCAGCCACACAGCAGCACGACCGCAAAACCCTAGGCGATGTCATGCCACGGTGAAAGTGGCCGCACTGTGGCACTTCTAAAATGGGCCCTCGTCTTGGTTTCTCGTGTTCGGCTTTTCAACTCGCAGTGTTGCGTCGGCGTCGGTTAAGGGGAGAAGAGGAGGGGGGGGGGGGGGGGGAGGGCGGCGGGGGAGGCGGGAGGGGGGCGGGGGGGGTTACCCGGTCCCCCACGGGCCCCACTGATCCCCGGTCCCCCTTGGCTCCATTAATGCCGTCCTCGCCGGGATCCCCGAGGTCTCCCTGTATGCACGGACGCACAGACACACGGTCACATGGACACACGTCGGGAAACGTTATAAAAGGACATGGCATCACCGCGTCACCATATCGCCTACAAGCGTCTCGACTCCTTCAGTGCGTGCGACTGTAATAATTCGACATCTTTTAACGAACGCGCTATCGTGTTGAAACATTCTCCAGCAACACGCCGACGGTTCTGCAGTGGAAAAACAAGCAGGCGCGTGCCGTGCGGGGCTGGCTCGGCGTGGCCCCGACACGGCTCCAGATGTACAGTGGAAAAAGCGTAAGGGGTCAAAGCACTGAGCCGGCACTGCCAAGATTTCGGGTTCAAATCCGGATTTCAGCTGCTTGTGATTAATCTCGGCTCTCAAGCGCAGTGAATCTATTGTCTCAACCCGGTCACGAATGACTCTACAAAACAAACCCTATGTTTTTCTGTTCTTCAGCTCTGAAAAGTTAAACATTTTGGTTTGATCAACGTGCGATGAACATGAACATGTTGGAGCAGCTTCAAGAAGTAGGTCTGTGATGACGCCATCATCCGGCGCCATTGTCCGACCACAATGGAAATTTCCAAACGGAAAATGTGGATTCCTTTTTGTCTCACGACACAATGGGCAAATTACATAATTGGAATAAAACTGGGATAAAAAAATACATAACATGAACATTATAATTCGTATGTAGCGGGGTGGCATTGGCCCTGGTGCTAGGAATTAAATTAAACGAAGTGCGTCTTGTCACGAACCAGAGAAAACAAAGGCGATGACAACATCATTCTAAACACATGGCCTGCTCACTCGACAATGGAAATAATAATGATTATTTCCAAGTCCGATCTATAATGCGCACGCAAGTCACGCAGCGAATCACTTAAATAAGTCAGTGGCGTGATTAGCCAGTGTTAAATTTCGATTTAAAGCTTTCGTGACTGCAGGGATTAATCTTCTTGGTTCTTTCGGTAAAGTCACGTAAATAATAAAATAATAAAATCTAACATAATAAAATAAAATTCTCACGACGTTTCGGCCACAACACAAGTAGCCTTCCTCAGGTGAAGAAACAGAGCTGTCGGAAAGACAGCGCTCCAATGAACACTGCTAAGCTTGGCAGCGAATTTTAAGCTGGGTGGGAGGAGCAGAGCGCCTTGACAAAGGAGTTTACATATCAACAGAAGAATTTAGCATTGAAGTAGCTATGTTAATGTGAGAGATTAACAGGATGTTAAAGTCACAAATTAGCATGTAACTGGGAGATTAGCATGATGTTAATGTGAGGAATTAGCATGTAACTGGTCACGGAAGTGGCTATGTTAAAGTCAGAGTTTACATATCAACAGAGGCATTTAGTATATTGACGCTAAAGAACTGCAACTACCAAACTATCATACAATAAACTGATGTGAAAGAACTAAATATAAACTACATCAATATTATCAATGTACACAATATATTATCCAATAAGCTGAGCTATTAACATTAAGCAACTGGGTATACACTACACTATATAATCACTATCATATAGTGAATCGATAAAAAACTAAAATGTAAACTACATCAATATCATTAATATACTCAATATACTCTCCAGTAAGCTGAGTATACATATCAACAGAGGCATTTAGTATATTGACGCTAAAGAACTGCAACTACCCTACTACCATACAATAAACCGACGTGAAAAAAACAAATATAAACTACATCAATATAATCAATATACTCAATATACTCTCCAATAAGCTGAGCCACTAACAATAAGTCATCATACATTACACTTCTATGTCGCAAAAATTATTATAATATGCCTCCAACTAATTTTTGTATTATTTTATAAACTGCCATAGACAGACCCCAACATTGAATTATACACTGCGTTACTATACACTACCCTGTACCTTAGACTATAATAATATTAGCCAGTATTACTCTGTCAACTCAGAGCTCACACCGATGAAGTGAAAGAGGGGTGGATGTGAAATCTGTGAGGGCATGATGAGGTGAGAGGGGTGGATGTGAAGTCTGTGAGGGCATGATGAGGTGATTGCGAGGTCTGTGAGGGTCGATGAGGTGAGAGGGATTGATGCGAGATCTGTGAGGGTGATGAGGTGAGAGGGATTGATGCGAGCTCTGTGAGGGTGATGAGGTGAGAGGGATTGATGCGAGGTCTGTGAGGGTGATGAGGTGAGAGGGATTGATGCGAGGTGTGAGGATGATGAGGTGAGAGCGGTTGATGCGAGGTCTGTGAGGGTGATGAGGTGAGAGGGATTGATGCGAGGTCTGTGAGGGTGATGAGGTGAGAGGGATTGATGCGAGGTGTGAGGGTGATGAGGTGAGAGGGATTGATGCGAGCTCTGTGAGGGTGATGAGGTGAGAGGGATTGATGCGAGGTCTGTGAGGGTGATGAGGTGAGAGGGATTGATGCGAGGTGTGAGGATGATGAGGTGAGAGCGGTTGATGCGAGGTCTGTGAGGGTGATGAGGTGAGAGGGATTGATGCGAGGTCTGTGAGGGTGATGAGGTGAGAGGGATTGATGCGAGGTCTGTGAGGGTGATGAGGTGAGAGGGATTGATGCGAGGTCTGTGAGGGTGATGAGGTGAGAGGGGTGAATGTGAAGTCTGTGAGGGTGATGAGGTGAAAGGGATTGATGCGAGGTGTGAGGGTGATGAGGTGAGCGGGATTGATGCGAGATCTGTGAGGGTGATGAGGTGAGAGGGATTGATGCGAGGTGTGAGGGTGATGAGGTGAGAGGGATTGATGCGAGGTGTGAGGGTGATGAGGTGAGAGCGGTTGATGCGAGGTCTGTGAGGGTGATGAGGTGAGAGGGATTGATGCGAGGTCTGTGAGGGTGATGAGGTGAGAGGGATTGATGCGAGGTCTGTGAGGGTGATGAGGTGAGAGGGATTGATGCGAGGTCTGTGAGGGTGATGAGGTGAGAGGGGTGAATGTGAAGTCTGTGAGGGTGATGAGGTGAAAGGGATTGATGCGAGGTGTGAGGGTGATGAGGTGAGCGGGATTGATGCGAGATCTGTGAGGGTGATGAGGTGAGAGGGATTGATGCGAGGTGTGAGGGTGATGAGGTGAGAGGGATTGATGCGAGGTCTGTGAGGGTGATGAGGTGAGAGCGGTTGATGCGAGGTGTGAGGGTGATGAGGTGAGAGAGATTGATGCGAGGTCTGTGAGGGTGATGAGGTGAGAGGGATTGATGCGAGGTGTGAGGGTAATGAGGTGAGAGGGATTGATGCGAGGTCTGTGAGGGTGATGAGGTGAGAGGGATTGATGCGAGGTCTGTGAGGGTGATGAGGTGAGGGGTGAATGTGAAGTCTGTGAGGGTGATGAGGTGAGAGGGATTGATGCGAGGTGTGAGGGCACGATGAGGTGAGAGGGATTGATGCGAGGTGTGAGGGTGATGAGGTGAGAGGGATTGATGTGAGGTGTGAGGGTGATGAGGTGAGAGGGATTGATGCGAGGTCTGTGAGGATGATGAGGTGAGAGGGATTGATGCGAGGTGTGAGGGTGATGAGGTGAGAGGGATTGATGCGAGGTCTGTGAGGGTGATGAGGTGAGAGGGATTGATGCGAGGTGTGAGGGTACAATGAGGTGAGAGGGGTGAATGTGAAGTCTGTGAGGGTGATGAGGTGAGAGGCATTGATGCGAGGTGTGAGGGTGATGAGGTGAGAGGCATTCATGCGAGGTCTGTGAGGGTCGATGAGGTGAGAGGAATTGATGCGAGGTCTGTGAGGGCACGATGAGGTGAGAGGGGTGAATGTGAAGTCTGTGAGGGTGATGAGGTGAGAGGCCCACAAGGGCAGCGCTCTCTCCCACCTTCTCGCCCTTTTCTCCAGCGACTGTTTTCTCGATTTCCACCTGCGGCACAAAGGTTCACAAGTTGACGGTAATTTCGGTTGACAAGGACACAAGTTAAAAAGTGTGCGAGTTCACAGGTTTCAAGATCACAAGTTCAAATGTTAATAGTTTTAAGGATTCACGAGTTGATAAAGGTTCAGGGCTCATGAAATTGATTAAACTGCAACATCACTCGTGAAATGAGTCGGCACTGTGGAGATGTGGGCAGCGAGTGTCGGCTTCAACCAATCCCGATTCCAAACGGGTTCCCCTCAAGTGTCACCAACGACCGTCCAAATAAAACACCAACGCATAAACAAAAACGTTTTGTTTAAATTGGCTAATCTCCAGCACCGAAGATTACAACGATCAGTTTGATTATATGTGTGTATGTTGAACTTCTTTCGCATCGTACGTAGCCAACCGTGCTAATTGGAGATTGATATGTGAAGAACATTTCTTGGTACGGGGCATTATGGGAAAAATCCAGTACCCCCGATTGTGGAGCAGAGGTCACCGTGAAGAGTGTCTCAGAATAAAAAAAGTCAAAAACATCTTGTGTTTGAAAGAAACAATATATAACAGCCAACGTTTTGGGCAACGGCCCTGCTTCATGACACGTTAAAAACTACTTTGAAGAAGTGCCATTGCCTAGAACTTCACCTATTATATAAATTATCTATCGAGGCCACAGTGTTATTGGCAAATGTGTTGAGTTTTTTTTAAATTTCTTCATTGTCCTTTTGCACCGCTCCCAACGCAGCAGCAGCATCATCATCATCAAATACTGTCTCGGTAGTAGTTCTGCGATACCTCCTTCCATGGGCAATCCTCTACCACTGGGCGATGCTCTGCTCTGCGAGAGTTCCAAGTGGACGCCGTCTCATGGCGTGGCCACCGACAGTACGATTGGAAATTAAAGGCAACAACAGAAACTAGATTTCAAACTTACAATTTTCCCTGGTGGGCCTGGAATTCCTGCGTCTCCCTGGGAAAAAAAAAAACCACACACGTTTATTACCATGAATGAAACTTATGAGGCAGTTGACAATTAGCATACATTTACTATGGGGCAAGAGTTAATTAAATCTGTAGTGAGGATTCAGCATGTGGGAGTGCGACAGTGTTACCATCTCTCCTTTGGCACCCTTTGTCCCCGCCTGGCCATCAGCCCCCTGCACACGACCAAAACAAAGATCCCCCGTGTCGCCTTAACAGACTGTAGGGGCAAGTGCTGTTAGCGAGCACCTATGAAGGCCAGAACGGCACACGAGGGGGTGGGTGGCCAGCACCATGCCCGACCGCCTTTGTCTCCCCAGTGGCGATGTTTACACACCGCACCAGGTACTCATTGGAGGCTGAGTCGATCTACGGGAGCTCCAGGACCGGTTCAGATAATCGTCACTGGTGTTGGCCGTGAGCGAGAATCGAACCCAGGTCGCCGGAATCGTAGCGCAGCGCGCTAGCCGCGACACTACCGCTCCTCTACACACGCGCGCACACACACACACATGCACGGAAAGGAAAACACACAAAGGTCCCAGCTTAGCCTCACGGATCACGGGAGTTAAGTGTCGTTCGAGAACACCTGTTGAGGTCGGCACAAGACATGTAGCCAGCCACCATACATACGTGGCCATCCTTATATCCCTGGTACTATTTTTCACACAATGCACTCGGTACCCAATTTTAGACTAAGTTGATATAGAGCAAGGCCCGAAGCAATGCTCTGATTGTAGATAAGGGCACACGTGCAACTGATCAGCGTGTCGAGGGACCTAACCCATGGCAGTGGCGTTATCATGCAGTGGGCAAAAAGGCTACAAAGAGAGACAAAATATAACAGCCTGTTGGAGCACGTGGATCTTGTGTGAACTCAGAGGAGGCCAGGGTGATGGCGCCACTTTGTTTGAGCTATCACTCGTGATAGCCGGGTCACTTCTGAAAAATAAGTTAATACCTCAGTGGGCTTTGCCTGGTAGGATATGGGATGGTTTCGTGTTGTATTTGTTTGTGTTTGAGTGATTTGTTTACCTTTCTTGAACTTGCACGACTATCGTGTGTTTTTGTACTGTTTGTTGTCGTAACGTTCTTACCCGCCCCTACTGGACAGCTGGGGAAAAGAGCTTTATAGCCAATCGGATTCCTCCAGTATAAAAAAAATTCAGATTCTGATGAAGTATTGGGCAATGACTGCTGCTGTGCGTGATCCCTGTCAAGTGATTCGCGGTGTCTTTTTCGAACTTGGCAAGTCTGCACCATGACGCCGGCGCACAACGGGCCTAACTCTCGCGAATGACGTCACGGGCATCTTGAATGTGCACTGCGGTAACGGACGGCAGGCGCTGCTAGCGAACACTGAAGGCTGCTAGAGGCCACGCGGGGGTGTTGTGGCCAGGACCACGCACAGGCCACCCTTGTCGCCCCACAAGCTGATGTTTACAAACAGTGGCCGGGTATTGGGTGGGCATTTTAAGGCCGAGCCAATCTATAGGGTGTGGGGGTTGAATAGTTTCCACTATCAATCGGCAATTATGTTAAGGAGTCAAACTCAAGTTCGCCGGGTTCATAGAGCCATGCGCCAATCACTGCACCACTAACAGACTTTTGGGATTAATGCTGTGAGCGACCACCTATGAAGGCCGGCACGGCACACGAGGGGGTGGGTGGCCAGCACCACGCATAGCCGCCTTTTTTCCCGAGTGGTGATGTGTACACATCACGCCAGGTGCTCATTTAAGGCTAAGTCGACCTAGGGGAGGCCCAGGACCGATTCAGATACTTGTCATTCGTGTTGGTGACCATTAGCGGGAACCGAACTCAGTTCGCCTGGTTCGTAGCACAGCGCACTAACCGCTACACTCCTGTCCCCCACACAACACAGACAAATACAACGATCCCCAGTATAGCCTCAACAGACGGTTGGTGCAAGTGCTGTTAGCGAGCACTTACATACATACGCATCTCCGCACGCAGTGCTTATACTTGCGTGTGCACGCACACATGCTATGGAAAAGTAGACAATCATCGTAGAGCAGCAGGGTGTTTATCCAGCCGGGGACGAAACAAAGGTAGAGAGGAGATCAAGGAAAGGGCATCCTGTCGGCAGCGACACTGGATGTGAAAAGGCCACCAGGGATTGGAGATCAAAGGGCAGCGTACGCGACGTCATAGGGGTTGTGTGAACGTGCGAGCGCACGAGTGCGGAGGTTGTCAAGCAAGCGTGCGAGCTTACAGGCGTACAAATGAGTGTGCGAGCGTGCGCACTTACAAGTCAGCCTACGAACATACAAATGAACGCACGCGCATTAGAAGCAAGTTTGCAAGCATGTAAGTGTACAAGGGAGTGTGACTGTGAGTGTACAAAATGCACAAGCGAGCGAGTGTGTGAACATGCAAGTGAGTGTGCGAGTGTACAAGTGAGTGTGTGACTTTGGAAGTGTACAAGTGAGCGTTGCGATTGTGCGAATGTGCGATTGTACGGGTGAGCGCGTGACTGTGCGTGTGACTGTGCGAGTGACTGTGCGAGTGTACAAGTGAGCGATTGACTGTGCGTGAATGAACGCAGGGGATGTGGGCAGACGAGGGAGATCCGAGCGAGTGCTTACGTCGCGCCCAAGCAAGCCCAGCTCCCCCTTGTCCCCTTTCGCTCCGGGGGCACCGTTGAGCCCTGCCGGACCCTTCATAGACAAACACAACGTTGTGTAAACGATGACATAAGCCAGCGGTGGGAAAAAATATAAATAAATATGCCTCCTTCCAAATATTCGTCTCTCCAAGCATATATATATTTTTTTATATAAAATCTCATTGGCCACGCAGCCTTCTCCACTGGTTTGATACCAGCAGACTTCTGGACCGTTTTTGGCATTCATTGTCTCATCAGCTGGCTTCAACCAACGCCGCCGGTGAGCTGCCAGGCCTTTCTAGGCAAGGACCCAATGAACGGCAAAGGGGCAGGGCCGCGGAGTAGGAGGTGCCTTACCCGGAGCCCTCTGGGTCCAGAGTCTCCGTCAGGACCAGCATCTCCCTGTCGTACACACACAGACACGCGCCCACACACACGTAGAAAAACAAAGATTCTCCCGTATTGCCTGAACAGACTGTTAGGCCAAGTGCTGTTAGCGAGCACCTTTGAAAGGCTGGCGTGGCACATGAGGGGGTGGGTGGCCAACACCATGCCCGGCAACCTTTGTCTCCCCAGACAAAGGTTGGTACTCATTTGAGGCCAACAATAGCTGACCGTGAGCAGGAATCGAACTCGGGGCGCCGGTTTCGTAGTGTGTTGCACCGACCATTACACTTCCACTCCCCATTTATTCATGCAAAAAAGAAAACACAGACTGTTGGGGGCAAGTGCTGTTAGCGAGCACACATAAATGCACATACACAGAGCAGTTCACCCACACACGCGAGCACGCCTCGTGCTCATCGGCCTCATCTCCCCTTCACCCTATCAAGACACAAGATCACATTAACATAAACAACCAGAATCCAGAATCTTTTTGAACCCACGCATGGACAGGCAAACGCAGATGCACGCGGGGAGCACGCAGGGAGCACGCGGCGGTCCATTAGATCCTCCGTTTCACCGACCGCAACAGACCCCGCCAGGCACAACAGCATTAACCCAGACCCTAACTCCCACAGACACACAGGCCGGCCACAGAGAGAGTGGGAGGGAAGGAGAACAGGTGGGAGGGGCCAATAATCAGGGCTTATTTTCTCACTGAATGTTTTCCCGGTGCGCTGCTAGACTCAAGTTGGTGGCACGGGAATTGTTGTAGCCGCAGCCGCAGCGAGAGGAATGCTGGATGTGGTGCGCCATGCGTATAAATATTTTATGAGTTTGCCGGTGCCAGGCAAAGCGGGGTGAAATGAATCCCTGGCGCTAACCAACGCGACGCTCACCTTCGCTCCGGGAGTACCCACGTCTCCTTTTTCACCCTGCAGGGGACGGGGAAGAAACAAATACACAGATAATGTAACGCCCACAGACACCCACAGGTCCCGAAGCCAGATGCTGCTTGATGAGGGGTTAACACTCAAAGCTCCACACAGATAGATTCAAGAATCCATTGCGACACTGCCATCTGGTCACCTTGCAGGCGAAAGCCTATGGCACCTGATATATCCGAGACTGTCTCCCATCCACCGGGTGCACTCGGGGGTGGAAAATTGACACTGAGCACTCACGTCTTTCCCTCGGAGCCCGGCAGGGCCCGGAGTCCCTGGGCGGCCTGGCTCTCCGGCATCGCCCTTGGCTCCTGGCTCACCCTGCGCGCACACACACACACACACAGATCCCCCAAATGGGCTACACAGGCTGTTGGGGCAAGCGCTATGGGTGAGCGCATATTAAGGCTGCCACGGCTCGACGGTTTTGATTTTATTTGTGAAAGTATCTGCCGCTGTTCTTACCTTGTCACCTGGCCGGCCCAGCGGTCCGTTGGGGCCCTGAGCAAACGAGAGCAACGGGAGAGGGCAGCTCAAGCAGGGCAAACGGCGGAATTGAGAGATGTCATCGGAGAGGCGTTCCTCCCTCGTGCTACGTTTCCACCACCACCATCGAGAAGGCGGTTTGGTGGCCCAAGAACGGCGCAGGGCCGGTTGGGCACGGCACTGATCCTCACATGGCTCCGTCTCCCGCACCCTCTCTGTACTCCTTCCACAGTCGGAGGAGTTTGATTAAAAACTAAAAATTTTCTCCTACCCCCCCCCCCCCCACTCTCGCACTCCATTTGTTGGTAAAACTGTTCTGTATTATCTTACAAAGTTGGAAAGCTTTATAAAAAAAAACATTTTTAGGAAATAAATCGTTATTTTATGTATGCATTTTTTGCAATGATTCGATGACAAAAAAAGTGTTTTAAAATAAATAATTTTAACAACTCTTCATGCTGGCTTGGCTTAGGTTCCACTATCCCCAAGCAAAACATGTTTTGCCGTTATGAATCGTGATGTTTAAATTTATATTTATTTTATTTTTCAAAACAGAACCTTGAACTTGGTTGAGAGATCCCACTGAGCTTATGCAATCACGAGTTCCTCGGGGGACCAGTGGAGGGTCCCATTGCATCCCTTGAACCAGGGCCCATGCCAACCACCCCTACGCTACTGTGTGCAAGTATACATACATACGCGCGTGCGTGTACATACACACACACGAGCTTTTGGAGCAGTCATGCAATGTCGTCGGCACTCTGATCTACATCTGGAGATTCACTTGCCATTCGATATTTTCCTAAAGGCCGCTAGGTTGGCTTGGAGTAGGGATTACTGGCATAAGCCACTACCATGAGAGTGCAGTACAACATACTTATATCCAGAGTAATCCTATATCAGTGTACCGTGTATTTTTATAATCCACTGAGCAGGTCAATACAAGTTAGAATGGTGAACTCACCATTATTACCAACACAATTCCCGGAACCTTGTGGACTCTTCTGGCAGAAATTACGCCTTGGCAAATCGGTGGCCTTTGGTACCAACATCAGTGGCCCTACCCACAATTCCGTGCCGCTTTCATAACAGCTCCAACACCCCTGTGGTTGTCCGACACCTCACCGCCACCAACACCACCACCTCACAAATCGGCGAGTCTAGTTTTTGAGACAACAGGCCTGGAGAGTCCAAACGCGGTGTTATCATGGGAAGAAGATTTCACAGCAGCGTAAGGGAGAGCTACAGTAAGGGAAAAACGTATTTGATCCCCTGCTGATTTTGTACATTTGCCCACTAACAAAGAAATGATCAGTCTAAAATTGGAATGGTAGGTTTATTTGAACAATGAGAGACATAACAACAAAAAAATACGGAAAAACGCATGTCAAAAATGTTATAAATTGATTTGCATTTTAATGAGGGAAATAAGTATTTGACCCCCTCTCAATCAGAAAGATTTCTGGCTCTCAGGTGTCTTTTATACAGGTAACGAGCTGAGTTTAGGAGCACACTCTTAAAGGGAGTGCTTCTAATCTCAGCTTGTTACCTGTATAAAAGACACCTGTCCACAGAAGCAATCAATCAATCAGATTCCAAACTCTCCACCATGGCCAAGAACAAAGAGCTCTCCAAGGATGTCAGGGACAAGATTGTAGACCTACACAAGGTTGGAATGGGCTACAAGACCATTGCCAAGCAGCTGGTGAGAAGGTGACAACAGTTGGTGCGATTATTCGCAAATGGAAGAAACACAAAAGAACAGTCAATCTCCCTCGGCCTGGGGCTCCATGCAAGATCTCACCTCGTGGAGTTGCAATGATCGTGAGAACGGTGAGGAATCAGCCCAGAACTACACGGGAGGATCTTGTCAATGATCTCAAGGCAGCTGTGACCATAGTCACCAGGAAAACAATTGGTTACACACTACACCATGAAGGATTGAAATCCTGCAGCGCCCGCAAGGTCCCCCTGCTCAAGAAAGCACATATACATGCCCGTCTGAAGTTTGTCAATGAACATCTGAATGATTCAGAGGACAACTGGGTGAAATTGTTGTGTTCAGATTAGACCAAAATGGAGCTCTTTGGCATCAACTCAACTCGCCGTGTTTGGAGGAGGAGGAATGCTGCCTATGACCCCAAGAACACCATCCCCACCGTCAAACATGGAGGTGGAAACATTATGCTTTGGGGGTGTTTTTCTGCTAAGGGGACAGGACAACTTCACCGCATCAAAGGGACGATGGACGGGGCCATGTACCGTCAAATCTTGGGTGAGAACCTCCTTCCCTCAGCCAGGGCATTGAAAATGGATCGTGGATGGGTATTCCAGCATGACAATGACCCAAAACATGGCCAAGGCAACAAAGGAGTGGCTCAAGAAGAAGTACATTAAGGTCCTGGAGTGGCCTAGCCAGTCTCCAGACCTTAATCCCATAGAAAATCTGTGGAGGAAGCTGAAGGTTTGAGTTGCCAAACGTCAGCCTCGAAACCTTAATGACTTGGAGAAGATCTGCAAAGAGGAGTGGGACAAAATCCCTCCTGAGATGTGTGCAAACCTGGTGGCCAACTACAAGAAACGTCTGACCTCTGTGAATGCCAACAAGAGTTTTGCCACCAAGTACTAAGTCATGTTTTGCAGAGGGGTCAAATACTTATTTCCCTCATTAAAATGCTAATCAATTTATAACATTTTTGACATGCGTTTTTCTGGATTTTTTTGTTGTTATTCTGTCTCTCACTGTTCAAATAAACCTACCATTAAAATTATAGACTGATCATTTCTTTGTCAGTGGGCAAACATACAAAATCAGCAAGGGATCAAATACTCTTTTCCCTCACTGTACATGTGAACGCACTGCTTTGACGGGAGTGCTGTTATTATTGTGCAACTAACAAAAGCCAGGACTTTTAATGACGTAGGAGGACACAGATATTCCAGGACGGCAGCTGCGTCCTCGGCAAGGGGAGGATCCTGGGGAAACCAGGACATGTGGTGACCGTGGGTTGTGGGCTCAGCTCACCCGATCTCCGGGTTCCCCCTTGGCCCCGACACCGCCAGGCAGCCCGGCTCCTATGCTGCCCTGCAGCACAGGACACGGACGACAGGGGGGGAGAGGGTGGCAGCAGCGTCGGCACGAGAAGCGTAATAATAAGAATAATCAATGCATTTGGTACTGCCGCCATTCTTAAAGCTTAAGGACATCACGCAGGGACCATGCTTCACAGACGTGTATAGTCTGCCAGTAGGGGGCAATGTTGCCGCGTGTTGTACAGTTTTACCCAATTAGGTAAATTTCAGGTAACTTTTTCAAATTCAGATCATGATGCCAGCACGCGTGGTCTACTCTTTATCCAATAAAGCAACGAGATCTTTAACTTCTGCAGTGAAGACAGACCGCACGATCGCAATTTTTGGTTTATACACCCATCGCAGTATTAACCAGGGCGGCCGCAGTTTGCAAACCACGAACTTCTGCAACAAGCGGCTGGCGTCACTGCCCGTGAAACCCACAGCTTCCACTTCTGTTGCTCTTGGCTCGGCTCGCACGGTGACTTGCACTGCTTCCCATAGTAGGATGTGGGCTTCTCAAAACAAGCTGGCTAATGCATACAGATGTTATTGTAAGGCTCTTAATTTATTCAGCAGTTGGTAATAATGAAGTGAAGGTCATCATCCTCATCAGCAGCACCACCATAAGCAGCAGCAGCAGCCATGATCAATCCACTGCTGTATGAAGGTCTCCACAAGCTGTCGCGATTTTTAGGTCAAATCAGGAAATCGGGCTAGGATATAAAATGCTGCTTTGGATTGATTAAAAAAGCACGACGTCACGGGAAATGACATAACAATGACATCACATCTGCGCTTTCCCCCACCAAAAGCGGGCATCTCGTGGCATCCGAGGACGTCACTTTAGTTTGCACGGAAGAAAAAAGGATGCAACATTTGCCTTAAGAATCAGATGTTTAAATTCCAAAAACTCATCCCTCTGTCACGGCAATGTTGCCACCGCTCCCGGCGGCCCGAACAAACGATTCCTTCGTCGAGCGACGATAGCGAAGATCGTTCACCTTGTCGCCCTTTTGCCCGGCCTCGCCCGACTCGCCACTGGGGCCGTGTGGTCCAGGGGGTCCTCTGTCTCCCTGGCAACGACAGCATCACGCAGGCGGGGTGAGCCGAGACTGCCCAGAGGATGCGGTTGACACAAGACAAATGAAACCGCCACGTAGGACTTTTTTTCGGAGTTGGCATTGCGGTTGAACCGTGCGGTGTTCGGAGCGACGTTCGACGCCAAGCGGAAAGCTCCTCAAGAAGTTCCCGGTACGTGAAGCGAACCGTCGGACATCGTGCCAAATTGCGCGTGGTATAAACCAGAAAACCCGCAGGAGAGCCACAAGTAAATGACGACCGGATTATTACATTAATATAGATTCATATGCATATAATATACACGTAGACAATGATTTCCCCCCACCACCCCCGTATATAGACATGTTAACAGACTGTTGGGGCAAGTGCTGTTAGCTTGCAGCACCTATGAAGGCTGACACGGCACACGAGGGAGTGGGTGGCCAGCACCAAGCCCGGCCGCATTTGGTCTCCCTCGTGGTGATCTTAACACGCATGTGTATGTATGTTCAACTTCTTTTGCACCGTATGTAGCCAACCGTGATAATCAGAGGTGCGGGGGAAGGACAATACACTAAGCACAATACGCAGTTCTAAAGAAATTAGTTTTCAATCTCGATTATTTAAAAGTGCGTAGCTCCAGTGGCTTCCTAATATCTGAATGAAGAGTGTTCCAGACGTGCTGCAGAAGCACATCTGAAAGCGCGCAATACAGTGACTGTCTTTGTTCCATGGTTAGCCAAAATTCGATGGTTAGCCATTTGAGGCTAAATCGACCTAGGGGAAGCCCCGGACTGGTTCAGATAATTGTCATAACAATAATCGCTAATCGTCACTACGTGGCGGTGACGTCACCACGGTGCCTGTGCCAGGCTGTGTGTATTTTAAGTCATACACACACACACACACATGTGTGGTGTAGAGGCTATCCTGTTTCAGAAAAAGCCCTCACTTATCCTCCTCACCTTTAGTCCTGGAGGCCCGGATGAGCCCTTTATCTGATGTAAACAGAAAAAAACACAGGTCAGGTCCTCTCAAGGAAAGCAATTTTGGAAAGTGGAACAATTTTGCGGATTAGTGGTGAATCGCTCGACACCCTACTCTTACTTTTGAATCTCGAGGGTTTTTTTTTATCGGAACGACAAACATCAACCAAATCGATAAATCAATCAGCCGCTATTCAAGGGGAAAATAGACACCTCTCTTCTGTCACGATACTCACACTTTCTCCGTCCAGGCCCCTGGGTCCCAGTTCGCCCTGTGAAGACAGAGTTGGCATCATGCGAGACAAACGACCGGACGAACGATCGGACAAAGTTCGGGCCAATGTAGCATCGCCTCTCCCATCGGCTGACCGGAGTGTCCTCACACAGGCACAGAGTTTTAACTAAAACCGTGATCTTACAACCATTTTTTAAACACATTTGTGAAATTGTTGCTCAGTTTGCTTTCATTGTGTTCCCATACAATGTTTGGTCCTAACCAATAAAGCACCTTCATTTTAACCTCAAACCCTAACCCCAAAAACCTAAACCGAACTCGTATCCCTAAACCGGGGATACAAATAAGCAGTGGGGAACACATATTCCTTGCCAAGGAGGAACAAATATCCACTGAACACTCCACTCCCCAAATACAAATAAGCCGGTAGAGATAGAAGCAAGTCCGGACTGTGGCCGCGTCAAAATTAAACATTTCTCATACAGGACCCTATCGTCGAACCTCCCAATTTCAACCTTCCCAGCCGCCAATGGTCGACAATCAACTGAATCAGGACCGGGCATGGCCGATGCGGCCACCTGATGCACAAATAGCACATCAAATATTCGGCGGCCTGCGAATGCGGCCACGAATCTCAAACGATTGACCGCATCGTAAACACTCCGCTGTCTTCACTCCTTTAAAGGAGCAACGGACGAGATCCACTCTGCATCTGAACAAACGATTAAGTGTATAACAAATTATAAAATGACATCTGTAATCTGCTGCTATGAACAGAAGAAGACCATTTTGAGGCCAACACAGGCGAGCGTGCCATCGATAAACAGGACGTGGAGCCCACGCGTCATGTGACCTTGCGACGTGCCTCACCTTCTCTCCTCTGGGTCCAGGTGGCCCTTGAAGCCCCTAAGGTGCAGCGAGGACAGACACACACACACAATTGAACACATAAGCGAATGTGCACACAAATATGAGAGAGCTATGTGTGGTGGGTATGGTGGGAAACACACCACCAGGTGTATACGCTTTACTATATTTACTTGCGTTGTGTAAATATGTTTAAGAATATGCAAACCTGTCAACCCATTGTCAGTGCCCTACCTTATTACAGACCAATTCCGAACATTTTGGTCCCCCCGTGCCCCTTATAAATCTCAACGTTCATCCCACAAAAGTCCCATCACAAGGGAGAAACACAAACAAATAGACAAAAAAATGTCCCTGTACAAGAATACGGGTAAACCATATGGGTTGACAGGTATGCAATGTGTGTGTGTTTTAGTGGTAGTGTAGTGGTCAGTGAACTGTGCTACGAACTCAGCGACCCGAGTATTTGTAAATGTCCTGTCCTGGGCCTCCCCAGGACAGGACAGAGCACCTGAAGCAGTGTAAACATCAGCACTCGGGAGACAAAGGCGGCCGGGTGTGGTGTTGGCCATGCACCCCCTCATGTGTTGTGCCGGCATTCATAGGTGCTCGCTAACAGCACTTGCCCCAACAGTCTGTTAAGGCTATACGGGGGATCTTTGTCTGTATTGTCTTTGTCTCTGTGTGTTAGCGTGGTCTCTGTGTCTTTGCGTGTGTCTGTGTGTGTCTCTCTGTGTGTCTCTCTGAGTGTGTCTCTGTGTGTCTCTGTGAGTGTGTCTCTGTATGTCTCTGTGAAGTGTGTCTCTGTGTGTTATCATTTCGTGCCAGTGTGTCTCTGTGTGTCTCTGTGAGTGTGTCTCTGTGTGTTATCATTCCGTGCCAGTGTGTCTCTGTGTGTCTCTGTGAGTGTGTCTCTGGGTGTCTCTGTGAGTGTGTCTCTGTGTGTCTCTGTGAGTGTGTCTCTGTGTGTTATCATTCCGTGCCAGTGTGTCTCTGTGTGTCTCTGTGAGTGTGTCTCTGTGTGTTATCATTCCGTGCCAGTGTGTCTCTGTGTGTCTCTGTGAGTGTGTCTCTGTGTGTTATCATTCCGTGCCAGTGTGTCTCTGTGTGTCTCTGTGAGTGTGTCTCTGTGTGTTATCATTCCGCGCCAGTGTGTATCTGTGTGTCTCGGTGCTCGTCACAGCAACTCACGGGAACCCCCTGTGGCCCGAGAGGCCCTGGAGAGCCAGCGACACCCTGCGAAAACACAGAGCAGCGGCATCAACGACCACCGGTTTGGAAGTCTACGTCCCTCCGGTCCCCTGGGTCTCATTGCTCTCGCACCCCTTGTGTAAGTGCATCAGTTCCTCGTTGTACTTCTCCTCTCAAAACCAACAAGACAAGAGGACCGGAGAGCATTTCTCCAGGAACCGCCGATGTTTTTTTAACCGATAAAACACAAAGGCAGAGCGCTCTCTACACTTGTCTGTGTGATACTTGAAAACACTTTCATTTTGTTCCGGCCTGCACTCTTTTTATTGTCATTTACGGATATGATCATTGCTGCCGTTCGCGCACCGACTCTGGATTCGCTCTTTTTTCAGCCTCCCGCACCTGTGATTTTACTACTTTTATTTCTTTACGTGGAGAGACGACAACAAGGGGCGTATTGCCTGCTTATGTATTTGGTTTACATATATTCTCCACGACGACGCTCAATGTTTATTATGTCTATTACGCGTGAGGTCTTGCCGAGTATCCCGTTGAACTAGGAAAGGGTCCTGGCCTTTAAACACTGGCCAGTGCACCAGCATCGGTTTAAGTAAGCCCCACTCTGCTGACGAGACACATCGAATGCCAACTCTGGCCCAGAGTTTGCTCGGACTATACTCAATGCTGCTGCAACTACGCACACTCACAAGGCTGTGTGGCCGATTGGAGGTGTAAACAAGAACATATATTTTTAAAAAAATGTATCGTCGAGATAAATTATGTCCGCTTAGTTATTATGCGGCTGAGAATCTCTGCAGCGACGGTTGACGATGATTACAGTGAGATACATGCTGCAACTGCTCGCTGCGCAGTGCTCCAAGGCTCGACGGCATGTACACGCTTAATGCAACGTAATCTCACCTGGTTATAAATAAACAAACGATGTGGAGCCCGGCAGCTATGTGGCTCTCGTTTTAAAGCTGGCTCTTTGTCAGCTTTGCTCATCATCACTGAAACCCTCATGATCCGTGAGGGGCCTTTAGTCGGCGTGGCAGCGTTTGAGATCTTGGGTTCAAATCCGGGCAGCCGCTCAAGGTCAAACCGGGTTCTCAAGCGAAGGTTGATGGTTTTAGTCCGGTCACCGGTGGCGAATGAACATCGGTGAAAAAGAGCTTTATAACTCATCGGATTTCACCAGTATAAATAAACATTCTGATTCTGACCGCACACAACCAAGTAAAGTTGTTTTCACTCGGCATAAATTAAAGACCACTGCCGTAACGCAGCTCATGTGCAGGTGCTGCGTAGATCAACACATTGCAGGATTGTGAGCGCGACGGTGACGGCTTGTGGAGTTCTTCATCCAGCAGTGGAGTGGTCATGGCTAATGTCGATTGACCATTAACACTGCCGTATAATGTAAAATATAGCACAGGCGGATGACTCAGACATTGTCCCTTGTTCAACGCAGAGAGGGTAGAGAAACCGAGATCAGTTAATTTTGATTTTTTTTCACTTGGTTTGGAATTGTATGGCTACTGAGGCCTTTTTATTCGTCAGTTTGATTGCAATTTGAAGAACATCTCAGGGCACAGGGCATGAGGTGGCACTCCCCCTAGTGTGGATAAGAGGTAATTGAAAATTACCTCAGAGGTAGTTCTGTACTGTCACCATCCACAGGCCATTCTGCCAATGGAGATTTCCTAATTTCACATCTTGACATTGACGGCACAATCATTAGGCACGTAACGCCGCAAGTATTCGTCGAATCAGATCAGTCCTTACCTTCAATATCCACGCATCGAATCGTGTATGTGAGAATCGATTTACAATTTGTGAAAATTATATGAACATTATATTAATTATATACGCCAGTGGTTCTCAACCTTGTGTGGTGACTGTACCCAGTGCCGGATTATCCTAGCAGCAAAAGTAGCAACATATGCAGCTACGGGGCCCCGCACTTTCAAGGACCCCACGCTAAATCCTTTCAAGCTATCAATTCCGGTTCAGTGATTCTGCACTTGCTCTATTACTATAGTACTATACTGCCTTCAACTTTTATGAACGACTGGGTGTTTAAGGTTAGCGATTTGTCATGTTATCTGGCTGTATAGCAAATTAAAAAAATACAATTACTTTACTGTGCAAGTAAAAAAATTTGTGTTTTCATATTTACGTGTTTTTTAGGGCCCCTTTATAGCATATGCTACAGGCCCCGCACTAGCTTAATCCGGCACTGACTGTACCCCTTGCTGAACTTTGTTTCAACTGAGTAACACCCCCTTGCCTGACCCAACATGGTTCTGAAAAATAAATGTATGAATAATGAACATCAATATTTTAACCAATTGTCAATTTTGTGAGGTATCCTAACGAGCTAGTAACTGCACGCGATTAAAAAAAATAATTCAATGGACGCTCTGCATGCGTGACGTCATTTGTTCACGCTCACTGGTTACTCTTGGAAACCACATTGTTCATAATAATTTAGTTTAAAAAGGTATTTTATACCGTTCTAGGTTACCATATGAATTTACATTTATCGGATTTATTTTATCTTGGCAGATTCATACTCAATTATTCACCAATGACTCTCACGTATGATATAATTTCACAAATGTATAAATCACCTCGCGTAACCCCTGGGACATTGCCATGTACCTCCAGGGGTCTGCGTACCCCCAGTTGAGAACCACTTATTTAGACCGACGTTACATTTCTACTGATAGAGTGACTGAAACTGTACAAACGAGGCAGAAGGAACAAAACAAACAATACAAAGGAGACGGTAAAACAGAGACAACTAAATTCACAGATTCTCAAATCGAACCGTGAGCATTAACCAAAACAATTCCTCACATTGCTCAATCTGCAAATCATTGCCTGCCTAAGATAAACAACTATATATAAAATAGGGTTGTTAGATCGGCACGGAGACTAACGCTGACAGGACGAGAGGTTTACCTTGTCGCCAGCAGGACCCATGACTCCCCTCTCTCCCTGCAACACAGCAAGGACACGCAACCACATGAGCACATGCGTGTAGCGCGGGCAACCTCGGTGGTGAAAACAGAGTTGCAGCCAACATGAATCTCGTGTGATCTCCGAGTGTGCGTAGAGTTGGCAACCTCCGAGTGTTGAAGGGCTACAGCCAACATGACATTTGTTTGTGGGTGTGTGTGTGCGCGCGAGTGTAGCGTGAGCAGTAGTGCAGCGGTTAGCGCGCTGCGCTACGAACCCGGTGGCCCGAGTTCGATTCCCGCTCATGGCCAACACAAGTGACGATTATCAGAACCGATCCTGTGCCTCCTCTAGGTGGACTCAGCCTCAAATGAGTACTTGGTGAGGTGGCTCGTGACGGACGCTGCTGGGCAGTTGGAGGCAGTCGCCCTCCAACAATAACGGAGAGCAGAGGAGCGACGCTCACAATAACGAGCGGAGCGCCGGGCGGCTAAAACACAACTAGTTGGCACAGTTGGGGGCAGAGGGAGTGCATCTGCCAGTCATCTCAATCAGTCAACCCATGGCACCTGGGTTTGTCCCGTGACCTCCTGTCAGCAAGCGTTCGACACTTCAAGTGGCCTCAAGTTGCATCTGGCCTGGCACGGGTACTGTGGTGACGTCACCGCCACTCTAGAGGTGAATGGCGGGTGTTGTTGGTGCTGTTGTAGTGTATACAATCACTGTAAGTGAATGCATAATCCTTACTCTGTCCCCTTTTGAGCCCACTGGCCCGACTGGCCCAGGATCACCCTGCAAGAATTAACACACACACACACGTATAGATACACACATACACACTCCCTTTGCTGAGGACAAATGCCCTCCTTCTCCTCCTCCTCCATGCCCATTACATCGTGACTCGGTCCAATGCTTGGACCAATCATCATCTAGAAACAGCGTTCAGATGTGGGGGATGGGGCTGGAGAGATACGCTGGGGGTGATCACAAACCTACAGTATGAAATCCCAAATAATTGCCAATAAATAGAGATTTACCAGAGAAAAATGTGTAGCGCCCCATTTAAAAATCTTCAGATTTGAGGACTGACCCCGTCCATTTGGGACGTTTCTCTATAATATCACATCTTGACATTGACGGTTTGGTCGCGTGATATTTACGCGGACTGAGAAACGAACAAACAAACTAACCCAAAACACCTCCGTTATGGATAATGTTGGTTGCGAAAGCCTACGCGTTAAACTGGGACGTTTATAGATCCACCTCTGCGTCGCAACTACACAAAGGTAATTAACGGTCAAAGTATAAAGGCAAAACAACAGCACAGCAACAAACTACGACAACAAAACTCTTGTGGGGTCACATGCCTCCTGAAAGGTCCACAATACAATTGCTGATTCTCACCTTTGGCCCCATAGCTCCAGGAGGCCCACGGAAGCCCTGCAACAACAACAACAACGAGAACCCCAATTAGACATAGATGATTCATTTGCAAACGTCAGAACCCTTGCGATATTCCAAATGTTAGTCTTCACTTTGAAGCGTTTCAGGGACTGTGCACAGACCTGCTCGCCAGGATCTCCCGGCTTTCCTGGTTGCCCTGGCAAACCCAGTCCAGCATCCCCCTAGAGCAGGAGTCAAAGCACAGCGTCAGGGGTCAAAACAAAAGCCACCCTTGATCATGTTACCATGGATAAAATTCGTAAAAATATATATATGTTTATATCTTACGTGCTGTCATGGGGTTTTTTTTGGTCAAAAGGTCAAGACTGATACAACATTTTCTTGCTCGGATATATTAATTAGTCTGAAAGGCCCACAGTCCACTTGAAGGTATCCAACTTGAAGGCATCTCTACAGTAGTTCCGTGAAAGCTCCTTCCACAGGCCATTCCCTGACATGAGAGGATGCACTGCTGCGCTAGAATTCTGGATACTTAATCGCATCACATGATGAAATCGCACGCGTGAAATACCATTGCCGATTCTTTTGTGTGGCACGTCAGCAGTCAAACCGCAGTGACATCGCGGGCGCTTCACACACGGTAAAAGAGCAATTTGGCATTTTGGGCGACACAGTTTCTTGTGACATTGCCCAGCTAAGAACTGCCTTCTAGGAGGGTCACTGACAGTCGTGGGAGAGAGTTGGCAGTGGAGAGAATACCTTGTCTCCATGGACCCCAGGAACGCCAGGGGGCCCAAGAGGCCCGATGATGCCAGGCAAACCCTGCTTGCCCTGGTGAAGGGGTGTCCAGCGAGGAGGAGGAGGGTTGGCGGGTAAGCGGGGAGACAAACAGGGGCAAGGTAGGTGAACCATAAATAAATAATACAAGAGGCCTATATCTAAGGACTGCGGCAATTCATAAGCAGCGATGCAGGAGTTAGCGCGTCACGCGATAAACCTGGCCACCTTAGTTCAATTCCTGGCCACGGTTAACAACCAGTGGCTAGTGTAATGTATGAACATGTCCATCCTGCCCAACCGCCCCACACTGACCAGTGTGATTGCAAAAGGGTGCAAAACTCGGTAAGCAGTGAACAAGCAGCGAGGCTTTTTGTCCAGATGCTGGCGCATCAACCTCGTTCTGGAGCGTTCACAAAACAGGGCGACTCAAGACAGCCACCCTGGTCCATCAGCTGACCAGCCACGCTCGACACTGACATGCCCTGTCATGGTGGTAAAATATGGTCAAACAACCCCCGTGACTGACACAAAGTGGGGGGAGTGAGGGGGAGGGGGGTATCATCCAGCAGTGGATTGACCAAGGGCTGTAAAATATGCATCATATAGTTAAGAAATGCCGCCAAAATCAGTCGGTATCCTCCGTTAAAGCGGGAGATGAAGAGAAATCACAGAGACGCCTGAAGCATTTCCTGTTGTGAGGGCCGCCTATTGGTGTGCCCTCATTACGCCGGCACTGGGGCCTCGTTAATTTCTACACGTGCTTTTTTGAGGCACTGTGGAGATTGAAAACCCATGTTTGGTTGGCATGACAAACGAAGCGTCGATGTATCAATCTTGATTTGAAGCTTTCCCACCTGATGATGGACGCTTGTGTTGCACCCGAAACGTCGTGATTTATTTTATTGTGTACCGACGTGACTATACCGAAAGAACCAAAGAGTATGCTTCGATGTATCAATAAACAATTGACACTGACGATACACATGATCGAATCTTGTGGGTGAGAGTTGAGTGTTTTTAGTTTACAGTGTTTAAATGTAGAGTCAATGTTTTGGTTTACATTCCGGGCTAATGGGTGTGAATTATATTGAACAAAGGAGAGAAATGAATCAAGGAAAATGAGAATGGATCAATGAATCGAATCACACATCGGAGTGCAGGAGGTTCAGACAATTTCATTCGTGAGATTTTGTCTTCGTGTGGGATAAACCGGAGCAGCCGGAGACTCTCCACCACAGATGAATACAACAATCCATCCCTGCACTTCTATCTCCTGGCCTCTTGCAGTAATGCCGGGTAATACCTGACAGTCTCTCATCCGAGTACAAACAGGGGATCAAAGCCTGCTCAGCTTCCTTTGTGACAATATCGGATGCATTCAAGGTGATTTTGGTGACTGGCTACTAACGTATCGCTGGCCTGCAGAGGAAAACAAAAAAGCAGTTTTGGGCAACGGCCCTTCTGATGAAGATGAAGAAGGGGCATCGCCCAAAACGTCGTCTGTGATATATTGTAATCATTTTATGGGCTGTGTTGTCGATGAAAGTGTGGCAATTTTGTTACTTGTGGCTTGTGCGCCACTGCCGACGCACTAATGCACTGTTTTTTTTTACCAACGCGTTCGTAAGGAGATATCAGTGAATACGTCAGTATATGAGTACACGCGTGCGTCTGTGTGTGAGCGTTGCGTGCAGGAGAACGCACGGGCAGTCCTGGCTCCCCCTTCTCTCCGAACTCTGCCGCCGATCCTGCAGGGCCCTGTGAAGACATTCGCAGCAGAGACACAGGTCACCCGTTCCACGTACGGTGCGAAATAAGTTCAACATGCACACATACATACACCGTTATTGGTCGTGAGTGGGTTTGTAGCGTGGTGGGCTAACCACTACCCTACTGCTCCCCACGAACACACATCTACAAAGACAAATATCCCCCATATAGCCTTTAATACACTTTTGGGACGAGTGCTGTTAGCGAGGACCTTTGAAGGCCGGCACGCCAGACGAGGGGGTGGGTGGCCAGCACCACGCCTGGCCGCCTTTGTCTCCCTAGTGGCAATGTTTATACACCGTACCAGGTACTCATTTGAGGCTGAGTCGACCTAGGGGAGGCCCGGGACCGGTTCAGATAATCGTCACTGGTGTTGGCCGTGAGCGGGAATCGAACCCGGGTCGCCAGGTTCATAGCACAGCGCGCTAACCGCTACACTACCGCTCCCCACACATACACACACTTACCCACACACACATACACACACACTTACCCACACACACACACATACACACATATACACACACATACACAAACATATATACACACATACACACACACACTCACAGGGGTGTGAAAGGAATCAGGTCGAGCGTGAGTATGCTGCGGTTACACTTCCCAGATGGGGACCTGGCCTGTGACTTATCGCCGCTCACTGCCCTGTCAGTCACACCGCCTCTTGCCACAGCTCACCAGGCACTCACCAATTTAGCCCTCCCACCACGACACACAACGCACCAGTGGGCACTAGCACGTCACGGTGATTTGACAAATCAAGTAAAAATTCAACATGAGTATCGGTGCGGTCAAAGGAGGGAATTAACCGAAGAGGACGTGCATCACCGTGGAGATGGAGTAATGAAAATAGATTGTGCACAGGGGCTAGGTGGAGTGTTGTTGCATCCAAGGACCGTGTGAGATGGCGATGGCTTAGGGAGGCCGTCATTCACCAGGGGATGAATCATGGCCGACAATGATGATGGCATGATGGCACAGTGGTTTGCGTGCTACACTATGAACCTACACATTTTTATTCCTATGCAGGGGTGGAGCGGTAGTGCAGTGGTTAGCGCACCATGCTATGCACTCGGTGACCTGAGATTGATTCCCGGCCACGGTTAACAGCAGTGGCGAGCGTCATCTGAAATGGTCCTGGGCCTCCCCGTTCAGTAATCCGCACTGACCAGCGTGGTGAATTATGGCCAACCAACCACTATGATGGATATGACATGAGGAGGCCTTCAACTGGTGGTGGATTGATAAAGGGATATAAAAAAGAGAGAGCCAAAAAGTCAAAGTCGTCTTTTGTAACAACAGTTAGCCTTGCAGAACAAGTCCGAATTATAATTTGTTTATCCGAAAACCCTCGCTTGCGTTGTGAAGGAAATTGTCAGAAAGATCGTAAAATCTGGGGATGTTTGGCCAATTTTCTTCTTCAAAGACTTGATGATACTGGGAACGAAACTGGTGCTGCCTGACAGAATTGATTACCGCGGCGCTGCGTTCACTGCAAACAGACTCGTCCCACCACTGACAGTGATCTTACACGGATGCGTCTGTGAGCACGGACATCGTAAATATCACAACGTTCGTTCGTGTTTTTTTTCAAGGAAAAATAAATAAATGAAACATGATCGTTACCCTCTCGCCCATCTCGCCCTTGCTTCCCTGGAAAACACATCAAGCACACGCTGTCATGAACGAGGGAAGCAAAGCAGGTCAAGGCGCAGCCCTGCGATGACTTGCCAACGGCACTGTTGCCGGAACGGTTTCTCCACGAGACGGAGCTCGCGAGAGCCCCTCTAGAAGTAAGGAAGCATGCAAACCTTTGTAGATCGCGGTTTTTATTTTATTTGAAACACTGCTATTAAACAGGAGCTCCTCTACTTACGAACGAGTTAGGTTCCAGAGGTATGTCCGTAAGTCGATTTGTTCGATTCCAAACGTGTTGTACGGCATATACATTAAACACGGGGAATGGCTTTAAAATTTGTATCATCACCTGTAGATGTAGATGCCTCTGGTTCTTCACTTTCTGCAGATGTAAATGCCACCACCGCCAAGTATTTCGAGGCGGTTGAATTTTCGACTCTCGGTCCGAACAGGCAACTGGACATACGGACCAGGTTTGTTCGTATCTCTGACAGTTCGTAAGTCGAATGTTCGTAAGTAGAAGAGTCCCTGTAATATCAAAGCACTTGCGGTTCACGCCAAATACAACATTCTCTTTTAACACGGAGCAGGCTTGCTCGACTGATATTACGACTCACAATTGATTATCTTCCAGTCAAATCGCACGAGTAAAAAGCGTGTCATACACTCTCCTTCGTGACGACCAGCAAAACGTCTGCACCCATGTGTTAAGTGCACGTGTTGATCGCTCTTCGGCAACACAACTGGTGGTGCTGCTAAAGCAGCAACACGTTGGCACAATTGTTCATCACGTGACAACTTCATCAATCGGTCGTGTCGGGTAGAGGACGGTATCCGAATCACATCATGCGCTACACACGGCTTCACGTGAACGCGAGTACAATTCAATTTGCACCAATCCCTGTCGTACGTAGAGATTTGCCTAGGAGTACAGGTGTCGCAAATATGGTGAGTGGCCAAATCGATGTCTACAGGCACGTGTGTGTGTGTGTGTCTTTGCGCGATTCTACAGGTATACGTGTGCACGTGTCCGTGTGCATGCATGCCTCTCATACAGTATTCCTTCGTTATTCGTGAGGGATATGTTCCGGAGATGCTCGTGAATAGCAGATTTAGCGGATGATGATAATATTTTTAATAAATTACCATAAATATATAAAGAATAACTCTCATCACTTTCTCTCTCGTCACTTCCTCTCTCTCTCTCTCTCGATGCAATTGTGTAGAGTTCCAGATGTGATTCGCTTGTTTGTGCGCACGCATACATTTGCGTACGCGCTCGTGAATATGGGTGCAAGCACGTGGTGTGTACATCCACGTACGTCTACGTGAACACGCCTGAGCACATGTATGTGAAAGTGTGCGTGCACGCATGCGTGCGTGTAACATCTGTGCACACGTGCGAGAGGGCACGCCTTGAATGTGCCCGTATGCGTTCGTATGCACAGTATCTGTGCGCACGTGACTTGTGTTCGCGTGCGCGTGTTTACATGCGCGTGTGTGCGTTCATGTGCGCGTGTACACGTGCGAGTGTGTGCACTTCACGCTCATGCCCGCCCACCTTGATGGACATGCCTGCCGTTCCCGGTGCGCCGGGCATACCCGAAGGACCGGTGTCTCCTCTGAGGCCAGGCGATCCGGGGGACCCAGGGAGGCCCTGACACGGGGGGGAACGGAGTCGGGTCAAGGTCACGTGAGGTTTAAGATGGCAGTGTGTCAAACCGTACAACTACAAAACACGTAAAACACCACTCTAGGCACAAAGTTGGCTGTAGCTTGGCAACCTTGCTACAGCTGGAGACCGCTCGCTCTCCTGTGCCGCCCCGCGAAACTCCCTCCCCCCTACCAAACATTTAGCTGCGTGCGTGCCACTGGGCCCCCGGCAGGTCGAGCCCACTCGCCCCCTACGTTCAGCTTCAGTCAACGCGTCAAATGTACGCGGGCTATCCCGATGTTGGAATGAGCATCGTATGGGACTGACGCAGGACGTTTATAAAACTTGCGTCTGATGCAACAGGGGCAGTGCCATCAGGGCGGGGGGGGGGGGGGGGGAGAATGCAAAACGATTGCTCACCATTGGGCCTGGCTCCCCTTTCCGGCCGGGAATCCCTCCGGATCCATCCACCACAGGGCCCGGTTCCCCCTGTGGTAAGTTAAAAAAAGGAAGAGGTGAGAGGCGGTACGGTTGAGATTCAAATCACAGTTGTAATCAGGAGGAAAATAAGCAACACGTGACGGATTCCATTCAGGCACGCTCATGATCAGCGCGCTGCTGTGAAGCTGATGCGTTAATCGCAGCACATGGCACTTGCAGGGGCCACTGCCCAGAAACCATTCGAAATTTAGAAATTGGTGAGTTACCCATTTTAAACGGATAACACGTCGACTCGAATGCGCTGCATTATTTATCATAACTTCCGAGTGGAAACCCGGAAATTAAGACACTGAAAATTAAAACAGCGTGGGCCATCGCAGCGCTCAGCGTCAGATCTGCGCTGATCCGGCACGGAATTTCTAAATCTCCCAGCTGCGGGTACATTCCCCATTGCTGCGTAATTGACTAAACCTGGGCCACAATCAGCTGCATCTGGGGCAACCGTCACCACAAATCAGCGGCACGCGCCACTCTGGGTAATCGTGACCGCGTGCGCTCGCACAGAGTCCGACCCTTTGCGCCCGCCCCCCCCCCCCCTCCTCTAAAGCAGCTGGGGGAGAGAATTCCATCCTGCCAAGGGGGTTGGGTCAGGGGTCAGGGGTTAGGCACGCACACAGCACAACACACGGTACAGCACGCACGGTACGGAAATCGATCACTAGTACAGGGCACGCAATACAGTGCATGGCCACAACAGCACACACAGTACCACGGCACACGTTGCAGCACGTACAATACAGCATACACAGTGCAGCAGACAGCATACCACACAGTACAGCGCACATAGTGCAGATCAAAGTACTCCATGCATAGCACATCACAAACAGTACAACACACAGTCCAGCACTCACAGCATAGAAAATGCAGTACGGAAAGGACAGTACCGCACGTGGCCAGAGTCCTGTACAGCATGCAGCTACGATGCAATCACACTCACGGGACAGCACGTACTGCTGTAGCACCCACAGTACAGCACATGTGCCAACCCTACTGATTTACGTGACTCAAATACATTTCACTGCAGACCGATGTTCAAAGCTAACCCTACCGCTTTGTACAAATTTAGAAAATACTTTTTTTATATATATAATTCTTAGCTTTGAAAATCAGCGCACAGTACAAGGGTAATAAATGTGCAGCCTACCCCTATTCTATTCCTGTGTATGGCAATATGAACAGGAGCTAGACGTCAATGTCAATGACGAGAGGGCTTCAGCCGAGAGTTTGTGTAGTTTTGCTGCTCCTCCTCCGTTGAAGTTCGGTTTCGCCTACCGCTTACACCAGTAGGCTCCTTCAGGAACACTGCCTTAACAAGACAAAGTAGTACACACCTATGGGATAAAGAAGTGTGCAAGTGAAAGAAATATAAGAGAAGTTAGAATTAGGTAAAACTTGAGGCAATGGCCCTTCCTCACAGCACATAGCGAGGACCAGAGAGGAAGCATGGATGAGGGTTGAAGACAGCGCTTTGAATATCCAGGCAGCAACAGCATCACCAAATATTAAGGTTTGTCACGTAAACAACACATGCCAATTCGTTACAAGTACAGCACACCGGTGTGTTGGAGAGTAAACCCACAACATTTACAATTGGAGTACGTCGTTTCGCTGGTAATTACAACCAGCCTCATCAGGCGACAGCCAGAGTTGTGTTTATACCAGCAGCATTGCAGTGAAGTGCAGCACCAAATCACAGGACAGCACGTGCGATACAGCGTGGACAGCATAGCACAGCATAGCACACAACAGTCACGGTACAGCAACAAGCAATACAAACATGACCCCAGTACAGCACACGGCCAGGGTATGAAGCACAATTGAGGTACAGCCACATGCACGCACAGCGCAGAGGACGATCGCTCACCTTCACTCCCTTGCTTCCCATGAGGCCATTCAGACCCGAGCGGCCCTAGAAGGAGTTTCACAAGAGGATTTGTTACTCACGTCTGTTTGAATTTGCATCACCTACGTTGACACTGAAATGAATCAACAAACATAAGCACAGTAGCCCAGGGGCCACTGGAGAAATTAATGCAACTAAAGAAAAATTAATTCAACAAGACCCGTCTATAAATAACAAACATTATTTGCACGCTGTACAATATCCAAGAATAATATCGACCATGGTTACGCTGCTATTTCCCGTTCCAAAAATAAACCAATGAATCTCAATACTGCAACTCTCGCATTCTTAGCAAATTAAAGCAGTCTCAGGGACTGCCACTTACAGCAGTCTCAGCACCGAGACTATGTCTCTACGTGTTTTCGTGTCGGCTTTCCCTTAGTTTGTGTCTCTGTATTTCTTGCTCTGCCTTTTTGTTTGTCTGTGCGCATCTGTATCTACGTGCCCTGGTGTGCAGCCACCGCATGCCCAAGCAGCTTCTGTTTGGTCGTATAGAGGGGGCTAAACGGGCACCTGGCCTGGCACAAGCACCGTGGAGACGTCCCCGTCATTTAGCGGCGAATGGCGGCTGCTGTTGTGTGTCTCTCTGTTTGGCTGTATCTGTCTCGCTGTGTATCTCTAGTTGGTCCCGCTATGTTTCTGTGTCTACTTTTCTATCTATGTTTCTCTGTCCCTATCTTCCCAACGTGTGCACACTTTTCTTATGGCCCTCTTACATTTTTGGCACCCCCCTCGCAGCTTTGCTGTCTGGGCGGCTGCCCTCACTGCCCACCGCTAAGGTCGTGCGATACTCACGGGTTCACCTGGTTGGCCGGCTGGTCCCTGCACCCCCTAAATAGATGAGGCACACAATACGAATACATAATATTGGTAAGTGTAATATAAGCATTTAATCAGAATCTTTATTTATTCTGGAGAAAAATCCGATGAGCCACAAAGCTCTTTTTTCACAGGTGTCCAGGAGGGGGGGATTCAGATGACAACAAATACAAGATTTAACAGATAGATTACACGTGTGTGAGCCGTATGTGTGCACTGTATGTACAGTGAGGTGAGGCAGTTACTTGGTTTTACCTGTGGGCCCTGTGTTCCCTGCGGACCTGGGTTGCCCGGGCGACCAGGTTGTCCTGGTAACCCATCCTGGCCTGGCAAACCCTGCACGCAGGTGACAGCACTGTGAGTCTCCTCCCTCCATTTGGAGCCCATGCCTCTCTCTGTTCCAGGTTAAGGCGGCGCAGCCCTGCGAATACTTGCTCATGCCACTGCTGGAGGAAGGGCCTTCCACTATACAGGCCCCCGCTAGAGCGGGTGATTTATCCAACTATTCCAAGCTGGCGCTGGCCAGGCATCTTGAAAGAGGTGGCTATACCCATACTTTACCCGACTGCACGTAACCTGCGGATCGAATGCGGTATACCCCGTTAATGCTGCTCGGTAGACAGGAACACAATGCTTCAACCACCGTGCCAGATCGAACCGGCGACCTCTGGATTGCAAGTCCAGTTCTCTAACCGCTACACCACGGCAGCATTCCTAAATCCAAGAATTCTCACTTTAAACTATCAATAGAAATGACGGATACTGGTAAATGTGAAATATGGATCAGGAAGAGGTGCGATAATTAATTCTGCCACATTTCTGGGAGGCGTAACCAGGCCACATGGTGAGGGGCTCCCCGACCTCCATGAGCCCTGCCCACTTTTACATCGCCCCACCCATAAACCACTAGACCCACTCAATGCTCAAGTGACCCTGCCCACTACCCAAGTAGCTCTGCCCACTGCTCAGGTGGCTCCGCCCATTACTCAGGTAGTCCTGCCAATCGTCCACATAATAATTTGAACATATCAGGCCAGCAAATATTTAATATTAACAAAATCCTAATGTTTTGAGGGTACCCCAATGGATTCTCCCTTATCGCCAGTGGTAGCGAATGTTTTCATGGAGAAATTTGAGACAGATGCCATTCAGACATCCACCCTACGTCATTCCTTGTGGAAGAGATATGTGGATGACACTTTCGTCGTCTGGCCACATGGCCTGCCAGCACTGAACCAATTTCTCAACCACATCAATTCCATACACCCGTCTATCAAATTCACCATGGAAGTGGAAAAGGATGGCACGCTACCATTCCTGGATGTTTTGATCGAGAAGAGACCTGATGGCTCGTTGGGACATTCGGTCTACAGGGAGCCACCCACACGGATGCCTATCTAAAGCCTGACTCCCACCATTCAGCCCAGAAGAATTCCCTCATCAAAACACTACACCATAAGGCCCGTAGCATCTCCTACCAGCACCACCTAGCCAGTGAGCTGGAGAACGTACAACAAGCCCTCAGGATGACCGGATACTCGGACCGTACAATCCGAAAAGCTGCCTCCCGAGCCATTGGGAGACAACCTTCTGAGCATCCAGCCAAAACCATCACTTTGCCATACATAGCAGGGGTTACCAAAAATATTTCCAAAATCTTAAACACAGGATCCAGGTTCGTTTCAACACAGTACACAAAATCCGTGATTTAATCCCATCTGTAAAGGATGCGATTCCTGACATGCAATACCCTGGTGTCTACAAACTGAGTTGTGGTTGTGGCAGCAGTTACATTGGTGAAACGAAACGACATGTCTTGAACCGCGTTCGTGAACACAAGGCAGATCTGAAACACGGTAGGACCAATACCTCTGCCATTGCTGATCATTGTTTTAACGCTGTGGGCTCACACGAAATTGATTTTTCCAAGACGGAGGTACTATGCAAACCTACCGGCTACCTTCAGAGATTTGTTCATGAAGCCATCCAGATATATAAACACAGACACAACTTCAACCGAGAAGATGGGTACAAACTGAGCAATCATTGGAAGGACGTTATTAACCAGGTAAAGTCTTAACTGACTGTGATGTTTCAATCCTACCTGCCTATGTCAGCTGTTATTTCCGACTCTGTGTCTCTCTCTCTATGCCTCTCTCTTAGATCTCTCATGCTCACATGCCCTTTGCATTGCACTCTCATGCCTTTGGATTGCACTCTCATGCCTTTGGATTGCACTCTCATGCTCTCATGTCCTTTGGATTGCACTCTCATGCTCACATGCCCTTCGGATTGCACCCTTTGGGTTGCACTCCCTCGTCGAGGAGGCCGCTCTCCTCCTTTTCTAAAGTTACATGCTAATCTCTCACATTAACATCATGCTAATCTCTCACATTAACATAGCCACTTCCGTGCCCTCGTCCAGAAGGCCGCTCTCCTCCTATCTTACAGTTACATGCTAATTTCTCACATTAACATCACTAGCCCCGGCCACTTCTTTATAACCCTTAGGCTACACCCATTTCAAACCTTTTAAAAGTCTGCCTCAGCAGCAGACCCACGCTTTCCCACCTGATGACGGACGCTTGTGTTGTGCCCGATACGTCGTGAATTATTTTATTTTATACCTACGTGACTTTACCGAAAAACCAAAGAGTATGGATTCCTGCAGTCACAAAAGCTTCAAATCAAGACTGGCACAGCCTTTTTGAACCCACTTTAACTTTCCTGGCCAAACCACAACGTGTGGTTGCTTTAGTGGCAATTCGCATTCAAGCGGCACCAGGTTAGGACAAAGCTATCGCTGTCCGCCTAACCCTGTCACGGGCCTTTTGGAACTCGACATTGTTAGTGATTTTTTTTGTTTGGCAGACGCAGCTGAGCACCGGAGACACAAAGCAAGGCCACTGCGGTCGCCAGGAGGATGAGCTCGAGACGTCACGGCGTCGCTCGGAACCGGGGCAGCCGGGGCAGCCAGGTGCTCACCCGCTCTCCTTTCTTCCCTTTCTCTCCACCGCCCCCGCTGCCAGGAACGCCGGGCTCGCCGGGAGGTCCCTGCACCACAGAGCACAGGATCGTGAGCGATGGCGACGTCCTGGCGAGGCGTTCGTCCAGCAGTGGATTGAGCATGGCTGATGAGGAGTGTGTACTTAAGTCCACTCGTAGCTTGTGTGTGTGCTGAGTACGAACATGTAAGTGTGCGAGTGTGCGAGCGTGTGTATGTATGTTTTTCGCATGTGTGAGTGTGTGTATGTAAGATGATAAGTGTGTGACTTTACGTTTGAGTGTCTGTGTGTTAGTTCGTTCGTGTGTATGTACAGTTTGAGTAATTGTGAGTGTGTGTTTGTATTGTACGTGTGTCAGTGTTTGTATGTTTGTGTGCATGTATGTGTTTGTTAGTGTGTGCGCGTGTGTTTGTATGTATGTAAGTGTAAACGAAAGAACCAAAGAGCAATTCCTGCAGTCACGAAAACTTCAGATCAAGTTATGTAAGTGTTTGTTAGTGTGTTTGTGAGTGTATGTAGGTGTTTGTTAGTGTGTGTTGTGGGTGTTTGTTAGTGTATGTTTGTGTGTTTGTGAGTGTATGTAGGTGTATGTTAGTGTGTTTGTCAGTGTATGTAGGTGTTTGTTAGTGTGTTTGTGAGTGTAGGTAGGTGTATGTTAGTGTGTTGTGAGTGTTTGTTAGTGTGTTTGTGAGTGTATGTAGGTGTTTGTTAGTGTGTTTGTGAGTGTAGGTAGGTGTTTGTTAGTGTGTGTTGTGAGTGTTTGTTAGTGTGTTTGTGAGTGTATTTAGGTGTTTGTTAGTGTGTTTGTGAGTGTAGGTAGGTGTATGTTAGTGTATGTTGTGAGTGTGTGTTGTAAGTGTTTGTGAGTGTTTGTTAGTGTGTGTTGTGAGTGTTTGTATGTGAGTGTTTGTTAGTGTGTGTTGTGAGTGTATGTTAGTGTGTGTTGTGAGTCTTTGTATGTAAGTGTTTGTTAGTGTGTTTGTGAGTGTGTTTGTGAGTGTGTGTAGGTGTTCGTTAGTGTGTTTGTGAGTGTGTGTTTGTATGTAAGGGTTTGTTAGTGTGTGTTGTGAGTGTTTGTTAGTGTTTGTGAGTGTTTGTTAGTGTTTCTGAGTGTATGTTAGTTTGTTAGTGTTAGTGTGTGTTGTGAGTGTTTGTGAGTGTTTGTTAGTGTGTGTTGTGAGTGTATGTTAGTTTGTTAGTGTTTGTGTGTGTTGTGTTTGTGAGTGTTTGTGAGCGTTTGTGAGTGTTTGTGAGTGTGTGTTGTGAGTGTTTGTTAGTGTTTGTTAGTGTATGTTAGTGTTTGTTGTGAGTGTTTGTGAGTGTTTTTGAGTGTTTGTGTTGTGAGTGTTTGTGTACCAAATCTCCTCGTAGACCTGGAGACCCTTGTGCACCTCTCCTGCCCTGTGGGTTCACAAAGACACAAAGACAAATATCCCCCGTATAGCCTTAACAGTGAGTTGGGGCAAGTGCTACTATAGAGCACCAATGATGGCCAAGACATCACACTCTGATGGTTACACAATGCACCAGGTACTAGCAGAGGCACAGGACTCATTCAAATATTCACTACTGTTATTGGTCATGAGCAGGAATCAAACTCGGGTCTTTTGGTTCAAGGTGCAGTGTGCCATCCACTACACTGCTCTTCCCCACATTATATATACTTACACTCACACACAAAGATCGGCTGTATAGCATTGAATAGACTAGGGGCAAGTGCTGTTAGCGAGCACCTATGAAGGCCAACAAGGCGCTTGAGAGGGTTGGTGGCCAGCACCACGCCCAAGCCGCCTTTGTCTCCCGAGTGCAACAACAGCCGCCATTCGCCACTAAGTGGCGGTGACATCACCACGGCGCTTGTGTCAGGCTAGGTGCATTCTGAGGCTATGTGAAGTGTCGAAGGCTAACTGTCAGGAGGTCATGGGACAGAGCCAGGTGCCATGCATAGCCTGACTGAGATGACATAAATGTACCTAAACATGCCTACACACATACAGTACACTGACATTCATAAACACATTGATACAAATGCACACAAACACAAAACCGAACATACATACAAGTGGCATTTCCGTATGAACGTGGAGTTTCCACCAATGGCTCAGTGCTGCTATGAACATATATGAGTTAAATATGCATGTACAAATAGCGCTGCTGTATAACGTACCATTTCTCCTTTTGCACCCTGTAAGAAAAAAAATATAAGTGAAATTACGGCCATGGTTTAATTTCATATAGCGTCATCATTCATGTGAATCGCAGATCAAGACGCTGGAGAATTTTGTGCCGGACGAGTGGGGAGGCAGGCAGAACTGGTGCCAAGTCGAATCGTCGTGTGCCGGACTGCAGGTCCAGTGTTTGCTGCTATCCATTACACTGGCAGCATCCCACGCGTCCGGCATACGCAAATGAATACTTTGAAAAACATGCAGATTTTTCCAAAAAATGTAAAAATTCGGAGGAAATCTGCAGTCACGGTATAAATTCCTAAGTGGTGGTCGCGGTGGGCCGATGCGCCGTCGCGGAGGCTGGCCGTCTCACCTGCGGGCACTGGATGACGCACGGCTCCACGGGCCTCTGCAGCGACAGGGGTGGAGGGAGCAGAGACACGTGCTCACTTCGTAATGTGACTTCCGTCGGGTGGCACAGCGCAAATATTGAGCAATGGTTCATTCAGCAGGAGCATAGGTGGAGTTTGACTTATATTTTTTTGGGGAGGGGCAGGGGTTCTCTTTTTCCACGTAATTATATTTTTTTGAATCTTAATTGTAACTACTAAAAATAAATTTAAAAATGTGTACAGCTTGGGATGGGCGTTGCCAACCCGCAAATTCCTCCCATGAGTAGTAGATTCGCCTACTCCTTATCGTTCTGCTATTGCTACTACGATCGTTACTGTCCCCCTGGCATTTACTCGTCAATTCCTCCACCCTTGTTGAGGACTCGGTCTACCAGACATTGATTCTTTCATTTCCTCCACACTGACCGAGTTCACCCACCACACTGCAGGTCACAACAACACACTCACCCACTCACCTACTCACTCACCCACTCACTCACCCACTTACTCAACCACCACAACAGAGGTCACAACAACACACTCACCCACTCACTCACCTACTCACTCACCCACTCACTCACCCACTTACTCACCCACTTACTCAACCACCACACCAGAGGTTACAACAACACACTCACCCACTCACTCACCTACTCACTCACCCACTCACTCACCCACTCACTCAACCACCACACCGGAGGTCACAACAACACACTCACCCACTCACTCACCTACTCATTTACCCACCACGCTGCAGGTCAGAACGCTTCTCTTTCTGCAGATTCGCCTGCACTGCTTCACTTTGTAATTCCCTCCCAATCGTCTCTATTGCCAAGCTCTGAGCACGTTGGTCAATTGAAGAAACTTGTTACAATCTGATCTATTGCAACGTCGTGCTGCTTGTTGATGGTCGTTTGATATTTTTGGCCTTTGGGACCACGCTAGGCATTATAGCGGCGGTCGGAATAAAATTGGAGCTAAAGCCACGAGCGAAGAACCGCGCCCGCACTGTGAGCGTGCGTGGGTGCGACGCCGCGCACTGCTGCTCCTGTTGGTTGTGGTGGTCGTGGTGGCACAGTCACCGGCGGTATGACGGGCTCGACCGCTCCCTGGCACACGGACTCGGCGAGCTCCTCCCCGATCGCCGTCAGGTCCTCGAACGAGTCGGCAAAGTAGACGGAGCGGCGTCGGCCCGGCAAGGGCCCGGCCTCCGGCTCCCCCGTGATGATGCGGAGCTCCGCCGGGTCTGAGCTGCCCACTCCCACCGCATACACGCGCACGCCTGCCCGCGGAGGAGGCACGCGCCCGCATTTACGAACGTACGTTAGGAGAGGTGGCACGGCCCAAGGGTAGCGTGTTTTGCCGCTTGCTGCAGCGGTCCGCGGCTCGAATCTCGCAATGCCACCCTGGCTATTACCGTGGGTATATTGCCATTAGCCGCGGCCGGGAATTGAACTCTGGTGGCTAGGTTCATGGGCACAGTGCACTAACCTCTGCAGCACCACTCCCTATGCACATACGCACGCACGCATGCACATGCATTCCCCTACGTACAATACAGTGTTCCCGACCCTTGACCCCGGAGCCGTGCGTCTGCTGCACGCGGTTACCGGCGGCACGGGCGTGCCACGCGGGGGCCGACACGTTGTCCTGGGAGCGGCCGTCCGTGACGACGATGAGAAGGTTGGGGGTGTCTGGGCGCATCCCGGCGTCGCGGAGGAATATGGTGGACAGCGCAAACTCGATCGCCCGGCCTGCATGCTCACAAGTGCCGAGACGCAGCGAGTGAACACCGTGAGCGAGCGCCTGTTAAGGTGAGGAGCACAGACGGCACGTGGCCTTGGTGGCTCAATGGTAGAGCGGGCGGCTCGCAATCGGAAGGTTGCGAGTTGACATCCTGGTTGGGGGTTGACTCATCGGTGTGACCACGGGGAGGCTCGTTGAGCTGCTGCAGCAGCGTGTGTGTGTGTGCTCGCTAACAGCACTCGCTAACAGCACTCGCTCCAACAGTCTGTTGAGGCTATTTGTGTGCATGTGTGCGTGCGTGTGTGCGTACCGGTCCGTGTGTTGCCCCCCATGTAGGGCAGGCTGCGGATGGCCTGCAGCAGCAGCTCGCGGTCACGGTACTCGTTCAGCAAGAACTCCTTGCGTGGGTCGGTGCTGTACTGCACCACCGCCACCTGCACACGGCGCGATCGCGCGATGATCGGTGACGCCGGCCCGAGCGTTTTGCTGCTCGCCGCAGAGGTTCGTGGTGCGGTGAGCCCAGCGGCCTTCCTGATAAATACTGCGATGCGTACGTGAACCAAGAACATACCCGCCGTCTACTGCGCATTGACAGGCAAACTGATATTTTAATTCTCAAGCTGGAATTTCGGCAGATTGAGGGCAGAACTAAAATGGAACATGACACTTTCTTTTTTGTGCAGTCATTCGTGACCGGGCTCAATCCATCAACTCTCTGATTTAATCACGGGCGGGTGCCTGGATGCGAACCCAGCATCTCAGCTGTGCGAGCTCGGCGCTCTGACCACCGAGCCCCCCGACCACCGTCCGGCCACCGTGCGTCTTCCTTGAAGTCGTTCTGACAGCCACCAAAGCCGTCGTGGGGTTGGCTGGGTCATAAGGCCGTGGAGCTGGGCATCTTTGTTTAATTTTTTATTTTACCAGCTAAGGCCCACTGAGCTGTATAGCTCTTTTTAAGAAGCGACCTGGCTATGAGAAATGATAACTCAACGAAGTCGGCTTATCACGTTGAAATTTATAGCGGCCAAATACTCTAAACGCGCGATGTTGAATCTAAATGTGGAGGGAAAAACCGGAGGGCCCGGAGAAAAATCCACGCGACCACGGGGAGAGAGAGAGACATGCAAACACCTGCGTGGTGTCGGGCCCGATGGTGGGGAAGGAGGAGGCAATGCGATGGAGGAACTGTCGCACGAGGGCAAAGTTCTCCAGGCCGATGCTTGTGGAGCCATCGATGAGGAACACGATATCTCCCCGGGCCTTGCTGCAAACTGCCAAGATGGCAGCGGGCACAGAAGGAGGGGAGGGGGTGGCACGAGGTAGAATTGGCACAGCTGTCAACCCATACGGTTTACCCCGTATCCTTGTACAGGGAATTTTAGTTTTCAGGTCCACGCGGCGTACAGCCGTTTCAATGAGGGCAAAAAAAAGACAATTTTTTGTCTATTTGTTTGTGTTTCTCCCTTGTGATGAGACTTTGTAGGATGAACGTTGGGATTTATAAGGGCACGTGGCGACCAATAAGGTCTGAATTGGTCTGTAATAAGGTAGGCACTGATAAGGGGTTGACAGGTATGTATTGGACAAAGCAAAACGACCATGAGACCAAAACATGAAAATAAAAGACTCTTTGTCAGGAGGCTCGTGCATGATTTTTTTATTTCGTTTGTTTACTTAGGAAAGCCTCAATGATTCTCAACATTTTGAGGAGGGTCCTGCAAAGTTTTCTCTGTGGGGGACGATGATTGCTGTGTGTCTCCCGATTAAGTAGTTTCCATCTAATTTTTTTTATTTGGACTGTAGCACTGGCATGCAATGGTCTACTGTTCATTGAAGTCACAGCATCCGTAATGTCCATCATAAAGCAGGTTCATATTTTTCGGAGATTACACCCGCGGTATAAATGGTTTATTTACACGTGCAGTATTAACCAGGGTGGCTGGCTGGATTCGAACCGTGACTCACTGCATTAACCGGTGAACATGCTACCAATGGGCAATGTCACTGCCCCGTTAGCATCGCAATGTTTTAAGCGGTGTTGTCACCAGTCCACCGGACCTGAGGCACTCAAGAGCTCCCTCTCGTGGAGTTCCTCCTGTCAGTAAGACATTGCAGGGCTGCACCTGTACCTTAGACCGGACGCTGGACATCGAAACGTTTAGGGCGGCACCTTTGCGTCAGGTGATAGGGGAGGGGGGCGCGAGCGGTGAGCGGTGAGAGACGAGGGAGTCGGAGGAGAGAGAGCCACTCACCGACGAGGTGGGTGAGCGACGCGGGCTGCCCCTCTCCCGTGGTGTGCATGGGGGTGAGCTTGAAGAGGTAGGAGCGACCCATCTGCAGATTGGCGACGTTGAACGACGTCTGCTCGGGGCGCAGGGTCACAAACTGCTCCCTGGTTTGCTCCGGCGCTGCGGAGCGAGGGCACGAGCACAGTGTAACGACGCACGGATTGCACGGGGAGCATGCCCCCGACTTCACAGCCCAGCGGTACCCACCAGTACCCCCCGGTGCGCGTGTTACACGTAATCCTGCACGTTGCTCCCTCAACAACGAGCGAATCGCCTCGACTCGTGTCTGGGCGAAGTTCACGAAAATGCTCCGGCGTGATCTCGTCAGATCTCGGACGCTAAATGAAACTATAAAAACTAGACTATTTTTTATTTTACCAGGTAAGGCCCACTGAGCTATGTGGCTCTTTTTCAGAAGGGCATAAATGATAACTCAACAAAGCGGCTTATCGTGTGGAAATAAATTGCAGCCAAATACTCTAGATGCACGTTTAGAGTAAAAATCCACGCCACCACGGGGAGAACATGCAAACCCCGAATATGCAGTGGTCAGGGTCGGGATCGAGCCCACAACCTCCTGTATACCAGGTGAGGTAGTTAACTTCACGCCACCGTGGTGCCCACAGTTGCGAGACGAAGGAAGGGCGACCACCGTGTTCCGGCGCTGCGATGTGGGCAGGACAGAAGACGATGCAGCAAAATCCCACGTGGTCCTGCATTGTCCCCAAACGTCTATGCTCCTCACCTTCACTGACACGCAGTGACCGGCGCAATGAGGTATGGTCACATGACCCCCACGACCGGAAACCTACATTTCCACAACCGATAGCACCATCACCAACGGCACCACCTCTCTACACATTCAAGCACTCGGCTCTCTCTGTCGTTTAGTAGCCTTCATCAATCCGCTGCTGGAGGAAGGCCTCCCCATGCCATGGGGGTCATTTAACCATACTTCACTACATTCGTCAGGGCAGGTTGGTGAAAAAATTGTGGGGAGCAAGCACCGATTCTGATATCACTCGCCACTGATGTTAGCCGTGGCTGGGAATCAATTGTAGCCCGGTCGCTGAGCTAGTAGTGCACCGCGCTAGCCAATGTCCCACCTCTCACCTCTACAAGCGATCACAATAGCCGACAAGAAAACCCATCATCCAGATAAGGGCGTGCAGGCCAAAAATCAAGCGCACATCGTCCAACCAAGAGAGTTGATGGAGAATTCAAAAGCTCAACGGGAAGTCCCAGCATGCTTTGCAGGTCAAGATGATATCACACAGCAGGTTATGGCCCCCAGCTTAAAATCTGACAATGTCACCCAGCAACAGAAGCAGTAGCAGGACAGCACAGTAACTCTACAGCAGTGCCATCGTTATTCATATTCATCGGCACGGCACAGCCCAGTGCCGCTCCTCTTCCAGTTTCCCTCACCAGACGCTGATTGCCAGGTGAGCACGTATCCTGTTGCCGCGGCGACACGGTCCCACACGAGCTGCAGCTTCCCGTCGGTGTAACCCCCGACACGAAATCCCTGGGTCTCGTCACGTCCTTCTGGGGCCACGGGGGCGTGAGTGGGGGTCGGGAATGGGGTACACAGGGTGGCAGGGGCACTGGTGACATGTGGGTACGCCTTTTCTGGTGGCATGATAAGTGTACGCCTTTTTTCATGAGTTAGCAGAGTGTTTCATTTTTTCCGCATAATTTCAATCTTATTAATGACCACAAAATTTGCACGGCCCTTAAAATGCTTTTTGTGTCGTGCTCGTTGTCCTTGCCCAGCACCTCTGATTGTCTGATTTGCACGGTTAGCTACGGAGCGCAACTCGAGGTACGGATCTATTGCGACAACGCAATGCGGCTTTGTTTCGCGACCAACGTCTCTGTGATGATCCACTGACCGATATCTTCCATCGCGAATGTCGAGTTAGAGGCGTGAGCCTCCAAAGAGGGTATTAGCCTGCCAAAAGGGGGCCATGTTGCTACGCGGCTTTCCCAACTTGTTGCCTTGGCGATGCCAATGAGTTGGTGTGCGCTGGCAGCCCACTCGGGGCCAACTTCCAACTGCGCCTGTCTCTGACTTTAGCCCATCCTCCGCTGGTGTCCAACCCGTCTCCGTGCAACCAGCCTGTGATGTGGTCAAGCCGCGCCTGTGGGTGCCCTCTGTGCATCCGTACAAAGAGGACGCTAGGAGACATCTCGATTGCCCTCCGGACTATGCGGTGGTAAATCTGGAACCTTGCCATGCGGGGAGGGGGGCGGTCCTGAAATACCAAACTTTTTTTAATAGGGCCCTACATTCATAATAAATAAACACATTAAATGGCAGTTCTCCGGTAAATATCAATAAAATATCAATTCTCAAGGGTTTCAAGGGGGGGGCAATCACCCCCATGGCACCCCACCTCCCCTTAGCAACCGTCACTATGACTACGAGTGCAGAGGGTGACGGCCGACTCCGCGGTACCACCTCCACTCGGTCTCCTTGATTCATGAAATGTGTCAGATGTGAGGTAGTCGCTGTCCCAGGGGACTTACAATAACAACAGGCTTGCTCGGCACCGTGTACATTATTTGATGTTGCGGTTTTGTTTGGGTACATTCTCTCCTCGCCCCCCCCCTTTTCAGTCATCTCCCCCACCCCTAAAAATACCACGTTCACAATCATTGCCAAACCCATCTTCCCTTTCTTCTGCCCGGTAGACACCTGGCCTAGGGCTTGTCATCTGTAGAACATCTGTACCCCCTCCCCCCGTCGCTCATGCTCTGCACTGGACTCTTGTTTAATACAATTTTTCTGTTATAATCAGATTTGACCCAGGACGGTATTGTGGGACACTCCTCCTCCCCCGCCACTACCGCCGACCGCTGCCTCACCGGTCTGCGCCGAGACGGTCTTGCGGGGCCCCTCCTGGTTGCCCTGCAGCGCCGACACCTCGAGCAGGTAGGCGGCGTCCGTCTGGAGACCCGTGACCAGGTGCGATGTGGATTCAGGAGACACCGTCTGGCTGCCCTGTCCGCCGCCTTCGCCGCGACGGGGGGGGGGGGGGGGGCGGCGTGGGCGTGACCGCGCGCATGAGCGGGCGCGGAGAAAACCCCGGCAAACAAAAAAAAACGCCGTGACCGTCAGCCACGGCGATGGCGGCATTAATTGAACAAGCGCGGCGGAGTGAGCGTGGGGAGAGGTCGCCGAATCGGCGGATCGCCGTACCGCTCGCGAGCCGCCAGTAGACGCGGTACGCAGTGGCGCCGGGGACACCGCTCCAGGCGAGCCTCACGCTGGAGCTACCGACCTTCACCACCTGCAGGTCTCCCACGGGCCCCACCAGCTGGGGCTCCACCGCCCCGCCTGCGCGCAACAAGGACACGAGACGCCACCCCGCCGTGTGGCCTTCCAGAGACTGCTGGCGAGCACACGCGCAAGCGAGGGGTTGCTCACCGAGGAGCTGAGTCAACCATGCTCAAGCGCGCACACACACACGCTTTCACAAAAAAGACGTACGGAATATGCACACATACGCACACGTACTAAATTACATGCAGATATACAAAGACAAAGATTTCCTCGTGCAGGCTCCACAGACTCTTGAGCCAAGTGCTGTTGGTGAGCGTCTATTAAGGCCGTCAGGGTAGTAGCGTGGCCTGTACCATGCCTGGCTGCCTTTGTCTCTCCAGTGCTGATGTTTACATACAGCACCAGGTACGCATTTATGGTTAAGCCAATCAGGACCGGGACGACTTCCGCCCATGGCCAACACCAGTGATAATTATCTGAACCGGTCCTGGGCCTCTCCTGGGTCGACTCAGCCTCAAATGGGTACTTGGTGCAGCGTATAAACATCAGCATTGGGGAGACAAAGGTTGCCGGGCGTGGTGCTGGCCACCGATCCCCTCGTGTGCCAAGCTAGCCTTAATCGGTGCTCGATAATAGCACTTGCCCCAACAGTCTGTTAAGGCTATAGGGGGGATCCTTGTGTTTGTATGAGCGGTGTCTCACCAGTTGACTGCTGCAGCGTGGACTGAGGTCCCTCCACATCGTTGTAGATGGGTCTGATGGACACCTGGTACTCCGTATTCCAAGCAAGCCCCTCCACCCTGTATGTGCTGATGGTTTTGTCCAGAAACTCGGGATTGGGCATGGGATCTGGAAGAAACCATTACACAGAATGGGGAGGGGATTTAGTAGGAGTTGAGCAGTGGCACAATTTTGGACGCACATTTCACATGCTACAAATACGTGTTAATTCATAAAACCGTACAGTGGCTTTTTTTATTTGGCCAGACTACGTCAACCAATTTGGAGTGGAAAATGCCATCAAAAGTAATAAGAGACTGGTATAAGTCAAAGTCAGCGCTAAGAATCCAGATACCTGAGTTTGATTGCCGGCCACAGCTAACACCAGTGGCTAGTGATATTTGATCCAATCCTGGCCACCTCCACTTACCAACCTACACTGACAATCATGGTAAAGTATGGTGAACTAAATGGGAGGACTTCAATAAGAGAAAGTGAAAAATCCACGTGATTGGTTGTTTTTGGGCAGTGATAGGGGACTGAGCTGAGACTGTCTATTCTGAGTCTCTGGGTCTCTATATTAGTCTGTGGGTCTCTATATGAGTCTATGGATCTCTATGTGTCTGTGGTTTTCTATGCGAGTCAATGGATCTCTATGTGAGTCTAAGGATCTCTATGTGAGTCTACATGTCTCTATGTGAGTCTATGGACCTTTATGTGAGTCTACGGGTTTATACGTGAGTCTATGGATCACTATGTGAGTCTATGGATCTCTACGTAAGTCTCTATGGATCTCTATGTGAATCTATGGGTCTGTATGTGGCGAAATGTTAACTACCTCGCCTGGTATACAGAAGGATGTGGGTTCGATCCCAACCCTGACGCCTGTCAAGGTTGTGTGGATTTCTCTCTGGGTCCTTTGGTTTTTCCCTCCACATGTAGAAACGTGCATTTATAGTTTATGTGAGCCTATGCTGGGGCTAAGCCCATCAGCACACAACACTTAGGACCCTGGTATAATCATGCTTGGTCAGCGGTGCTGGCACAGTTTCACTCACCTCTAAAGAGTCACCTGGCCATCTCTCAGTCATATTTTTTATCCATTAGAACTTGAATTTCGCCCAATTAAGTGCAGAACGGAATATAGAACGTGACAGTTTATTTGAAGTCGTTGGGAGTCTAGGCCAAGACCGTCGACTCACAGCCGCTAGAGAACCCGGTTTAATCACTGCGCCACACCGGCGTGCTGGCGTGGGAGTCGTTGGCATGTGGGTGCTCGCCGTACCGGAGCGCAGCCCCCACGTGAGCTTGTACTCGGTGGCCCTCGCCAGCGGCGTCCACGTCACGGTGATGGACGACGAGTCGACCGAGACCACGCGGAAGTCCTGCACCGTCGTCAGGTCGCCTAGCGGGGAGACGCGGGGGAGACGCGGGGGAGACGCGGGGGAGACACGGGGGAGACACGGGGGAGACGAGGGGGAGACGCCGGGGAGAAGCGGGGGAGACGCGGGGGAGACACGTGGGAAACACGGGGGAGACACGGAGACATGGGGGAGACGCGGGGGAGACACGGGGGAGACACGGGGGAGACACGGGGGAGACACGGGGGAGACACGCGGTACGATTACAGCGTCTACGCGCTGCACAGAAATGAGTGGCAAGGTTTATTTTTGATATCGAGAGAAAGAGGAATTGGGTCATAGGCAGAGTAGAAGTGGAAGTTCCTGAACCTGGACGTGAATAGCACCATGGAGTCAACAGCGATGACGGCTGGGAGAAGCAGAGGAGAATGCAAGACCTCCCAAGGAAACGAGAGGAGAGAGGTAGGAGACTGCGTGCACAGGAGTAGAGTGAGGTGAGAGGGGAGATGTAGGAGAGATCGTAGAGCGGAGTAGAATAAGATGAGAGGGGAGATGATGGCAGGGGCAGTGGATGGCACAGAGTCCACTTCCCGCTGCCACGCCGTTTCCCACCCGCGTTGTTGCTCGCGTGCCGAACCTCGGGGCTCGGGGAAAAGCCTTCACTTGTAAGCGTGGAACAAGCAAATAAATAAATAGCAGCGCCCACAAAGCGGGCGGCTCACGTGTGAACGATTATCCGCACGGCAGCGTGTATTTAGAGAGGATTCGGTCTGCGATACCGACCCCACCGGAGACCTCGAAGGGCAACTTTGATCACGTGATACGTGCAGCAGGCGGAGCTCCGCATGGATGGCACAGCTGTTTTTACGAGATGTAGCGAGCGGGGGGCTAAATGTCTCCACAGTCTGGAAATAAGGGGGTGGAAGGTTGCAGCTCGCCGAAGTGTTTGTCGGGTCGAGGCCGTGTTGTCATTCTGCACAATGTCCGACGTTTTGCTCCACGTGCTGGGAGCTTCTTCAGGAACTGAGCCGAATGAAGAAGCTCCCCGAGGGACTCGGAGGTGGGGAGCGGGCAAAACTTCGGACATCGTGCCGACGTTGGAGAGCCTTGCGGCATGCCCACGACCGCGGAAACCCACGCGGGGGTGAGGCGGAGAGGAGTGGAGTATGCGTAGGTGGAGCCAGAAGCCAGGGCTCAGGCATCCAAGTGCGTAGGTTTATTTGTGTGCCAGCATGTCCAGGTACATGTGTGTGAGAGTATGTGTAAATATATGACAATCTGCGAGTGATTTAGTATAGCGGTTAGTGTACTGCGATCTGAGTTTGGGTTACGCCCGTGACCCAACGCCAATGATGATTATCTAAATCGGTCCTGGGCCTCCGCTAGGTTGACTCAGCTTCAAAATAGTACTTGGGGCAGTGTGAAAACATCGCCACTGGAAAGACAAAGGCGGCCGGGCGAGGTGCTGGCTAACCACCCCTTCGTGTGCCGTGCCGGCCTTCATAGGTGCTGCTCGCGAACAGCACTCGCCCCCAAAAGTCTGTTAAGGCTACACGGTGGGGGGGATCTTTGTGTGTGTGCCCACGTGCGCCCTCTCCTCACCGGCCATGCGTGCTGCCACGGAGATGCCGGGCCCCTGCGTCTCCTGGAAGAGGGCGTAGAGGGTGATGACGTACTCCGTACCCGGCACCAGCCCCGTCGCCAGGAACCTGTCCACGGCGCCACCCAGAGTCATCTGCTCCAGGCGGTCTCTCCCGGTGATGTCTGTCGCAACCGGGGGAGGGGAACCGACGCGGCCAATGAGAAGCAGAGAATGCTTTTGGCACAGACAAAAGATCTCACGTTTTTCGTTTATTCAAATCGAGATATAAACTCGGAGACGGCTGGGCCACTTGGGGGGTTAGGGACACCGAGTCACTACTGCTCAAGTAGTCCTGGGTTGGGCTCCATTCACCAGGGAAGGTGATGTCTGGTCTCGCTTGCTCTTAAGGTTTGATAATTTCCTGTGTGGTATCGATAGTTCAATGTTAATGTGTCATTTTATTGGGGGACTACTGTGTGGTGTTATCTTAGCGTGGTTTGGCACTGTTTCGTTATCGTTTTTGCTGCCTTGCCCAGTCTTGATAAATCGGACTCATGTAATAATTGTATTTATCATTTATTTATTTATTTGTTCTCTATTTTGAACTCCTATCGTGTTGTTGTATTGTTTGCCGACTGCAACTCGCTGACCCGTCCATACTGAGAGATCTGTGAAAAAATAACTTCATAGCTTATTGGATTCCTGCTGCAGCCTATGGATCTCTATGTGCATCTATGGATCTCTATGTGAGTCTATGGATCTCTATGTGAGTCTATGGGTCTTTATGTGGCGAGATGTTAACTACCTCGCCTGGTATACAGAAGGTCGTGAATTCTGACAAGGCTAATACAGCCAGCTGGGCTGGCGAGTCAGAGCTCAAAGAGCCGTTGAGGCCCCTGGGTATGAATCCAGGCAGTTGCCTATGATTAGGTCCTGTGATCAAAGTGTAGTGAGCCGAGCTGATGGTCTCAGCCCGGTCACCAATGACTGCACACACACACACAACAACAAAAACCCTCCATCGCATTAAATGTGTTCCTGCATTTAAGAGAAACCACGCACACGCATAGATTTCGTGATGCTTTCCAACACACGGCCTGTCCCCGGAAAGTGTTTAAAACTAGCGACAGTATAATTTTCCCCGTACCCCCCCACCCTAGCCGCCCTGCCTCTACCCCCTTGCCTTCGTCAGAAAGTGAGCCTCCTTTCCACATCGACACACTCCCCCTTGAGGGAGCGGCACCCAACCCAGAAGGGCGCCATCTACAGATCCCCCTGTTTCCCCCCCCCCGCCCCGTGTGCATGCGTTCTCCGTCATCATTGTCGTTGTCGCTTGCAATGGGTTCAATTTAAAAAACAAACAAATTAAAACTAGCGACAGTAACGGTAGCACGCACGAAGCTGTGACGTGCGTAGGCCAGGCGGGGATCATAGGGCCAGGGTAGCGGCTCTGCCGGCAGGCCTGAGACGCGGGACGAGGGCCCTTTTAGCACTGGCTCGTGGCTCCGGGATATAATGTGGTACGCGCCTCGAAGCACAACAACTTTTGACTGAAGTTTTTTTCACATTGGTTCATCTGCCCCATCCCCCAACTCCTGTTACAGGCAGATGGGCAGACAGTGCTCAATGCGTACAAGCCTTTTTACCTTAGTCGGGAAACGTCCGTGAAACAAATTATGATCAACGTTGACAATCCACCTCCCATCTCGCTTTTTCAACTCCAACAACACTCCCGCGTCAACGAAGTGACCACTGGCAGCGCCCGTGATCACGTGACCCACCCCCCCCCCTCCCCCCCGTGCTCGCCGTACCGGAGGAAGGCGCCCATGTGAGCCGGTAGCCGGTCGCTCCCGGCAGGACGCTCCAGTTGACCTGGATGGCGCTGCCAGACTCCGCAGACGCTCGAAGGTTCTGGACCGAGCTAGCAGTCACTTTCGAGGCGGAAGATGGGGGGGGGTGGGGGTGGAAGGCAAAAGGTCACAAGCGTGGCTCCTCCGCGCGCACCACAGCGGCGGCCCTGCGCTCGGTGCGGGGAAGGGCGTCCGCAAGGTCCTGTTGACTCGAGGCTAACCACTGTTGCGTTTCGGTTTACCTTACGGGATGCTGCTGTGGCGTTATCGGTTAGCACACCGTGCGTATGTATGTATGTACATATGGAAGGGGGGCGGGGGAGGAGCAGCTTAGCGGCTAGCGCACTGCGCTCTGAGCCCAGTAACCCGAGTTCAATTCATGCTCACGGCCAACACCAGTGACGATTATCTGAACTGATTCCGGGCCTCCCCTAGGACGACTCCACCTCAAATGAGAACCTGATGCTGTGAGTAAAAACATCGCCACTGGGGAGACAAAGGCGGCCAGGCGTGGTGCTGGCCACCCGCCCCCTCGTGTGCCGTGCCGGTCTTCAATAGGTGCTACTCGCTAACAGCACTTGCCCCAACAGTCTGTTACGGTTATTTGTGGGTTCTTTGTTTGTTTCTTGGTGCGGTGCCACAAGCGTGCGCATGTGTGCGGTGCCGGAGGCCTGGGCGTGTGCTGTACCGTATGCGTGTGTGCGTGTGCTGTGCCGTACGTGTGTGTGTGTGCGGTGCCGTACGTGTGTGTGTGTGTGTGCGGTGCCGTACGTGGGTGTGTGTGTGTGGTGCCGTACGTGTGTGTGTGTGTGCGGTGCCGTACGTGGGTGTGTGTGTGTGTGGTGCCATACGTGTGTGTGTGTGTGTGGTGCCGTACGTGTGTGTGTGTGCGTGCGGTGCCGTACGTGTGTATGTGTGTGTGCGGTGCCGTACGTGTGTGTGTGTGTGTGTGGTGCCGTACGTGTGTGTGTGTGTGTGCGGTGCTGTACGTGTGTGTGCGTGTGTGTGTGGTGCCGTACGTGTGTGTGTGTGTGTGTGCGGTGCCGTACGTGTGTGTGTGTGTGTGTGCGGTGCCGTACGTGTGTGTGTGTGTGCTGTACCGTACGTGTGTGTGTGTGTGTGTGCTGTACCGTACGTGTGTGTGTGTGGTGCCGTACGTGTGCGCGTGCGGGCGGTCGTCGTGGGACCCTCGACGGAGCCGTACACGGGGTTGACCAACACCTCGTAGTCCGTGGCGGCCTGCAGGCCCTGCAGCTGGTAGAAGCCGTAGGACTCCCCCAGGCTCAGGCTCTGCGGGTCACCGCCTGCCACCAGCAATCACCAGCACGGGCGCACGCCACACAATCGGCTCAAGTCCGGCATATCTCTCATGATCTACCCGCGTGGCTACTCCGCCGACTCCAGGCTACCAGAAACCCGATAAATATTCGCGGAGATATTTAATCTCCGGTTACATAGCAAATGTACGCATGTTTGTACGTACGTTGAACTTCTTTAGCACCGTAAGTACTGCATATGCAGCACCTCCGATTAGCACGATTGGCTATGTACGGTGCAAAAGAAGTTCATCATACATACAACCATGCTAATCGGAGGTGCGTGAAATGAACAATCAAGCCGCAACCAACAACTAGGCGGAAAGAAAACGAGTTGAACGTCGTCAAGTATGATCGTGATGCCGAATCGCTGAACCTCTTGCGTAGGGAATGGGGGGATCCCACTCATTACAAGCCCACTCATAATCTTCCCGGGTCTCCCTTGACGAGGCGGTGCGGAGGTGAGCGGCCGACCTGCCGGGGCCCAGGTGAGGCGGTATCCGGTGGCGCCCTTGACGAGGCTCCACGCCACGCGCACCGCATCTGTCGTCACGTTCTGCAGCAGCAGCTGGCGCACGGTCTGAGGCTTCACTGCACACGCCAGGGGGAGAGCGAGGGGCAGCGGCGGTGGTGGCGTCGGGGGTGGTGGTTGGTGGTGGTGGTGGCGGCGGCGGCGGTAGCGGTCACGGTCGTAGTTGTGGTCATGTTGGTCATCCATAATAGATCTAATGCAAAACACCTCTATTACGGATGATATTGGTCGCGGAAGCCTACGTGTTAAAAATTTTGGTCATGTCGGCGACAGTGGTGGCGATGGCGTTCATGGTGGCAGTGGTGGTGATGGTGGTGGTGGTGATAATGGTGGGGTAGGTTCGGTCGCGGTGAAGGTGATGGTGATACGGCGGTGGCACCGACGATGGTGGTAGTGGTGATATGAGTGGAGGCGGTGGTGGTCGTGGTGTTGTTGGTGGTGTTGTTAGTGGTGGTGGTCGTGGTATCGGTGTTGGTCATGGTGTTGTTAGTGATGGTGGTCGTGGTATTTGTGGCGGTGGTCGTGGTATTGTTGGTGGTATTGTTGTTGGTGGTGGTGGTGGTGGTAGTGGTGTTGGTGGTGGTGGTGGTAGTCGTGGTGTTGGTGGTGTTGTTGTTGGTAGTCGTGGTATTATTGGTGTTGGTGGTCGTGGTGTTGTTGGTGGTGGTCATGGTGTTGTTGGTCGTGGTGTTGTTGGTGGTGGTCGTGGTGTTGTTGGTTGTGGTGTTGTTGGTGGTGGTCGTGGTGTTGTTGGTCGTGGTGTTGTTGGTGGTGGTCGTGGTGTTGTTGGTGGTGGTCATAGTGTTGTTGGTTGTGGTAGTTGTTGTTGGCGGTGGTGATGGTTGTGTTGTTGGCGATGGTGGTGGTGGAGATGGTGGCTGTGTTGTTGGCGGTGGTGGTCGTGTTGTTGTTGTTGTTGTTGTCGGCGGTGGTGGCTTCAGTAGTCGTGGTGCTGGCCAGCACAAGGGAAGCAGAAGTGGTGCCAGGGGAGGGAACACAGTGGAGCCCCGTGTCTAGACGGTTGCCGGAGTCGGCTTCTGTGGCTGTGTTTGGAATTCTTCTCCTTTAATGTAAAGTGACCTTGCAGCCGCACCCACCGCAGTAGACTTCCATGCGTGGAACCCATTATTTTTCACGCCAACTGCAGGAGCCCACCCACCTCACGACCGCGCGGGGATTCGAGATTAAAGGTTACATGAACTGTAAAATATTCCATTGTGCTGGCTTGCGCATGCGTACGCGCGTGCGTGCGTGAAATCACTCATGAGCCGCCGTTGTGGCCGTGTTTTACAACGCCGCCGTCTTATTGAGCGCCGCGAAGACGGCTGATGATTTATTTCGGACTCTCTCTGCGCGAAGACCCCCGGGCGGCGCGCGGGACCGCCCTGCGCGTGGCCAGATTAGGGTTCTTGTAGGCTCCTAGGCACTTCTGTTTCGTAGTCCTTCAGTAACGACTCTCTAGAGTTGTCACTGCTGCTGCCCCATGTCACTACCACCACTGTCACTCCATCAGTGATAACTCTCTAGAGTTGTCACTGCTGCCCCATGTCACTACCTCCACTGTCACTCCGTCAGTGTCAACTCTCTAGAGTTGTTAGTGCTGCTGCCCCATGTCACTACCATCACTGTCACTCTGTCAGTGATAACTCTCTAGAGTTGGTGCTGCTGCTGCTCCTTGTCACTACCACTGCTGTCACTCCGTCAGTGATAACTCTCTAGAGTTGTCACTGCTGCTGCCCCGTGTCACTACCACCACTGTCACTCCTTCAGTGATAACTCTCTAGAGTTGTCACTGCTGCTGCTGCCCCATGTCACTACCACTGCTGTCACTCCGTCAGTGATAACTCTCTAGAGTTGTCACTGCTGCTGCTCCTTGTCACTACCACCACTGTGACTCCATCAGTGATAACTCTCTAGAGTTGGTGCTGCTGCTGCTGCTGCCCCTTGTCACTACCACTGCTGTCACTCCGTCAGTGATAACTCTCTAGAGTTGGTGCTGCTGCTGCTCCTTGTCACTACCTCCACTGTCACTGCTTCAGTGATAACTCTCTAGAGTTGTCACTGCTGCTGCTGCCCCATGTCACTACCACCACTGTGATTCCATCAGTGATAACTCTCTAGAGTTGTCACTGCTGCTGCTGCCCCATGTCACTACCACCACTGTCACTGCTTCAGTGACAACTCTCTAGAGCTGCCCCTTGTCACTACCGCCACAGTCACTCCGTCAGTGATAACTCTCTAGAGTTGGTGCTAATGCTGCCCCATGTCACTACCGCCACTGTCACTCCGTCAGTGATAACTCTCTAGAGTTGGTGCTAATGCTGCCCCATGTCGCTACCACTACTGTTACTCCGTCAGTGACAACTCTCTAGAGTTGGTGCTGCTGCTGCCCCATGTCACTACCGCCGCTGTTACTCGCTTGATTGTGCGACAAACACCATTTGAAGGTGTTATTTGTTAGTTTTGCAACGAAAAAAATCTCGAAAAGTTCATCTCACGACTCTGCCTCTTTGAATACACACTGTGCCTATCCTTGCTAGATAAAAAAATATATTAGTTCAAGAAGATGTCTTGGTTTTTTTTATCATACAAACATAAAATCATGGTAAAAAAATTCGTAGGCCCTTTAGTTTTTGTAGGCCCTAGGCACAGTAGGCACAGTGCCTACTCTGCCTAGGAGCTGCACCAGTAACCGATACAGAAAGCGCAAAACGCGCGTGAATCATGCCTGTTGGATAATACGGCCCTGGATTCGGGGACACCTGCAGTCTGCATGTCGCTCAAGCCGGGCTCTATCCGCGTGATTCGCTCGCGCGCGTGTGCGTGCTCCAATTGCCGCACACGTTTTGCGCGTTCCGTATCGGCGACTGCTTCGTCACGCCACTGCCCGTGATAGGGCCTCCAACGGAATGTGTTCCAGGCAGCCCCTCAATTTCGGCCTATTCCTCCACACTGGAAGAGGCGGGTCTTCCCACACCTTACCCCACCACATGCGGTGACCTGCTGATCAACTGGCCGCGATGCACCCGTTCGTCGAGCTGAGTGGACACCGGGGCGGGGGGAAATGTGAGCGCTTTGTTTCAGCGGCCACATCTCATGCGTCATAGGTTTTGCCGCGTGAGCCTCGTGTCACTTTGACGAGCTGTGCACAGGTCATGAAGGTCGTACGCGTTGTGTGTGTGGATAGTTCCAGAAATTATGCAACTTCGCGGTCGACATTTCAATATCGTTCTAATAATACATTCGGGGCGTCCTTTTGAAGGTAACTTATCTATAAGTGGATAGAATACGTGGCTTACTAATGTCATCATGGTTTGGCACATGCCAGACAATGATCGAACCATCACCATTCCAGCATCTTTAGGGGTCTCATGTGTGTTACACACTGCCTGCCTGTGTGTGTGTGTATAATGTATGTTGTGCTCACCATGTATGTGGTGTTCATCACGTGCGTTGCTGTGTACGTCAGTCACGTCTTCGTGGGCGACACGTGTAGCGAGCGCATCGTGCGTGCCACATGTGTGCGTTGTCCACGCCGTGTGTGCCAAGTATTGCTCATCACATGTTACGTGTGTTGCCCGCATCACACGTCGTGCAGTCATGCATGTTGTGCATTGTGCGCGTCACGGGTGTGTGTGTGTGTGTGCATGCATGTTCCATGCATCTCTCGTGTCAAGAACATCATGCGACATGCCCCGCACGTCACACTCGCGCGTCCATCGCACACCGCCCGCACGGCGCGTCCGCGACACCCATGCCGTGCGTCGTCGCGCGTGTCGGGCGTGCCACGCGTGGCCCTTACGTGTCCTCCCGACGGTGGAGACCACGGGCCCTGGTCCGGTGGGCGACACGGCCTGGATGCTGAGAGCGTAGGCCGTGTCCTGCGCCAGGTCGGTCAGCGTGTGCGACGTCGCGTCGGCACCCACGATCACCTCCTGGCCCCCGCCGCCGGATCCACCTGACCCCCGGGGGTCGGGGAATGGGGAACCACCGAGGGGGGGGGGGGCAAGGGGCAGTGACGTCAGCGACGGGGATGAAAAAGGGGCGCCCTTCCCTTGGTGCTTACCTGAGGGTCACAGAGGTCAAATCGATTGCGGTCATCGCACGCGTATTTTGGGTGATGCTAATCCACGAAATCTCTTTGCTGCTGAGACTATTTCAACTTTTCCCAGAGTTGTATCCCGATCGGTGTCGCGTCTTGAGTCAGCATGTGCCTTAGAACACACGCACAAGGGTGTAAGCTTGCAAGCTTCACGGAAAGTAGGCTGGCTCCCTGAGTGAAGTGGTTCTTTTATTCTGAATGTCACATGTGCATTTGTCATCCGCGGTGTTAATAATCAAAATGCTCAAAGTAACTAGATCCAACTACAAAAGATGAATTCATGCACGCAGACGTATGGGCAGACACAGGGACAGACACAAGGGCAGAGGCAAAAGGGAGATGCACGTGTAGATGCACGGGCAGACACAGAGCGGATACAAGGATAGAAACACAGGCAGATGCATGGACAGACGCACGGGCAGACGCAAGGGCAGACGCACGGGCAGACGCACGCACAGACGCATGCACAGACGCATGGTCAGGCGCAAGGGCAGACCCACAGGCAGACGCAAGGGCAGACGCACAGGCAAACACACAGGCAGGCAGACGGGCAGACGCACGCGCAGACACATGGTCAGACGCAAGGGCAGACGCACGCACAAAGACACAGATGCAACGTACGCCTACAAACGTAGGAACAAAGCAACAGCAGCCACAGCAGCCAACATCATTCACCGCTAAGTGGAGGTGACATCACCTGGTCGTCTGTATTGGGTTAGTCAGAACTTCACAAATGCCCACGCACACACACACACACACGTGAACATGCGCTCACACAATGGGTGCTCGAGTGCGGCAGACACGGCACTGTCTGACCGAGAGCCCGGCCCAGCACCCGGCACGAGCCACCACTGCCGCTGGCAGGGATCCATCACGGTCACCCATTTCATCTAATAATAGTCGCGATAGCCGTCAGCCATGATCTATCCACTGCTGTATGACGATCTACCCCCCAAGCCGTCACCATCTCTTACGGCTCTGCGATGCAATCGTCCATCCAACACGAGCTTATTTCATCGTTCAACCTCCATGGCGGACATTCTATCTGCCACCTCTCCTTTGGCTGTCACCAGTCGATGTGTCACCTCTCCTTTGGCTGTCACCAGTCGATGTATTCCTCTTCCTGTCTCTCAGTGGAAATTCAAGGATGCATCGCCCCATTCTTCTGTGCACACTTTTCATCCTTTTATCCATTTTCTATTTCAATGACCAGATTTTAGTTTGTGTATTACCTGCAATGACGTCCAATAAAATACGTCGTGTGTTTATCCAAGAAAGCTTCACTGAATCTCAAGACTCCTTTTTAAAGAGGGTTCTGCATTGAGATTTCTGGCCCAATTATCTAGAATTAATATTTAGCATGTGGCAGGAAAAACAGAATATCTGGAGAGAATCCACTCATACGGACAATAACTGAACACTCCACACAGATAGATTCACGCATCCATTGCTGTACTGCCATCTCCGTGCCACCTCCAGCCCAAGTCTAACAACATCTGGGACTCCCAGTCCCAGGCAGTCTCCCATCCAAGCACCAACCCGGCTCAACCCCGCTTTAGTTTCTGTGATCTGACAGGATGGGGCTCATACGTACGAGTGAATAAAACTCATGCAACCGCCATGTCCTTGCCAGCAGGTTTTTGGGACTCTCATGCATCTCAGCCTGATCCACCAATTATCTTTGCCTGCAAGAGCACCGGATGATTCACAGCTGCGCTTCCACCGTGCTGGGCCGCATTCCCGCAGTGCCAGGTGGTCACTGTCCACATTCTGGCCACATCTTTACTTGCTTCCACTGTCCTCATCTGCTCCGTGGGATTTCCTCCCCCCTACTCCTCCTCCACCCGGTGCTGCCGTCACCGCTGCCACCGCCGCGAAGGAAAAACTCGGCAGGGTCCTAATGGAGGCCAGGCCTGGGCCAGAAACTCTCACACGAGACAGGTCAACCAGGGACACACATCTTGCGGGCGGCGTCGCCAACTCGGCCAGATGAAAGAGAGAGAGAGACGCTCGATCCCGCGATGGCGAGCAACACTGGGCCGCCGAAGTCTAGGATCAGTCTTTGGGCTGATCGTTACGGACCGGTGGGACCAGACCTCACCGGAGAAAACACGATCATAAAAACCCGCATGTGCCCCGACGATTTGATCGGCGTGGTGTTTAGAGTTTTGCACGAGATGAAGTGCAGTTTCGCACAGGCGGCTGCGCGGATCTGGAAGTAAACAAGCCGACGGGCGTGTGCACTGCCCCCCTTGCCCCCACCACCTCCCATGCTGGTGTAGGACTTGTCTCTAAAGGCCCCCACTGAGCTCTAAAGATTCGGTTCAGAAGCGACCTGGCTATCACAAATGAAAGCCCAACGAAGTGGCTTATCACATGGAATATTCATAGCAGCCAAATACTCTAAACGCACGCTGATTCTAAATGTGGATAGAAAAAACCGGAGGACTCGGATGAAAATCCACGCGACCATGGAGAAGACATGCGAACTCCACATATACAAGGCGTCACGGGTAGGATCGAACCCACGACCTCCTGCATACCAGGCGAGGTAGTTGAAATCTCGGCACTTTGGCACCCCAAAGGTTGGACTAACATTGCACTCATCGGTAACGCGATGTGTTTTTATTTTTGTCGATTTCATCTCCCATTTGTCTTGTTTCACAGTCGTTTGAAAAACCTTGAAACCCGCGGCACACCACCACGAGAAAGTCAAGGACGTAATAATGCGCGGAGGATTAGAAAGGAGTGAAAAAGCAGCAGGGATTCCGGTACGGAAGTCCCCAAGACGGAGAAAGATAGTGGCATGGCTCAAGATGAGCGGCAGGAAGAGAGGAGGAGGAGGAGCGCTCGTGCGGGAAGGGGAGGAGGAGGAGAGGAAGAAGGAATGACCGGTGTCGAGATGTCGGGGATGAGACGGTGGTGACCATGATGATGATGAGATGGGAGGAGGGAAGAGAGGGAGAGGAGGATATGAAGGAGCGAGAAGAACTGAGATGCACGGAGGTGCAGCGTCTGTTGACACCCGGGGACGGGCGGGGTAGAGGGGAAGAACCTCGAGTGTAGCTGTGTGGTTCTGCTGCCTCTTTGTCACAGCGTTAATCGCACTGTGCTCTCACGACCCCACTCTGCGCTGCCTCTCGCTGTTGTCCCCACTCTGCGTTGCCTCTCGCTGTTGTCGTTTGTACCGTTCGGTTCACTCCGTCAGGCAAAAGGTAAAACGAGTGTACAATGTGCACGTGGTTTGTAAATAATGAATAATAATATATCCATTAGTATTGTCACACGCATAATTGTATACCGTAAATAACATCTCAATTGGGTCGCCACACGCCGGGTGAGGCAGGCTGCGGCCGCCTGACAACACGGACAGGGAAGGGAGAAGGGATGAGGTGGAAGAGTTGGGAGTGTGAGGGAGTGTGAGTGATGAGCTGGGAGTGTGAGTGATGAGCTGGGAGTGTGAGTGATGAGATGGGAGTGTGAGCGATGAGGTGGGAGTGTGAGTGATGAGCTGGGAGTGTGAGTGATGAGCTGGGAGTGTGAGTGATGAGCTGGGAGTGTGAGTGATGAGGTGGGAGTGTGAGTGATGAGCTGGGAGTATGAGTGATGAGCTGGGAGTGTGAGTGATGAGGTGGGAGTGTGAGTGATGAGCTGGAAGTGTGAGGGAGTGTGAGTGATGAGCTGGGAGTGTGAGTGATGAGCTGGGAGTGTGAGGGAGTGTGAGTGATGAGCTGGGAGTGATGAGCTGGGGGTGCGAGCGAGTGTGGGCACCGTGTACGCTGTAGAGGAGGCGGTAGGAGAGGACTTTCCCCTGGGGGCCGTCCCACGTGACTCTGAGCGTGTGCAGGCCCTCGTCCAGCACGCGGAACCGAGACACGAGCGGGAGGCCTGCACGTCGCAGGGAGACAAAGACAAAGGACCCCCGTGTAGCATGCAAACCGGTGGGGCAAGTGCATTTAGCGAGCACGTGCACCTGTGAAGGCCGGCACGGTAGTGGGTGGCCAACACCACGCCCGGCCACCTTTGTCTCCAAAGTGGTGATGTTTACACACCGCACCAGGTACTCATTTGAGGCTGGGTCGACCGAGGAAAAGGCTCATGACCGGTTCAGATAATCGTCACTGGTGTCGGTAATCAAACTAGGGTCGCCGGGTTCGTGGCACCGCTACGCTACACACACACAATACACACACACACTACATACACACAATATCCACACTACATACACACACACAAGCAGGGCTAGACACATGCGGGGTAGGTGCGTGCAGATGTGCGAGCACGCGACCGCGCGTGCCGGGACACGTCTGACCGTCCCCGTCGCCTCGCCGGTGAACTTGTCTGGCCGCATTTTTATTTCCATTCTCCAAAAACGCCGGGCGGCTGAGTCGGAGGCGCGAGCGTGGGGTCACGGGGCCATGCAGCGAGCGGAGCGCACGCACCGTGAGTCCGCGCAATGCCGGGGCGGCTCAACAAAAGCCCGTTATTTCCATGAAGACCACATCTAGCCCGACGCCAGCCTCGAATGTATAATGTTAACTGTGAGCGAGTGAGTGACCGACTGAGCGAGTGATCGAGCGGGCCAGCGTCCGAGTGAGTTAAGCAGGTGAGTGAATGAGGAGTGCGAGCAAGTGAGCGAGCGGGCAAGCGAGCGAGCGAGTCGGCGAGGGAGCGAGTGAGCGGGGGAGCGAGTGGCGAGCAATAGGCTGAGCGAGTGTGCGAGACGGTGAACGACTGAGCGAGCGAGTCGGCGAGGGAGCGAGTGAGCGGGGGAGCGATCGAACGGCCGAGCCAGCGAGCGATCTTCTCACCGGGGTCGGGTGGACGTGAGCCAAACAACACATTGCTGTCGCCCGTGGGCCCCTCGTCCACCTCCTCGTCGCCGTCGTTGTCGCCCTCCTCAGGCGCCCCCGTGGGGCCCCCGCTCGCTCGCTCGCAGATCCGCAGGGCGATGCGCGGGAGCGCGGTGCGCAGCGCGCGGAAGTCCTCCACGTAGAGCGAGTGGGCGTCGGGCGGGTCGGAAGCCATGCTGGCCAGCTCCGCCTTGTCAGCGTTCTTGATGCCTTGGCAAAGGGGCATGCAGACACAAAAGGTCCCCCCCCGTGAAATCCGTCGTCACAGACGGCTGGGGCGAATCCGCCCGCCGGTTTCCCCGTCCGAGACGCGGCGTTCATTGTCTGGCCACTGCTTGGCCGACCTCCCTTGCCTTTGACTGAACTCGGCGGGTGGGCGTTGGGAAAGTGCCTCTGATGTTTTCGAGTGATCTGGCTAAAACCATCGCAGCTTCCCCCTCTTTGCTCGTGTCACCATTGGCCGTTAAATCGCGATCGCTCGGAGCGGCGATGGAGCTGTTAGCGCCCCATGCTGCAAAGCTGTCGACACAATTTTGATTCCCGACTGTGGCTTACATCGGTCGTGACTATTTGAATCAGTCATGCGCCTCCCCAAGGTCCACTGAGCTTTAAATCCATACCTAGTGAGGCTTGTAAACATCATCACTCGGGAGACAAATGCAGCCGGGTGTGGCGCTGCCTACACCACCCCCTCTTGCGCCTTCATAGGTGGTCAGTAAATAGAACTTTCATAAGAGAACGTGTAAGCTACACGGGCGACCTTTGTCTGTGCGACATGCGAGTGTAAACGTACTCACCCACAGCGAAGATGATGACCCCGAGATCCTTGAGTCTCTGTGCCGGGCCGGACACTCCATCCTGAGACTTTCCATCCGTAATCACGATGGCAACCTGCCACACAGCCCCCACGGACATCTCCTTCATCCGCTCGCTGCTCAACCTCGCATTGACCTCACCCACACTCACCCTCTCCCTCACACACTCACCATCTCACTCGCCTCTCCCACACTCACACCTTACCCACACTCAACCTCCCATGCACTCACCATGCCTACCTCGTCATCTCTCGCTTGAATTAAACCGATGATGAGGTTTGTGATAATCCACGGGTTCAATACAATATCAGTACAATACCAGAACAATCTTTAACCGCAAGCAATGGCTATGGGTAGCACCACTGTACCACCATAATAATGCCCTCAAGGAAACATTCACTGAGACTATGGAGTCCACTTTTTTTTTAATGGTTCCCCCAATGTTGGCATGTTTGGCCAAATCATAACTTCGTATTCTTCTTCTTCTTCTCGCTTGTGCCATCAAACGTCGACATCCGAGCCACTCAACCAAACCGGTCATCGCCACTTCACACCAGATCATCTGTCCCTCTCGCTCCAACTTTTAGCGGTCGCAAGGGACGGTCCTCAATCAATTGCAGGGCCATTTGTCGGGCAGCTCCTCGGCCCCTTGCGGCCACAGGGGCAGCGCGCAACCCAAGACGGTGCCGCGTGCGCGAGCCACACGGCCCACAAGCCACGCAAATGGCCATTTTTCCACCGGGGAGCATATTTGATTATTTACCAGCAGTTAATTGCCAATGTTGTGGTCTGCTAGCTTCAGGAGAGAATTCGTTCGTGTGGTTTTGCTCTTCCTCCATTGGCAATTCCACCAGGTTCCGTTTGGGTGCCGATTCCTGAATGAACAGCAATGAATGGAATTGCTAGGCATGTGAATCGTTAACCAACTGCAGCTGCTGCTGCTGCTGCTCGGTTCACGTAATGCGACAGGATCACGGAGCGAACGTAAAAGAAACCTCGTCTGGGACCCATGGATGGTCAAGTTATCAACAGCGATGCGTGAGGACGGACGGACGGACGGGCAATCTGACCTTGGGCACGCCGGGCCGGGTGGCGGAAGGCACGAACATGACGTCGCGGAGGAAGCGGAGGCCCTCGCCGGTGCGCGTGTTCCCGCCCTTGTAGGGCAGCGAGCGCAGAGCGGAGAGCAGCGTCGCCGCCCGCGTGTGTTCCGTGAGCGCAAACTCCGACCTGGCGCCGAGCGCGCAAAATAAGTGAAGCGATTGCGGACACGCGGTCGCAAGCACGCGCTCAGCAGCAGCAAGGGCAGAGCCAATCGGCACTCGGTGGTGGTGATGTCACCGCAGCACTTGTTCCAGGCTAGGTGCACCTTGATGTTATAATGCCAAGTGTGGAAAGCTCACTGGGTGGTTTTCACGGGACAGAGCCAGGCGTTTCATGGATTGACTAAGATGACAAAAATGCAGATGCACACACACACACACACATTTACACGTTCACAGGTACATGAGTGCGTAAGTACACATGTTCACTCCTGCACATACTTGCTCACATGCACGCACGCACGCTCACTCATCGACTCACACACACACACACATAATTTCTAACTTGTAAACACACACTCGCTCACACAAAAACAAAGATCCCCTGTATAGCCTTAACAGACTGCTTGGGCAAGTGCTGTTAGCGAGCACCTATGAAAACCAGAATGGCACACGAGGGGGTTGGTAGCCAGCACCACGCCTGGCTCCCTGTTTCCCACAAGGTTACTCATTTAAGGCTAAATCAACCTAGGCGAGGCCCAGGACCGGTTCAACTATTCGCCACCGATATTGGTCGTGAGCGGTAATGGAACTTGGGTCGCCGGGTTCGTAGCGCAGGTGGCCAACCACTGCACCACCGCTCCCCGCTGCTTACACAGATACACACAAGCAATACCAATACACTCCATTTGCCACTAAGCGATGGTGATGTCACCACGGCGCCTGTGCCAGGCCAGGTGCACACACAACAAAGATCCCCCGTATAGCCTTAACAGACTGTTGGGGCAAGTGCTGTTAGCGAGCAACTATGTGGGCCTGTATGGCACACGAGGAAGTGGGTGGCAAGCACCACGCCTGACTGCCTTTATCTCCCTAGTGGCGATGTTTACATATCACACCAGGTACTCATTTGGGGCTGAGTTGACCTAGGGGAGGCTCAGGACCAGTTCAGATAATCGTCACTGGTGTTGGCCGTGAGCAGAAACGAACTCGGGTCGCTGGGTTCGTAGCGCAGCGCGCTAACCATTGCGCAACCACTCCCCACGCTCGCTCACACACAGACACACAAACATTAACTCGCAGGCAAGACTCACCTGGGCTCATCGCTGTACTGAGCGAGGCCGATGCGCACGCCCCTGCGGCCCAGCGCGGGCAGCAGGAGGCGCGCGGCCGCCTCCACGAACGCCTTCACCTCCTGGAAGAGCACTCGGCCGATGCTCCACGAGCCGTCCACCAGGAAGACGACGTCCACCGCACGCACCGCCTCACCGCACGGCGCCACCGCCGCCGCGGCTGCCCACCGCGAAGCAACACAGAGATGATCTTCCCATCCCACGCAGATCCCAATAGGCCCAAACCTAGACTGCTGGGCCAGGCTCGCATGTCAACTGCCCCGGCGCACGACGTGACAAAAATGCTCTTTGTCGTTTTGGTCACCCGGGTCACGAATGCAGAGAGCCAGGTCGATCTTGCGAATGACCTGGGTCACTCAAATGTCCCAGGTCACTCAAATGTCCCAGGTCACTCAAATGTCTCAGGTCACGCAAATGTCCCAGGTCACTCAAATATCCCAGGTCACTCAAATGACCCAAGTCACGAATGAAGAGAGCCAGGTTGCTCTCACAAATGACCCAGGTCACTCAAATGACCCAGGTCACTCTTGCAGAGGCCCAGATCACTCTCGCATTTAGGCCCGGTCCCTTAAGTTATCACCTGATGAGACAAAAACGAAACTCAAACTGGTGTTGTGCCACAGACAGGAATTGAACCCGCGTTGCTGGCGTCTGTAGGTATCTGAGCCGCCATGATAACGTTCTCATCATTTTGTGTTCAGTTTGTTGTCCTTACCCCCACACCTCCGATTGGCACGGTTGGCTAAGTATGGTGCAAAAGAAGTTCTACATACACACACGCATCAGCGAACACGCAGACATGCGCATGCGCACAGAGTACAAACATCCCCCGCTTAGTCTCGTAGGCTGCAGGGACAAGTGCTGTTAACGAGCGCATAAGGGAGGCCAGCGTGGTGCGTTCATGCAGGGGTGGTGTGGCCAGTATCGTGCCCAGCCACTTTTGTGTCCCCAGCGCCGAGGTCTGCACACTGCACAAAGGTACAGATTTAATTCTGAGTTGACCAAGGGGAAGCCCAGGACTGGTTCGGATATATATTCGCCACTGATGCTGGCCGGGAGAGGGAATTCAACTCAGCGTGTTGGCGTCGTAGCGCAGCGCCGATAGCCGACACATCCCAACGCGGCGCAGCGGCGAGAGTGTGCGAGAGCCCCACGATCGGAATCCCAATCAGCTGTTTACACCGGCCATCATCTCTCCGGGAGCGACAAAATTGAGTACCGCTTTCTGGGAAATCATTGGCGATTGTCCGACGGATGGACTCACCCCCGAGCATGGGAATGCGGGAATTCCACCACGTGCACGGCGCCGCAACGAGGAGCCGATTGGCGAGTCGTGTTTGCTTGAGCGGTAAACAAATTTGACGCTGACAAATCCCAACGGGTTCGTGTTTAAAGCGAACCTGGGGAAATGTTTTCATTTGTCAAGCCGAGTTGTTTTCTTTGCCCCAAACAACGGAAGGGCCCTTATTTCCCCTGGTGGTGGCCTTGAGCCAAATCCCTTTCAGTTCCCTCCATCTGACCCAAGCGGGACCCCAACAAGGCAGATTGCGAGGGCGGACCCGGGATTGACTACACTTGCAATTGTGTCAATCGTAACGATTTTTTTGTCCTTCCCCAGCTCCCGCACCTCCGATTAGCACGGTTGGCTACGTACGATGCGAAAGAAGTTCAGCACACATACATACGCACATCTGCAATTGCAATGTAATGGCTTTTATCATTTCGGTTAACACTGCTCTCTGAAATCTTAACGACGATTGGGCGCAGTCGGCTCAAACACGTGTGTAACGAGCCACTCACTCCGGGATGCGCAAATATTTTCTGGGTCACCAAACCCGGTCAGACGCTGATGAAATTAACCGCTGTATGCAACATGACGATGTCAAGCAAGGAAAATCATCATCAGCCAATGGTCAATCGACTGCTGGATGAAGGCTTCCCCAAACCGGCAACATCTCTAGCGATCCTGCGAAGTGGCAATACCACCAGCCGATTTCAGCGCTCCCATCTCCCCGAGGTGAACGCCCCTCTCGAAGCGCGTCTGTCTCCCCCGTTGGCCGCCACTCCGTCGTTCGTCTCGACCACCCGCCATCGCCCATCACAGCCGCGGCGCGTCCTGCCCAAGCCCGCACTCGTGGCGATGCCTCCAAAATGGAGCGTGCCTCCTCCGACTCAGGCATGCGTTCCTCTTCAAGCCGCTCGGCGTAATTCTCACTGCGCGCAACGAGAATGCAATGATCCAACGGGCCCTTCGCTTGTATTGCACCGGCAATAATGTGGCAGTGTCCGCGTGCATGTTCGAGTAAAGCCAGTCAACGGGCAGCACGGTCCCCTACCGCTGCCAGATGGCCAATGAATCTCTGGGCGGCTGCGCGTTTTACGCGCGGGGGACAATCGCTACACGTGTTCCAAGGACGTGCCAGTGACTTGTACATGCGTAGGGTAAAGACAAACCGCAGGGCAGAGGGCCACACTTGCGTTTCGGCTTCAAAGAGTGAAACTGTTCCGGTAGTGTGGCAAATGTACAATGTTCTACTTTAGCCCACTCCCCGTTCTACATACTCACTCATACACGCACTCGGTTAATGGGGCTATCAATGTAGGCGTACATACGCACAGAAAAAAAAGAGATAAAAGATCCCGCACATGTAGCCTAAATAGACTGTGAGGACAAGTGGCAATTGCGAGCCCCTATGAAGGCCGGCACAGCAAACGAGGGGGTGGGTGCGCAGTACCATGCCGGAATGCTCTTGGTCTCTCAAATGCTCATGTTTACGCACCGTACCATGTGTTACTTTAATTCTGAGTCTAGGAGAGGCCCAGGACTAGTACGAATATTCATCACTGATGTTGGAAGTGAGCGAGAATCAAACTCAGGTCGCCGGATTTGTCGCACAGTCCACGAAGCACGAGGCCAATGATCCCCACACACGAACACACAAAGACAAAGGTACCCCGTATAGCCTTAACAGACTGTTGGGGCAAATACTGTTGGCGAACACCTATGAAGGCCGGAATAGCACACGAGGGGGTGGGTGGCCAACACCACGCCCGGTCACCCATGTCTCCCCAGTGGCGATATTCATATAGCCATTACTGATGTTGGCGGTGAGCAGGAATAAAAACTGTAGGTCGCCGGTTTCGTAGTCCAGTTTGGAAATTGCTACACTCCCACTCTCCACAAAACACGAGACAAACACCTCCTGCATAGCTTTAACAGACTGTTAGCGCGAATGCGAGCACCTATGAAGGCCAGCACGGCACACGAGGGGGTGGGTGGCCAGCACCACACCTGACTGCCTTTGTTTCCCCAGTGGCGATGTTTTGATACACTGCACCAGGTACTAATTTGAGGCTGAGTCGACGCCCAGGATCGGTTCAGACGATCGTCACTGGTGTTGGTCGTGAGCGGAAATCGACCTCGGGTCGCCGGCTTCGTAGCGCAGCACGCTAACCGCTACAAAGACAAAGATCCCCCGTATAGCCTTAACAGACTGTAGGGGCAAGTGCTGTTAGCGAGCACCTATGAAGGCCGGAACGGTACACGAGGGGGTGGGTGGCCAGCACCACGCCCGACCGCCTTAGTTTCCCCAGTGGCAATGTTTTTATCCACCGCACCAGGTACTCATTTTAGGCTGAGTCGACCTAGGGGAGGCCCAGGACCGGTTCAGATAATCGTCACTGGTGTTGGCCGTGAGCGGGAATCGAACCCGGGTCGCCAGGTTCATAGCGCAGCGCGCTAACCGCTACACTACCGCTCCCCACTACACACACACAGACACACGCGTGTGTGCAGATACACGCACGCACCTTCCTGTGCATGCGCGGGTGGTTGTGGGAACACCGCCAGCAGCGAGATGAGAACTCCGAGGATGCTCACGGCGCTCGCCATCGTCCGGGTCACCTTGCAGCCTCGCCTGCCTGTGCACGCGCGCGTCTTTGTGTCCGAGTGTGGGCGTGTGCTTGTGTCTCTGCAGGTGGCAATATATATTTCAATGTTTCTGCGTATCTGTGTGTAGGTGGTCAGTAACCTCAGGCTAAGACCTAAACCCACATGGTGGAATAATTAGGCCATAGCAGCTGACAAAGACAGGCGATGGCAAGGCGTTGGGCGTGATGACCTGCGAGTGGATCTCCTGACCTGTCTATGTCTGTGTGTGTACCTGTGTTCCTACGTGTGTGTGTGCGTGCATCTGTGTGCGTCTATCTGTACACGAGTGCGTGTGCATGTCAGTCTCTCTCTCTATCTCTGTCCGTAATCCGGCCGCTGTGTCTGAGCTCGTCACTGCGAGTCCTTGCTCCCTTCTCTCGTTCTCCACGCGCCGTCCGATCTCGGCGTCTACCACGGACAGCTCCGTGTCATCGGCCGCTCCGGCACCAGTGCAGATCCATCCAGCGTGGCCCGCCTCTCTGTCAGCCCTTGCAGTTAGACGATGTAAGACAAACAACAACAATTCCAATATACAACAACATCAATGTATATAGCCAATCCCGTAGAAGGGCTTCCGCTGAAGGGAGCTCTAGAGGATGCTTTGGCCTACTCTTCCATGCTGGCTAGACATCTTGGAAGAGGTGTGAGTACCCACACTTCATCCCACCGCACGCGACCTGCTGATCGACTAGCTGCGGTGAACCCATTTTATGCCGCGTGGGTGGATAGAAATTTCCACCATCGTTTCGACTGCCGTGACCGTGGAGATCGTACCAATAGCTTGTGAATTGCAAGTCCAGTGGACTAACCATTACATCGCAGCAGCACCCTGCAGACATTACAGGCACGCATGTGAATTGTTCGTGAAGGAAAATATTTGGGGAACAGAATAACAGGAAAATGTAACCAATCCCAGCGGCTCGTTCACCACTCGTCCAGGTTCACAGTTCGAATCCAGCGGCCGCCCTGGTTAATACTGTGGTTATATCAACCGTAACAACACAGTAACGATCCCCAGAGGTCAGTCGCAAGATTGGGCCACTGTTTGCAAGTGTCAATGTACAAATTAAAAAAATTCTAAAATTACACCACATATTACTCAATTGGAATTTACACACACGGCAGAAATCGTCACCCCCTACTGGCAGACCAATGCCCCTGGGTCGCTCTTGCAAATGACACTCATCTTGGTCTCTTGAGTTCTCACTAGGCTAAGCAAAAACGTAATTGAACGAGAAACTTCAACGCGAAAGCCAGATACATTAATATGAATCAGATTCTGGGAAACACTCCTGAATTAAAATAATCCTGGCGCCTTTGTAGACTATGAAAGAAAAAAAACCCAACAGATTTCACTGCAACTCCTTCTCAGAATGCCTTACAGGGCTGCATCAAACGAAAACCTAAAAAAAACCCCACTGAAATTCACAGGACATGAAGTCAGATGGTGGTGGTGAATTCCGTACGTCGGTCGCCATACGTTCCGCATTACGGGCACCTACTCAAGAGAGTAGCGATGCACGTGAACGTGCACAGGGTGTGTGGGTGCGTGGGTTAGGTTGTTTCCACGAGCAAGCACCGGTGCTGGACCTCAGAAACAAGTTTGAGCAGTGTCCTTGGATAAAAATAAAAACTTGATAACCCACACGTTATACAGTCCAGTACAGTATATCGACCATATGATTTGGTGGCGCTGATGCTGCTGATGATGGTGATGTTGCTCTACCGGCCGTGGTGAACAAGCACATTTAAAAAAAAACTCAACATATTCGTCAATAACGCTGAGTAGCCTGGAAAGGAAAATAATATAATACTGTAGGGAACGTTTTGGGCAATGGCCCATCTTCATAGCACACACACACACGTATATTTACTTATATATTTAGGACAACAAATGGTAGCTTCATTGGCACACTTTATAATCTCACCACAGACGGCTGTAAAATGAAGTGAAATAATTTACTCAGAGCCGACTACTCTACGGAGTATTTTTCAGGACACCCTCCACCCCTCAAACTTGTGTTTAGTTTGTTGTCCTGTCCCCGCACCTCCGAATAGCACGGTTGGTTACGTACGGTGCTAAAGAAGTTCAATACACATAATCAGCCATGATCTATCCACTGTTGGATAAATGGCTTTCCCAAGTCTTCGCCGCCTCTCGTGTCCCCGCAACGTAACAATGCAGAGCAGCTAATTTTTTTAAATTATTACACGCTTTTATTTAACTCACTCTGTCTGTTGTTGTCGTTGTTGTTGTTGTATCCTCAAATCTTGTAACTCAATTTTAACCCACTTCCCAATGTGGTATCGACTGCAAACTTGGTATACCTAAACGATACTAAACTAAACTTTTTTGTATTTCATTTTACCAGGTAAGGCCCCACTGAGCTACGTAGCTTTTTTTCAGAAGCGACCTGAACACAAATGACAGCTCAACGAAGTCGCGTATGCCTCTCACTTGCACGTGTTCTCTGATCCATGTGCTGCTCTTCCCGTCACTCGGTGCATATTCTGAGCATGGCGTCTCTCCAAGCCTGGCCCATTTTAACTCGCGAAAAAATACGTGTGACGGTATGGACAAGAACAGGAAATTGAAATGTTACACTTCTTTTCTGTTTCATGCACAGAAGTGGAAAGGGTCGCACACCGACTTTCAGAGAACGAGAACTCACGACCACAGTACCGTACTCCTTAAATTGTGTAAAAGGTCATTGCGCGTTGTGGTGGAAGATGAAAATAATATTTAGTTGCGGATAACTTATTTGGTGATGATGCCGCTCAAAACGTTGGCAGTGGTGAACAAACAGAAATAACGAAAATTCAACACGTAAGTCATGAACGCTATGGCCTTAAAAAAAAAATGTAATCGCCGACATCCGATAATGGCCCTACTTCACCTCTCCGGCCTCTCTCTGTGCTGTGAAGAAGGACCATAGCCCGAAACGTCGGATGTTGTAGAATGTTATACATAGCGTCGTTATTCATGCAAATTGCATATCACGACCTCTGCTGAGGAGCCACAGACAAGCTGGCAGGCAGCGGCCAGGTGGCGAGGAGTCGGCGTGACCAACAATTGTCCAAGCTCTGGAGTCCTCTATATATTAAGATGTTTTCAGCCACTGCAATGAGTGTTTATACGTTCAGGAGGAAACCAGAGCACCCAGACAAACACACACGCACACAGCTGACGAATAACGACCACACAGGAATTCTGTCTGCCCCACTTAACTTGCTAACATTCTTACTATACTGCCCACCACAACAAGCATCTCGCCACCCATTAGAGTTTGTAAATCAAACTGCAGTGCATATTGTTGACTGAATGAGCATAAGTCTCAACCCACGTATTTTTTTTCTGAGATTCTTCTCTCATGTCTTCATCCTGAATTCCTCAAACGTCTGGTAGACAGACGTAAACACCCCCCTCCCTCAGCTCCCCAAACTCCCCCCCGCCCCTATTTCCCATCTCCACATCCATCTCACCAAACATTTCGATTTAAAGCTTTCGTGACTGCAAGGATTCATCTTCTTTGGTTCTTTCGGTAAAGTCACGTAGAATGAGAACAAAATAATAAATTTATAAAATAAAATAACACAATAAAATCTCACGACGTTTCAGCCACAACACAAGTGGCCTTCATCAGGTGAAGGGACGAGACTGTCTCGCTCCAGCGCTGTGTTATTTTATTTTATTAATTTATTATTTTATTCTCATTCTACGTGACTTTACCGAAAGAACCAAAGAAGACTCATCAAACATGTTGCGCTATGGAGCACAGCAATGACTCGTGTGAGACTATCTCCCAGAGTCGAGTTGTGACACGTGTACAGGGGTGTCACATACAGAGCACATGCGTGTCGCTCGTCGACATCGCACGCAGATGTGTTGGTCCGCTGACGCTTCCGTACAATGAATGATCGCAGAGTGCAAACGCTTCCTTGGGTAAGACAGCTAGCAATCGTCATAATCATCATCATAATCATGGCAATAATCTTCGCTATCACCAGTAGGCTTAGTTATATCAAAACTGTGAAGCATACCAAAAAACATTTCAAGACAATACTGGTACCAGATCTCAACACAAATCAATTCCATCCACCCAAACGCAGATGCCCATTCCTGAACTGTCTGGGAATTATAATCAGGGGTGCCCGAGTCCTGACTAAGCCTAGTCCTGTGAACCGTAAATTCACTCCTCATGCTTCTCACAGTTGCGCGTAAAGAGGAACCAGGATGATTATGATGACGAGAGCTGCCGATGACGACAATAATAATGACGGTGGTGGTGGCGTTGAATATGTTGATGATTATTGTCGTAGTTGGATGATGAGAATGATGGTGCCATATGATGAGATGCTGCTGTGATTGTTGCTGAGTGGCGATTGTGATGTGATTAATAATTGCTTCGTGACAATGTGGATGATGATTGATAGTGTACGACTGTTAAATTATAAATGTGATGTGTTTAATGATCATGTTGTGATTATAACAAAAAATATCAGACGCAGATGTTCATGCTGATTAGTGATTAATACTGCTGATGATCATGGTTAGTAATTTCCGATAATAACAATGACGTTGACAACGTGGTTCATGGTGATGAAGATGATGAAAATGGTGATTCAATACAAGCCAACTTCATAAACACTCCAGAGAGAAGTCCAGAAGAGGCAACATCTATCTCTCTCTCTACGCCACTTTCCAACACGAGCGGCGGCAGAGGTTCACGTCGGACACTTCCACCGCCAATTCGCAGCGCGGCTTCCGACAGCTCAGCCAGAGTGACAACACAAGACCCCGAATGACTCGGCTCCAATGACCAACAACGCATCATCAGCCGCGGTGCCTTGTACGTACATATGTACCAATGTAGAACTTCTTCTGCACCGTGCGTAGCCGACCGTGCTAATCGGGGGTGTGTGCCACGGACAACAAAATCAGCACGCGCGTCAACAACATTGCGGAAATATAAAATAATAAGTACCACGACATGCGACGTTTCGGTGCAACGGCCCTAATTTAAAGTCTCACAAGTATGATCGTGAAGACGATGATGGTGGTGGTGGTGATGATAATGATGATGATTACAATGAATGTGATGATGGATTCATGTCCAGGCTCCCTCAATCCAACCTCCCAGCTGCAGAGACCGATGTCGTGAGCTAGTTCCGTAGTGGAGAGAGGCCCCGCCTGGGTAATGTGATCCAGAAACCAATGCTGGTGGAGGCGGTGGTTGTGTTGGTGGTGGTGGTGGAGGAGGGGGTGGTGGTAGCGGTGCTTGGTTGGCGGTTGTGCCCGGTGGCGGTGGTGGTGGTGAAGGAGTTATGCGATGGGATGGATAAGGGTGGAGCACGCACGTGTTTAACGCATTAACCCCCCGAGCCACGCCGACAAGGATCTCCGCACGGTCTCAAAGACGACCATGACCGCTTGCGCCCTGCCCGGGGTCTGGCCACATACGGTAGCGGTGGACTGCAGACCCCGAGCCCCATCAATCCCCTACCCCCTTCACCCCACGCGCCCCCTCACCGCCACCACAGCCCTCCCCTGTCCACGAGCCCCCTTTGCCCCAGGCGAGCAGATATGGTCTCGGTGGAAAGAGAAAGCTGTTTGTCGCTTGATTTTTAAAAGAGGTAAAGGCGCAGCCCTTCCAATGCCTTACACGTGCCACTGCTGGCCGACGGGTCTCTGCTCGAAGGCGATCTATAGATCCCCTTCCGATGGTATTTTGGTCTACTCTTCCACAAAAAAGCGGGAATACCCACTCTTTAACCGACCACGACACGCGACCTGCCGATCGACTGTGGTGCGCTTGTTATGCTGCTGGTTTGGGCAGGGGTGTTGTGGGGGAACTTAAGAAACCGGCAGCATTGGTTGAGGTTGAAAACACGGAGCGGTTTTGATTTTTGCACGGGTCTCATCAGCAGAGTCAGGCTTGCTAAACACATGCTGCTGGGTTGCCAGTCGATATTGGTGGGTGCGCTTCGTCTTACGTTCCTTACTTACACGGGCACATGCGCAGCCCTTTCTCAATCTACTGCTGGATGAGGGCTTCCCCCACGCAAATGCGGGGCGTTATTTGACCATACTTCGCCAGGCTGGTTCAGTACCGATTGGCGAAGGCGGCGTGGTGGAGCATAGACAACGGGGGCATGTAAGTACGGTACAACAATGCATTTTGCCCAAACACGCGTTTCTGCATGGCAGCCTCGAGCAAACTGGTTGATGCGTGTTGATCGCATGTGCAAATCACTATGAAGGCTCAACACCTGCTTAGCTTCTGAGATATGATCAAATTTGGCCCACTGCAGGTGATCTTGTCACATTATAGTATACCTATTAATAGTTTAGTTTATATCTCACTGATATGGACATACAGCGAATTGTAATAGATTCACCTTGTTTGGCTTGATACAAAGATTAAAATAAACATAAGCACATTTTTTTTTTATCAAGTGATGCATTGCTCCAAGCATTGCATCAATGTATAAGTTAAGCCCACGTGCATCTCCTGTCTCTTCAAGGAAGCCCAGAGAGTAAGTATACTGTAGGAATTTCTGCAGGAGATATTTAAAATAATTTCAGTTGATTTTTGTGTAACAAGGTGAGCAAGAGACCAGGATAGACCAGGATATAATCTCGTTTACAAGAGTGACCTTATTGAGCAAAAAAGCAAATAAAATAAGTTACAAGAATGAAGCGAATAGAAATCAGCGCAAAAAAACAGCTGTTGTCATCGCGTGCAAAAAATGTCAAAGTTCACGTATTGGACAAACATCAATCTATGTTAAACAATGCATTCCCTGCATCTGAGAGTTAGGCTCGGGCAGAGCATGTGTATTTCTTTGTTTATTGACGATATTAATTTTGTTGCACCACCTTTAGACGGGAATGGGCAAAACTTATCCCGCAATTTTTCACCCAGCAGCACAGACTAAGTGTTCCGAACATGACATTAAACACTAACAATAACACATTTAGGAATCGCAGTTAAGAGACAAAAAAACACACATTCAATTACACAGGTTTTGTTTGTTATTAAAATGTTCAACTTAAAATCCCATCAATGGTTCCTCATGCTATCGGGGACGCTGGCTATTTAGAACGCCGTTAGCCGCTAACTGAACGCCATGAGGAACATGTTTGCAATTTAAAATCGGTTACTTGAATGCCATCGATAGGGAAGGTTTAGGCCATGGGGTCCCGCAACCTTTACAAGATGAAGAGACATCTTTGTGTCTCTGTCTTGGAACAAAATAGTTCGAGAGGCGCTTCACAAGCAGAGCCACTTGCACACAGCATCAGACGACAAACACACATTCTGACTTAAATACATAACAAATAGCTATTCGTGAACACGACAGTTTGAACATTCCACAGTGACCAATTACGTTCAATTACGTTTAAAGTTTAAGAGATTAAAAAAACATCTGCCCACAAGGAGGGCACTTTACATACACACTAAACATATACAGGGTGACTGCTGTACCAACATGTAAACACACAGGGGACACGTGCCAAACACAACTGCCGCTGTCGCCACCGTAGAGAATCGACGGTTCAGGGTTCTTACCCGAGTTAAGCTTGGGGCCACCACTACGCTCGCTCGATGCGCGACGCTCGATGAATGAGGCGCAGGAGACGTTGATTACTGGGGGGGGAGGAGGAGGAGCAAGACACGGGAGCTGGTAATGAGGCGCACATGGGGGGGGGGGGGGACATTCCTCTTGAACACACGCGCGCTCGGGTTTCTGAGGAGCACATCAAACAGGGAGCCGGGACGCGCGCTGAGAGGGAGGGAGGGAGGCAGAGGAGGAGGAGGCGTTTCCCAGTGATGCTTGCGCCTCCTCACGCACTCACCTCCTCAAAGACAAAGACCCCCCCCCCCCACGCCGTGTAGCCTTGGCAGACTGTTGGGGAAAGTTCCGTCAGCGAGTAGCGCCTATGAAGACCGGCACGGCACACGAGGGGGTGGGTGGCCAGCACCACGCCCTTCCTTGTCTCCCGATTAGCGATGTTTACGCATAGCACCGGGTGCTCGGTTGAGGCTGAGTCGACCTAGGGGAGACCCAGGACCTGCTCAAGATAATCGTCACTGGTGTTGTTGGTCGTGAGCGGGAATGGAACTCGGGTGCCCGGGTTCGTAGCGCAGCGCGCTAACCGCTACACCACCGCTACCCACACTTACCTCCTCACCACTCCCCTGACCCACGTCTCACAGCTCACCAATCGTTGGGCCTCCCTCAGTTCTCGTCTGCCACCCACCAATCACCTCTTCCACTCACCCATAACCTCCCCTCACCCCCAACCCTCACAATACCTCCTTCACACCGAACAAACACCTTAACCCCTGTCATCTACCCCACTCACCCCATTACCTTCCTCATCTCCTCTTCACCCACCCATAACCCTCCATCGGTGACCCCTCTCATCTACCCCACTCACCCCATTACCTCCCTCACCGCCTCCTCCCCCCAACATTACTCGCCAGCAATGGGACTCAACATTTGAACGGAGACAACATTCACCCACCCCCCCCACCATCCCCCTCCCTCCCTCCCACCCCCACCACCCCCTCCTGGCCCACCCCACCCCTCGCTCCCACCCCTCCCTCACCCCCACCCCTCCCTCACCCCCACCCCTCCCTCACCCCCACCCCTACCCCACCCCCCTCGCCTCACCCCCCTCCCTCACCCCCACCCCTCCCTCACCCCCACCCCTACCCCACCGCTGCTACGCACGCAGCGGGGACATCAAAGGCGAGGGGGGGGGACCCGGCGTGGCGGAAAGCAGCACCAAACTAAAGCCAGACCCCTTGAGGGCGGACCCCTCTGATTATATAACGCGTACAACGCGTTGTCAATCCACTGCTGGATGATAACAACCCCACACCGTGTTGGTTTCGGGGGTTGTTTGACCATACTTCATGCCGCCATATAAGCTCGTTGTTTGAACACAGAGTGCGGATTGGGCATGGATACACCGGAACCATGTATGTAGGGCGCCAGGGTAGCTAGGAGATGTTAACTACCTCGCCTGGTATACAGGAGGTCGTGGGTTCCATCCCGACCCTGACCCTTGATGTATGTTCAGAGTTTGCGTGTCTCTCTCTCATCATCATCACGGTGGCTAGGGGATGTTAACTACCTCGCCGAATATACAGGAGGTCGTGGGTTCCATCCCGACCCTGACCCTTGATGTATGTTCAGAGTTTGCGTGTCTCTCTCTCATCATCATTACGGTGGCTAGGAGATGTTAACTACCTCGCCTGGTATACAGGAGGTCGTGGGCTCGATAACGACCCCGACGCCTGCTGCTGTAGATTTGGAGTTTGTGTCTCTCTCCCTGTGGTCGCGTGGATTTTTCTCCGGGTCCTCCGGGGGTTTCCCTCCACGTTTACAATCAACATCACCACGCGTTTAATATTGTTTTATCCTTATGGCGGAACCCCGGGGTCCCGAATAAACGGAAGTCAAAATCGTAATTAATTTATTGATTGTTGGCGACTCCGTCCCACGGCGCACATAAACGCCGCGACCCACCTGGCGCGGATCATTCTCTTGTCGTGTCATGTCCAAGGGCAGCAGCGAGGATGAAAGCACAGAAGAAACACAACTTTGAAACTTTGATTAGCGCATCGTGTAGAGCTCGTCGAGAGGAACAGATCGCCGTATCGTTCGCCTTCAACAGGCATAGAATGACGTCGCAATGCAGTTTATGCGAGAGCCGGGGGCTTATTGGACCCTGGGGTCCGGCCAAAAGGTTCGTTTGCCTGCCCTACATTATTTCCACACGATAAGCCACTTCGCTGGGCAATCATTCGTGGTGGCCAGGTCGCTTCTGAATAAAAGAGCTGCGTAGCTCAGTGGGCCTTACCCGGTAAAAATAAATTAAAGCCGAACTTCTTTCGCGCCGTACGTAACCAACCCGTGCTAAATCGGAGGTCATCACGGAGGGGGGGGGGGGGAACTCGTTCAGATATCACTCGCCGCTGACGCTAGCCGTCGCCGGGAATCGAACTCAAGGTGCCTGTGATGTTAAACGATCGAAGCTCGCCACAGACGGATTTAGCAATCCGTTGCGCGCGTCCAACTCCCAATTTGCGTAACACTTGCAACACCAACAATAATAATAATAATACAACTCTGTCGAAATATTTTTGTTTCTCTCTCACGTCAAAGTAAAAAAAAAGAACTGAATCGAGGAGTTTGCGCGAGATCAGATTACAGCCTCGGGCGACAAAGATCCCCCGAATAGCCTCGCATTGACTGCCGGGGCAAGTGCTGTTCGCGAGCACGAATGGGTCGCGCGACACGGCGCACGGAGTTAAGGCGTAGCTAGAACCAGTCCCGGCCGCCTTTGTCTCCCCCCCCATTGTTGATGTTTTACATGCCGCACCAGTTACATACTTAAGGCTGAGTCTACCTAAAGGGGGGTGGGGGAGGCCCACACGGTTGGCTCAGATACAACAACACTCGCCACCGATGTTTAAAAACCGTGGTGGAGAATCGAACGCAGCTCTGCCGGGTTTCGTGTCGCGCGCGGCGCACTAAAACCACCGCCCCCCCCACTCCCCCCCCCCGCACGTCGACACGCGTGCACACCAACGGCCAGCAACCTTGAGTTCCTGCCCCAAGGGCGTTCGAGATTCCCCCGGGGAATTCCCCGCGAGAGGCCAAGGAGCCTCTCTCTCTCTCCCTCTCCCCCTGTGCATCACAGCCGCACGCACGCACGCAACTCCCTGTGCGGAGTCGACCGTTTCTCTCTCATTCCTCGATTCCTTTTGGAAACAGTGGGGGGTGGGGGGGGGTACGATGAGTGATGCAGAGGTCAAGACACCACTTTGACAACGAGACGCAGATCCGTACGACTTATCCCCAACCCCCGCCGCCTCTAACCCCGACGCCCCCTCCTGCGCCGCCCCCCCCCCCACCGCTCGCTCACTTCACTTTGCTCCAGGAGATTCGGCAGACAGCTAATGGACGCTCCGCTTCGTGGAAGTAGTGGGGGGAGGAACGGGGTGAAGGGGGGGGGTTAGGCCTGCGGGGGATTGGATTAGAAGGGAGTGGGGGGGGTAAGAGGGATTATTTGTGAGTAGTCATATTGTTTACGCGGGAAATCCTTGAAGAGTCTCGTGACTATTTTCCAGGAGGGTTCTGCGAAGCGTTTGGTCCAGATGTCTTGTGACCCGTCAAATGAATCGATCCCTAACATTTAAATCTTGACTTAAAAAAAAACAGATATGATGAACGAAGCAAAGTGCCTACTACACCGAGCATCTTCTTGTTTCCTCTGATCGTAAAAAAAGAGAGAGAGAGAGAGAAGAAGGCATGGATGGAGAGAGCAAGAGCGAGTGATGGAGTGAGAATAACAAGTTCTATTCATTTAGCCGAAACACTCTCCTCCAAACCACAGTCACCGGCAGAGCGTGCGTTCTAAGCAGCCCCGGTGTTGCTCCGTAACCGGCACAGACGCTGTGGTCCACGTGCACACTCAGCTACCCCTTCCCACATAATGAGGACGTTGGTCACCCTTCATCATCAGCAGCCGTTGTCTATCTACAGCTGGATGAAGGTCGCCCCACGTTTTCGTCATCCATCACGGTCCAATGCTGCTACCGTCCATCTCAATCCTGCGCATGAACTGATCAAACAACATCATCAGCCGCAAGCATTCAATGTGTATCCCACAGGATGTGATCGCAGACCAAAGACAGTGTTTAAATACAATGCAGTGTAGGCACAACACACGAGCGAGCAGCGTTGAAAATATATAATGTTATCGAGTCTTTAAATAAATAAATGGCTCGCTTCAGTTTATGTTTGTGTCCGACCACATCGCTTCATCTCGCTCCATCTCCACTGCAATAAAAGCTTGGCTGGACAATTCTGATTTTTAAAAAAACACCACATGTGGTGATGCTGCTGCTGTTGTTGTGTGGTCAGTAGTGCACACGCAAAAAAACTAAAAACTCAACACACTCGTTAATAACAATGTGGCCTTAGCAAAATTATATAGGTGACGTTTCTGGCAATGACCCTTATCAGCACACAGAGAGGCCAGAGAGGTAGAATCCTGAAAAAATAATATTCTAATAATAGGGTTTTTCCCCTTTTTTCTGGCAACAAAACTGAAACCTTTTTTTACAAGGATTCATGTCTGCATTAACCACAATACCTGCAGTAAAAATGCAAACAAAAAACATACTATGATAATAATATAGGACAATACATATATTATCATAGTATGTTTTTTGTTTGCATTTTGACTGCAGCTATTGTGGTTAATGCAGACATGAATCTTTGTAAAAAAAGGTTTCAGTTTTGTTGCCAGAAAAAAGGGGAAAAACCCTATTATTACATTTTGGTACTGGCAAAGGAGGTCTAATGATGTAGATGCTCACCCCGAGCCCTCATTACTTTGATAGTGCATTGTCTTTGAGCTGTACGCCTTTTGGCGTCATCTGGTCGAGCACCAATTGGGTCGAGGCTCAAAAGAAAGCCGTCCCTTGGTGTGGACCAATCAGTTTCAAGGACAATGCTTATATTATTATAGTATGTTTTTTGTTTTCATTTTGACTGCAGGAATTGTGGCTAATGCAGACATTAATCCTTGTAGAAAAGGTTTCAGTCTTGTTCTCTTTGGTTTTTTCGGTAAAGTCACGTAGGTAAAATAAAATAAAAATAAAAGAAAACACCTAAATTAAATCACGACGTTTCGGAGGCAACACAAGCTTCCGTCTTCAGGTGGAACAGTCACAGCAAGATCGCTGCATCAAGTGGGGAGGCTCTGAGAGCCTCGAGCTTAAATACAGGTTAAGGGGGGGGGGGGGAGGAGCCAAGCAAGGGACGTTGATGGAGTGAGGGTAAGTTAATCCGTCTTTTGTTATGTTGAGGATTCGGGGGATGCGGTGGTTCACTGCACGGGGGCAATGGAAAGATGGAAAAAAGGGCTGTGTGCTTATAAGGCAGCTAAAGTTTTGACTTGGTTTATGACATCTTTCCAGTGGTTGCTTAATTTAAAACCATCCTCTCAGTTGAAGTTGTGTCTATGTTTGTATATCTGGATGGCTTCATGGACAACCCTTTGGTAATAACCGGGAGGTTTGCATAGTACTTTGGTATCGGAGAAAACAATGTCATGAGAACCCGCTGTGTTGAGACAATGATCAGCCACGGTCGAATAATTCGTTCTGCCGTGTTTCAAATCTGATTTGTGCTCGCGAATTCGGTCAGAAATATGTCGTTTCGTCTCCCCGATATAGCAGTCACCGCAGATACAACTCAATTTGTAAACACCGGGGTACTGTAAGTCAGGAATGACATCCTTTACGGATGGGATCAGATCACGGATTTTGTGTACTATATTGAACCGGACCTGGATATTGTGTTTGTTTAGAATTTTGGAAATCTTTTTTGGTAACGCCTGCTATGTATGGCAGTGTGATGATTTTGATCGGAGTGTCAGGTGGTTGTTTCTGTATGGACCACTGGAAAGATGTCATAAACCAAGTCAAAACTTTAGCTGCCTTATAAGCACACAGCTCTTTTTCCATCTTTCCATTGCCCCCGTGCAGTGAACCACCGCATCCCCCGAACCCTCAACATAACAAAAGACGGATTAACTTGCCCTCACTCCATCAACGTCCCCTACTTGGCTCCTCCCCCCCCCCCCTTAACCTGTATATAAGCTCGAGGCTCTCAGAGCCTCCCCACTTGATGCAGCTATCTTGATGTGACTGTTCCACCTGAAGACAGAAGCTTGTGCCGCCTCCGAAACGTCTTGATTTAATTTAGTTGTTTTCTTTTATTTTAATTTTATTTTACCTACGTGACTTTACCGAAAAAAACACAGAGTATGAATCCTTGCAGTCACGAAAGCTTCAAATCTAGAATTCAGTTTTGTTGCCAGAAAAAAGGGGACAAACCCTATTATTACATTTTGGTACTGGCTAAGGAGGTCTAATGATGAAAAATAATCTTATAACAACACAATCACGGTGTCGTACTTGCTCGAGTTTGTGTTTGGGCTGTGTAATGACGGGATGACGTCTGCGAGAGGACAGGGGACTTCTGGCACTGAATTCTGAGATGATTCTACATTGATATTCTTCCCGTTCCCACGAGGCTCGTGATTAAACTTTAATCGACAACAAGACTGGCATCAACGTGGCTTTAATTAGCCGAGAATGAGGCAACGCGCCCTCCACCCTTTGCATGAGGTCCTCACTCCCTCTCCCTCACTCCCCCTCCCTCCTGATCTGACCTCAGAGGTCAAGTTCTCCGGTGATCCACAACTTTAAAAGCAAGGGTTGGTGGATCACGCACAGATATGTGAAACTCCCATTACCCCCACGAGGCTGCGACATGATTGGGAAATGACAGCACAGCAAGATGTAAAGCCATCTGCGCGAACGTTTTCAGTACGTGTGTCTGCTGCACTTCTTTTACACCGTACATAGCCAGCCGTGCTAAACGGAGGTGCGGGTATTATCCCCTTCCATGCCGAGTGGGTTTTCTCAGGCTACTCAATATTATTCCCACACGAAGCCAAACATTCAAGTGCGGCAGCACTCTCCTGAAACTATTCTGTCTAAATAAAGGCTACGTTTAAATTTAAGATCAATATTATGCCTTGATTTTTTTGCAAAACAACGTATATACCCATTGGGGCAGTGGCGCAGGAGTTGGCACACTGCACTATGAAAATTAGTTCGAGTCCCGGCCACGGCTAACATCAGTGGCGAGTCGTATTGGACTGGGTCGCAAACCTGCCCATCACCAACCCGCAGTGGCCAGCGTGATGAAGTATGGTCAAACAACAACCCTCATGACCCAAACGGCGTGAAGCCTTCATCCACCAGTGGATTACCAGAGAACTGTAATAATTATTAATAGTAACACAATAAAACATATATAAATTACATGCCCGTGAATAACATCACTGCTGAGACAAAGGCGGCCGGGTGAGTGAGCTCGCTGCTGGCCACACCGACCCCTTCATTCCACGCGTTCCTCCCCCTCTGTCTCTCCGTGTAATTCCAAGCACGCGCCTCTCTCTCTCCGTGCTTCTTTGACACCCTTTTCAGTTTTTTTCCATTCCCTATTTTTCAGTCACGGCCACGTTGTCTCTGTACGTACCACGTGCCAGAGCAGGTATATCTAGTACGCACGGACCGACGTGGTGAAGTATGGTCGAATCCCCCCCGCCCCGCTCCCACTCCCCCACGTGACCGACGGGACGGATTTAATTAGAAAGGGCGCTTAATAGATGCTCGCCAACAGCACTTTTCCCCCAACAGTCGACAAGGCTTCAACACACACACACAGGGAGACATTTGGCCTCTTGTGTGAACATTTAACGAGCCTCTTACGATCCACGTGTTCGGGGGGTAGGAGGGAGTGGGCTCGTGCCCTGAGGGTCGTGCGAGTAATAAAAAAAACATCTCTCTACAAACACCACCAGGGAACACGGAAAAAAGCCACGACAACAATTAGCATCATCGGCCATGGTCAATCCACGGCTGGATGAAGGCCTTGCCAAGCTGTCCCCTATATATCACCATCCCGCAATGCATACAACAGTCCGCCCAGCGAAACTGATGTTACATCTGGCAGCCAAGGAATATAACTGCGTCCGAGATGGTTCGTCCAAACGATGGGAGATGGAGCATTGAAATCGGTTTCTTGTGCCAGGCGCTAGCTGGATTGTTACGCCGCGCAATCCTAAGAGATTGCGGTGGCTTGGGGGTGGCCTTCATCCAGCAGTGGATTGACAATGGCTCTTGATGAAATGCGGTCCTGGTGCACTCACACTGGAGTAGAGGTTTCGCATGAGGCGCTGCCCCGTAGGAGTCAGCCCAAGGGCTCAGCACGCAAAGCAGCCAGCGGCAAACAGCACTCTTATAGTTTAACACGTAGGCTTTTGGCGACCAAACCCAGAAACATCTATTGTGGAGCACTGTTATAGTTGTAACTGGCGAGAAATAATAATCACGCTTCTTGAA